TAACTCGGCGCGAACTCTCGTACTGGTCTCAACAGATGTGATACACATCTGTTGAACGTGGCAGGGGCATTACTGAGCCCTTGTGGCATTACTAGCCATTCCCAGAGCATGCCGCTAGGCGTGCTAACTGCGGTATAGGGTATATCCCGTTCCCGCATTAGGATTTGATAGAAGCCATCCATCAAATCCATGGACGAAAAGATGGTACTCTTTGACATACCATCAATGATTACGTCCTTCCTCGGTATCGGCGTCTGAGCCGGTACCGTTGCAGCGTTCAATTTGTTAAACGCGTGCACTATCCGCCACCCTCCTGTTGCTTTTCGCACACAGAAGGTCGGAGAGCTATGTGGGGAAGTTGATTCCCTCACATGGCCCGCTGCTAAACGATCGGCAAAGAACTTGTCGATCGCAAGTACTTGTTCACGAGGCAGTGGCCACTGCTTCATGACACAGTACTTCGAGCCTGGTTTAAGCTCGACTTCGTGTCGAATACCTTTATCCTTCGGTAATTCGCACGGAACAGTTTCAGGGAATACATCCTTGAATTCAACCAAATCTTCATAGAGAGGATTTTCCTTGAGCGATTCCCATGATTGGGACTCATATCGCTCAATTCGTGTCTTTTCATCTAGGACACTCTCGTCCATAGATGAACTACTGAGAACTCTCTCGTTCTCAGTAAACACTGTTGCTGACCTTATGTCGGTTACATACTCGTCGTCAGCGACGAGTATGCAGATCTGCTTGACTTTGCCACTACGCAGATCACGCAAGAACCTTTTATGTTCGAGCGTTGGCAACTGAGTGATCTCCGAAGTTAACTTCGGAGGCGCAATCAGATCAAGTGTATAAGCGCCTACACATGATCCGTTATTGACTATGACATTCAATGTCTCTGTCATTTCCTGGGGACTTATTCCCTCAGGCTTCGAAGGACTTATTCCTTCGTCTTCCCGGGGACTTATTCCCGCGGGTTTCGGGGAACTTATTTCCGCCGTATTTGTAATCTTGGGACTTATTCCCTTTACTTCCTCTAGCTGGGGTTGCGCAACCACAGCGAGATCCTCTACGAAAGACTCTCCAGTCGATCTAGGATTATCGTTTCGCTTAACCTGAGCGATCGATTGTTTCTCTTCTAGATGTTCCCCTCTAGGGATACATCTTTGTCCCAGTCCACCCGACTTATTCGAGTGGTGGACCTTCGGCGCAGCCTGTGTTTCCTCACAGCCGCCGGAACTTTGCTCCGAAGTGTAACCGTTTGGTACACTAAGGTTTTGTGCAGTCGTACTAACGACCGTACCACAAGTGAGGCCATCGCACTCACTCGTAGTACATCCACACGCTTGTGGACGCTCCAAAACGTTCATCAGATGGCCATCTGATGAACAAGCGGCAGGCATCGTTACTGTCCGATGTTGCCAGTTTACCCGTGGTTCGTACCTTCTGAGCCACGGTATTCCAAGGATGACATCAAATTTGTCATCCAAATCCAATACGATAAAGTCATCGTCGTATTGGGTATCTTCTAGCGTATAGTGAATCTTCACTATACGCTTCATGACGGTTACGGATGCGCCTGTCGCAAGACGTACCGTCATCCTCGTAGGAGGTGTGTCACATTCACTGAATTTAAAGTGACCATCTTCTAGCGATTGGCGTCGCACAAAATTGTTGGACGCCCCACAATCGACTAGAGCTCGAAGGGACAACTTATTCGTCACTTCGAGTTTCAAGGTAATGAGTGAGATCTCATTACCTAGAGCAGCAACGCACAATGTCTGTGTGTTGGGAGCAACCTTCATCAAGAGGCCTACAAATTCTCTTGACGTTGCTGGATCAGTAGGGTGCTCCGCACCTACTGATCCTGTCCGTTTTTTGACGGTCCATCCCGTTGTTGCGTCTTTGCACCAACTGCGGACCCTCGTCCCTGCCCCTTTCTCATGGGTGGACGGTCACTACGCCCAGTGTCGCGAGACACTGGACGAGGGGCACTACACTCGTAAGCGTAGTGTCCTGTCTTTTGACATCTGTTGCATCTCTGCAACTTCTTGTAGCCTGTAGAGCGAGCCTTCTCGCTCTCTACATAACAGAGTTCCATCGGCTCTGGACCTCCGTTGTCATATCGTCTCGGTTGACGATATGATGTCGAGCTGGCGCGAGCCTGTCTCAGACTGAAGTCTTCCTGCTCCGCAATTGAAATGGCTTGTTCTAGTGAATCTAGTTCAAGCCGGAACAGGTGAGTCTTGACGGGACCATCCGCAAGACCCTGCATGAACACCGAAACCAACGTGTGTTCATCCACCGGATTGGAACTTATACAACTCGTGAGATGTCGTATATGTTGAGCGTAAGCGTGCACATCACGCTTACCCTGCTTGAGCTTCAAGAGTTCGGTTCGAGCTCTGAACTCAGCTCTAGGCGGTTCAAACGTTTGTCTGAGCCGCGACTTGAAGACTTCCAACGACCCAAACGCGTATGGGTCGTGCAGCTTGAGCCCCAGTGCCCAAGTCTTGGCACGTCCTGCCAGATTTGACTGGGCAAATGCAACTTGCATATCCCCGTCGTCGATGCGACGCGCCCTTATGGCGTCATCCAATTCGGACGAACCATCTCAAGAGGGAGTCTTCTTCGACCCCCTATACTTTGAGATGTCAATCTTCAAAGTCTCGGGCCGACGCGAGTGCATCGACCCGCCAGCAGCAGCCTGCTGCTGTCTCAACAGTTCAAACTGTTGAGCACCTTGTTCTCTCAACAACTCTGCTTGTTGAGAACCTTGTTGGTGAAGCAAGGCTACTTTCTCGCGTTCTGCGTCAAGTTCATTTTGAATGAACTTGGCGATAGTAGCATGTTGGGCATCTCTATTGAGAGCCTCTAGCATGACGCTAACAGCATGGATGCCCATGGTCGAACCCATTCGTTCAACCGCATCCCATTCGACATCGCTCAAATGGGAGTAGCCGTCACGCGTAGCGTGAAAGCTTTGGTCATCTTCATCATCCAACATATTCATGTTGGATGTGAACGCGGTCCTTGGACGGACTACGAAGTGCTACCAGGTGTAACGGGGCACCCTGAAGCTTGTACTGGTGACAGTACAAGCTACTTATTCTGATAACAGAATAAGGCGGTGCCTCGTAACTTCACGTACACTCGTACGTGCAGAGGAAGACGGTAAGAAGAAGCGAGTACTCGGTTAGAGTAAAAAGTAGAACTGTATTTATAATAGTTAATGTCTGCAATAAATCACTATTTATCTTCATCTAACTATGTCTAAATACAAATGTGTAAATCAGTTATCTGCTCACCACTCATTGCGTGCGTCTGTCGTGGCGCGTCTTCGTTGGTTGATATAATGGCCTATATCAACCAATTAGGAACTACTTGGAAGTGCTACCGAATATTGTCCTTATGACAATATTCTGAGAATATAACTCTTATAGTTATATTCTATTAACAATTTCTTATAAGTTGTTATGTAACGATTCACCCCGTTACACTTTACGCTTGATGGCTCATAGAGTCTTGTCCTTTAGAACTAGTACAGATCGTTGAGCAATAAGTCTTCCTCTGACTTATGGAGCTGTGCAGCTCCGCTACAGTAACGGTATTCTGCCTCTTAGCTAAAAAAAAAAACAAGAAGCGGTAGTTTTGCTAAATTTGCTTTGTTATTGTGCAATGATGTAAGGCCGAAACTATGCGTGAACGCTAAAGCTAGTTGTGTGTGAAAAAATCAACTTCAGCGCGTTCAATGCTCAATTCAATCGTACGAAATAATTCAAAATGAGACCGCGACATTGCTCATGCAATGGCAATGCGAGTCATTCATCTCCTCTGACACTTAAGAGATACAAAGGTACATGCTGATCGCCAATTTTCATTTGAACGTTTTGTATTGAGTCCATCGAGCTGGAAGAGTCCACACCGGCTGACAAGGTACACACATAGTCACTCGTAAAAGAAGAATCGCCATAATCTTCTCCAGGATAACGTACGGTGCGGGCTCTTAACAAGGAAGAGCGCCACTCAACTCACAGGACACATCCGGGTGGTCTGAGAAAGCCGCGCGGCATAAATCTTTTCCAGGATAAAGTACGCTGCTATTGTCAGTATCATGAAATCTCGACTCAGGATGAAGCATCAGCGATGCACCTTGACCGGACAATGTGACAACGCAAGGCTCCACGATTGAAGAAGGATGTCAAGGTGCTTTTCTGCAACCGTTAGCTTGGATCACGGGTGTACCAATTCGATACCCACCGATGATGTTTCTGATCTCGTTATCAGCATGTTTGCGTGTGTGAAACCATTGGCGTCTTTAGTAGGTCCAGTGGGGAGGGAAAGTCGGTGAAGTTTATTGAGCTGAATGCTATTTTGATTCACTAGAAAAGTCTAGTGTACTAAAGTGAGTGCGCAAGTTGCCTGATATCATCATAATGGACGGCACTAGTACGTCGCATTAATTAGTCAGCACGATTGAAAGAGTAAAGACAACGTGATACGTTGTATCAATCATCCTCGCCTTGTAACAGTTGCCATGTCGTGCGACTTTTGCCGGTGATGTCTACTTGATTGTGAATTGGCTAGACGCCAAGGCCTGGACGCACGGTGATACGACAGATCAGGTTGAGCATCAGCGTTGTCATAGCCAAGATTAGAAGGCCGTTGGTGTCATTTTACGCACTGTCAGACAACGATACGAAGTTACGACCTGCATTCATTTCTATTGTAAAGGTCATGACGCGAACAAGATTGCATGCAGGTACTAGCTAGCTTCAGCACTCTACTCTGGATCGTATATCGAAGCAATTTACGCACGATCAGCGTGTAGCCTCCGACGTCTCCAGCACGGAAAAGCTGTTTGACGCAACAATAAAGGTGGTAAAGGTCCCGAGCTGCTGCCTCACTATCGCGAGCAATATGTGTGTCTAGTGTGGCATGGTATTGTCGGGCCCGATCCATCATGTTGAGCTGCCATTTGGTTATTGCATCCTCAAATTCTAGAGTCTCAAAAAGCCGCACATCATCAAGAAAGCCGTAATCTCCTCATTACGCAGCAAGGTCGGGCAGTAGATATCCTGCTTTAGCGTGCGTTGATCTTCCTCCGTCAACTTGTCTCCAAAAAGGAAAAAGTCGTCCACCTACGAAACGCCACCAGGCTTGAGGCTGTCGAAGCAGCGTGTGAATAGCTGGTGTCAGTGGCCAATGTGAAGGAAGCACAGCAACCCCACCACAATGTCGTATTCATTGTGCTGCACTGGGAGTTCCAAGAAATCACCGCTCAAGTGCGTCACCTGGTTGTCCAGTCCGGAACGTCGAGTCAGCTCTTTACCTGCTTCACTGAGACCAGGCTGCAGCTCCAGAACATCGACTTTGCAGCCACTGCGATGCGCAAGCAATCGAGCTGTCCTACCACACCCCGTGCCGATATTCAGCAATTGGGTTCGTCTCCGAAAAAGTGTAGCGAGTCCAGCTTCGCCATTAGTTCCGGGTCCACTGGGGTGTCGTTGTCGGTGTAACCCAACTGTTTCAGCTAACACTCGATGCGATCCAAATGGTGGTATAGCTTCATCGTCTTGATCTCATCCTCTTTGGCCATGTTTTTGTTGTTGCCAATAGTCTGTTTTCCAAATCAAGTGGTGCCAATGGATTTGGTTCAGAGATTGAAAGCGGTTGCATCGGAGATCTTCGACCTGGTTGCAACGCATGCAAGTGACGAAATATGCGGGAACCGCCGTGGGTGAATAAACAGACAGATACGTAGGATCACGATACTCGGCTCGTACTTGAAAGTTATTCTCCGAAACAACAACTCGAAGTACCAGGTCTCACGCAATGGGATTTAATCAACTGTATGAGCTTGCGACTTTCCTGTAGTAGGAAACTGTCGGTTGAGATTATCGGACGCAAACATGCGTGTCGTGTAGACAGTCTAAGCTACAGTTCTTTGATGCACTGTAGCCATGAGTGTTTGTGATCTCGAGGATCTTTGATCAGGTGTTTGCTTGCTACATACAGGTTTGATGCAGGGGGGAGTGCGGGTGAGGTATAATCGAGAGAGAGAGAGACATACACAGTCCTTATGACACCGTTGGGAGCACGCGGGTAGTACTTTACACGTCGATGGTGGTTTGGCCTGCGCGGCAATTGTGGAAGTCAAAGAAGATCGGCTTTCTGTGGTGATGACACCGCCGATGCGCTTTTGCCACTCCCAAGCCACTGTTTCTTCCAAATGTCGATGGTGTTCTTCTCGCCGGTATCGTGTCGACGACGTCTGCCGGATCAATCGACTTTTGTATGGGCTTTAGCGGCCCTGACTGCTTCAACGTAGAACTTGAAAACAAAAAAAGTATGACGCTAATATTACCCTCCTCACTCGGAACGACAAATACTACGTACAAAGGCTAGTGATAGAGAGAGAGGTTCAGGACTTCTAACTATGTGTACGATCTCTGGTATAACCTTAGCTAGGACGTAAGGGCCGGGGGACCCGGGGCTCTTCGTGACCGGTGCCAGCAACCACTAGCAACCCTCTGGGTTCGTGATCCAGCAACTCGAGGCACACATAGAGCACGGCTCCCGCAATTGCTGACGCCACTTTTCCATGCTGCCGCTTCGCTATCGCCTGAAGCTGGCGGATGCACGAGGCAAAAAAACTATTGGCGTTATCAGTAAAATCGATAGGCTCTGCTCGGAAAACTGCTGCATTTTGGTCTGCCCAGATCCTCGTTGGCACATCGTCGCTAGAATGTGTCACAGTTGCCAGTGATGAAAGTTAAAGCTGAAAGGAACGCGACTAATCACCCAGAGGGCCTGTGCGGCTGACTATCGTCGAGGGGGTATTCGTAGAACGCCTTGTAGGATCTTCACATCCCTTGGATCAAATTCGAAGTCAGCAAGTCCCACGTCGTTTGTTTCGCTACTTTGCACGGTGAACTCACACACGGCTTCGTCACCATCTTTCGGCCCAAGACTAGTGCCTGTTCGCTTCGTGTCACCATCTTGAACGAAGCCCTAACGAACAATCTGACCGAGCTGAACTGAGCTGACTTCCACACACTTGTCGGTAGGATGCTGCAGGCGTTTTGAGCAGCGGCACAATGCTGATCGCACATGTGTCATTGCAAAGGGGTGCTTGGTTCCAGGAAGGTTGTGCACAAGTGTATTTTCAGGACTGCAAGAGAAAGTGAGGATAAACTTGGAGACCTTCTCAATGCTGTTGTTGCAAATAGCCAAGGTTTTAAAATTAAAGATAGAGGAATGATGACCTAGCGGGTAGGATTGATAAAGCAGTAGTCTTGCAATGGGTCAAAATTCTTTGCTGGATGACGTAGCTGCTATATTGCTACAGCTTATGGAGTCGCCGATTCCACTTCTTGTGGGAGATGGGAAGGGCATAAAGTGCGAGATGTTGCAGGCAAATCGAGGATGAAAATTGGGCGATATCGAATCGAAACTCCTCGCGACTAGTCATACGACCCTCGATCAGCTTTTTTGATCGTGTTTCGGGCTCATCGACGCTATCGTGAAAGAGACAATGGGCTCGGGTCACTCGTTTGCCGAAAGCATGACGTACCTTTCTTCAGCACTAGAAAGGCGAAGAAAGACAGCGTAAACGCAACCTTCTCAGCTTGGGAATGCGCCGCTGTCAAATTTGCCAGCACTGCTGACGATGGTGTGAGTTCTACAGTCGCATATTGCGATCGTCAAGCAGTCGTAGATCCATTAGCGTAGCCGAAAGCGACACCTTGTTACTTCTTCCAGCACTTTACCGGTATCATACTGTCAAGGAGCTGCCCGATTTAAAATGGCCCAGAGCTTGTTCCCACAAATGAATGATTATCTGTATACCATTTTGCGTTCTCCTTCACATGAGAGGAACCAGTTGTCACTAACCGATGTTCAGGTCTTTCGCCTATATCAGCGTTGTTGGTATTGGTGGGGGAACGTTTAAGCTTTTTGTCGAGCCTGCGACGTCACTTTATCGCTTCCTTCCACGCACGTAAATTGCACAAATGCTCCTTGTTGAGACGCAACATTCCCACGACTAGTGACAGGATACAATTCGATGCTGCGGTAATGGGAGCTACTGTCCGAACGCACGAATGGCAACTCTCACGAATGAATGACCGCCCGATATGTTGACTGCAAAGTGCTTGCTAGACGTTGGTAGCCAACGATTTGGCCAGTCCGGCAAGCATTTGGGTTTTGTGAGCGAATGCGCGAATGATCTCTGCGCGCCTCAACGTGTTTCTCCAGTGTCCAAAAGCTGCCCACCAGTCATGACAAACGGACACTGCGGTAGTGATGGACGCAAATCCGCACCTTTACCAGACGGAGGCCACCGTGTTCACAAATGATGTCACGTCATTCCTTATCAGCCGCACGCGCCTGCAACGAGATCCCCAAGCGATATACTCGGTTGCTGCACACATTGCAGGACCTGCATGTCATCCCTCGTACACGTAGCATCTTCGATTCACACTTGGCACTCTGTACGTGCTCACTTTACCACACAGCATTCGGGAACTTCGTTTGCTTTCTACGTGTTTATACCGAGACGTGTGCTTGATACCGGTGCGTCTGACAGCTAGCTTCCACCACTTTGACCCACATATACTGCAAGATGCTCGAGTGTCACGACATGTACAGCCTGCAGCAACGACTGAACGTTCTGCACAAGAGCTCGTGAGCCACACAGTACTCCTCCACGGTCGTCCCAAAAAGCTGCGACCTCTTTCATTTCCTTGCCCTTCGGCAAACAGTTCAAGCTGAATCTTGAGCTTTTCTGCAAACCTTACCAACTTGGTCGACGAATTGTATCAGTCAGCACTGACTGATACAACGTTGTCCCCGCGAATAAACAACTGCTTGACATACTCACGCTGCGTGCCTCCCGCACCAGCAAATACGCGTCGATTGCGACGCCCACTTGCTGCCGAGAACACAGCATCGCTAGCAGTGCGAGTACCTTTTTGCACTTGTCGCAGTACTTTTTCGTGAGTGCAATGTGGAAGAAACTCTTGCGTGACGTCCAGCAGCACCAGATTCATGTGCTTATCAAACGCTTTCAAGAACCCGCAACACGTGCCACGCACGCTATTGACACGACGAAGAACGACAAAAACCTTTCGCCGCTCAAAAAAGCAACGACGCAAAACACGAAACGGTCCGTCCATGTAAGTATCTATCACAAAAAAGAGCATTAAGCACAAAACAACAACAACACTGCCAAATAACGAGCAAGTTCGTACCCGCAAGTTGTTCAAAAAGCGACGGCACAGCAGGTCCCCCCGTTTTCTTCACAGGAGCTACCTCTCTCACGTTCGCTGCTGTCAACGGTCTTGACTTCTTGCGCTTTACGTGGAGCGTCTGGCGGTTTGAATCTGACTCTGGCAGCTACAATAACACACGTTCGGCAGCCACCTTCAGTATTGAGCAACATACCCAATCCTTGCGTCCATCTCCGGTTTGTACCCACACAACAACTGTACGTAAGGCCGCACCAGATACCGGCATTTTTGGATATTATCCAATGGAAATACCGTCGTCACGGGTAGCTCAAGCTGCTCTTTTCGAGCTGCAAGAGCTCTACCGGCGTCAAATTGACCCGAACGAACGTCCAAAGGACTTGCAGTGGCTATAGGCAGCGCAAATGGCTTGAAATCGCGCTGATACGTGGCCCCTGTGACCGATACCACACTTCCGGTCGTCGCTTCGTCACTGGTATCACCAGCACTCGTGAGGTCCGGTGCTTCTCCGTATTTTTGGCACAACTTTGCACACAATTGTGGCTCTCGGCCTGAAAACCGACGCACAATTTCTGCACTGTATTAATGTATCGGGACACGAGTCAGTGTAAAGATAACGAGCTAGTGAGAGCGGTATGCGACGTGGAAAGCTATAAATAGCTCGACAACGTGTCTACGAATGCGTGCAAGAAGATGGTAGTACGCACATGTTCTGATTATTGCCTGGGTTGTGCTTAGCGTAGAAGGCGCGCAGTCGTATCTCCATCTTCGCCGCGTCCATTGCGTTGCACAAGAGAGACCTTCACTCTGGAATGACGTGGTACACATATAAATGACACTGCCACACCACACCATATCTACAGTGTGATCACTTGCACACACCATCGTTACCTACATATATGTATGTCACACACATTACACGCTTTTGACAGCGGTTATGACCGAAGAGCAGGTACCGTCGTCGAGGCCATTGCCAGACGTGCTCAAGCTCAAGCTGCAGCTGTTTCACCGCCTCCAGCGCTGTAATCGTGACGCGTGGAAGCAATACTGGCGCTCGTTCCAGCAGTACCTCGTGGCCAAGCTTTCGCTTGAGGAGTTTCATGGACTGGCTGAGGAGCTCCTGGGATCTGATAAACGTACGTCGGTGCGCTATTGTCTTTGTCTAGTTATTGGTACTATACTAGAATTAAGTAAAAAGCAGCAGCTGTGTGACTCATTTTTTGTGTCATGTCCATAGATCTACACAATGAGTTTGTAGCAGCGCTCCTATGCACGACGTATGAGAGACAAGAGATTGGTCATACGGAGCTGTGGAGGAATTCGCAGCTGTCGGAAACACCGGAAGCTCAGGAGAGAGATAGAAAAGCTAAAGGCGAGACAAGGCCGTCAATGGTGGCTGAGGAAGATGTTTGTACGACCAGAAGGGATGGTTCATTGCTACTGCAGATGACCACAGAGGAACGTGCTAGGCACGGTATGTAGGCTGTTTTTACTACGCGGAGGAGAATGTGAGAGGTTGACGGGTTGCAGTTGTTTGCAATGCAGTGGGTGGAGACTGCGGTCAGAAAGAACAAGCAGCAGAGTTTGGACGTAAAAGACCGAACAGCAGGATTGAAGCTGCTGGTGATAGCACGGAAGCGGCTGGTAAGTGTGCCATCGATTCTCCATCGGTCTTTGTTTCGGGGAAATCAATATGCTGGATATATTGTTTGTGATGTGTGTTCTTATAGCGTGTACAAAACGTGTGTTCCTGGATCGGGAACAGGTGCTCGAACGTTATCACTCGGACCATCAGTCAGCACAACTACTGATGGGGCTTGGTAAGTGTGCAACGGCGGTCAGTGCTCCGTCCATTGCTGCAACCCCCGAACCAAATCCTTCGATGTGTAGCAAAGAACACAAGTCTTGTGTGGTATCAGGGGACAGGCCCGAATGAGTGGGATGCCCATTCAGCGATAAACTCTGGTTGCCTCTCGGACGACAGACAGGAAATTGAATCTGTTTGTCGCAATAGTCACTCGCGACGTCGAACATCGCCGTGATGGGGTACAAATGCCTTGATTTTGCTAGGCCCAAGATGCAACAGTAGATCGCATCTCGTGCAAGCTGCTGTCAAGATGTGTGCCAACCATACCCGACTATTGACACGACTGGCACTCGACACGTCTACGGGAAACCCAGCTCAGTCCAAGTGTACGATACCTACATATATTTAGACACATTGAGCACTGCTCTTTATGTCACTGTTGCCTTCACGCTTCAAGCCACACGCGCCAGTTGGGTTGATTGCCAGTAGAACAGACATAGTTTAGGCTCGACACGTGCAAGCAGATCCACGTGGAAGCTACATAAACGAAATGACGTGCCACGACACACGACCCCGCTTAATCGTCACACCATTCAGCACAACCGAAACCTCTCGAGCAACGTGATGGATGCCACAGTAATATTCACGGAGGCACTGCAGTCGTGATACCTCTGTCATCCGTCTACCAAAAAGTGTGATCGAACGGCCAAAGATAAATTCCGTGGCGTCCGTACGGGCTGGCAATTACCGACAAGCGTCGCTCAAACACAAGAATATTCAGTATGCACAAGTGTGTTTGACAACTCAGACATAGTGCTGCTCAAGACAAGTCCAAGTCTATTACAGTTCTTGCTCTCAACCCGAAGTAGCAGCTCACCAGCATCTAGGACTGCACGTCCTCCACGTGCGTCACCTCCTCGTCCCCAATCGTCTCCTTCTTAGGCACCCCCGAGTGACTGACATAAGACAAGTACGCGTTCCACAACAGTCCCAAGACATTGGAAAAAAGAACTTGCATTGAGCCGGGTACAAAGCGAAAGTTGATAAACTGTGCCGGGACCCAGACCACCCAATTGGCTTTCGTCACGGGCCACCAGTCAGCGCGTAGTTTGGCTGGAATTTGCTCCACATGTCCTTCAAGTGCCATCACTAATGACAGGAACACGGGCAGAAACGTCGGGGCGAAGACCAATTGGTCGAGTGCCAACCGCTTGGCAATAGTCAATGGGGCAACTCCAGGCAGCAGCGCGCCCAGAAGTTTGTACCACACGTGCAACATAGGCGAGATCACGCCTCCGCCCAGGACCGTAAAGATCGCAGCGCGTTTGGCGTCAAAGCCGCGCTTGTGTCCGTCTAAATGGTTGACCAGGAATTGACAGAGCACGTCGCCCATCCCCATGATTACGCCACCGGTTACGATCTTGGTACGAAGTGGACGCGTCTCGAGTAAACGTGCGTACGAGTTCCACGACCGACGGATTAATGACAAAGACGATGCACGACGTACGGGCACGTGCAGGGCCGAGCGGTAGATCATTGGCCGCGCTCGGGATCGAAGCAGGACTGACAACATGATGGGTACGTTGCAAAAGCTGAAATGGCCGCTTCAAGTTCTGGAAAGGTATCCTTTCTGTCGATAAAGGGCAGTCGACCAGTGCGACGTTTTTGACAGTTACTCGGCGGTTTCCACAGCTTTGCAAGATGTGACTGACCCATTTTATCTTATTGACCAATCCGTGAATTTCGACAGATTCTACATTTTATTTTCGACAGATTACAAATTCGATTTTCGACAGTTTGTGCGGACTGGTAAGAATGGACCAATCAGCTGTTTTTGACCTGTTTCTTTTCGTACCAAGATGAGCGAGAGGCAGGAAGAGCAGGATGAAGACGCGCCGGAGATCGTGTCGGAGTTCCCAGCGCCGCCAAAGTTCTTCGTTTTGTATGCAGAGGGACAAGAGAGTGGTCCGGCACCTCCCGAACCCATGAGTCCGACGTACCACATGTTCGGGTCGCCGTACAGCACGCAGGACGTGGTGCCTGATCTGCTCCAGCCTGGAAAGAGAGTGTATGCGACCGAGAGCGAGGACGGTGGAGCTGCTGCTGTAGTGGACTACAAGGCGGAGATGAAGAAGTACTATCGATGATTGGATGGAAGTGTGTACGTTGTGCGAAGTTATTGACGGAATGTGTGCGTGTGTGTCGCATAGGATCAACCGCTCGCTGCTTGCCAACTTTGTCGAGCTCGTCGATATTCTGATCAAGAAACCGGCGCTGTTTAAGTGAGTACAGGGTATCAGGCGGTGCTGCTGAAAGTTGTTGTGATTCGTTGCTCATGTTCTTCTTCTTGCTGTCTAGTGAGAAGCTGGACGAGGTGGAGCTTCTGTTTCTCAACATGCACAACCTCATTAACGCTTTCCGGCCGCACCAAGCGCGCGAAACTGTAATACAGATGCTTGAGATGCAAGTCCAAGAAAGGCGAGAGGCTGCACGTGATATCCGCCGCACGATCGACGAGTCGAGACAAGCAGTCGAGCGCGTGCACGGTGAGCTGCATGAGTCGACGGACGACCAGGAAGCAGTGGACGGAGCTTGTACTGCTGGAGCTAGTGGTGATGTCAAGATGGAGAATGCGGACGAAGTGGCGGAAATGGGCAATGGAAGTGATGCACATCATACAAGTGGAGCCGCCAGCGCTGTGGCACTGACGCCTGCGCAACAGGAACAAGCACAGGTCAGACGCTACGCTCATCACGCAGAGGAAACTATGGTATCGGCTAACACGGTGTTTGGTGTGTATTGAACAGAAAGCTCGCGAGGCGCGTCAAATGCAGGAACAGTTTTTCTCAGCGCTTGAGGCTGTGATGAGCTGAGAACAAGCCTACTGTCGCTGGTCAGGATAAAACTGTTCTCAGTGGCAAGAGCCGACTCGTTTCAGCAGGTGTAGCGCTCGCAGATCATCACACTGTTATTGCAAGTATGCACGGAATGAGTAATTTAACAATGCTGATTTAAGCATCGACGTCGTAGACAGTATCGTGCGGTAAACTAGTTCTAACATCGATACCATAGCGAACCTGATTCGTCCCTTTGTAACGCCTGGTGAGCACGCCTCACGCCTGCAGCTTGACTGAAGTAGGTAAATAGTGTGCTGCCATAGGAGCCGATGACGCGCGATAGTGTGAGCACGTGAGACGGCTACTTCTTGGCTGCTAGTTGTGTTAGCTTGAAATTGGTGAGCTGTGCACAACGCAGTTGGCGCCACTCGCTGGACTGGTATCGGAAACATGGCGATGACTGTCAGAAGAGGGCATCACATGAGCGACTTTTGCAGTAACGAACCTTTCTGTCGCTTCTCGAATGGCGTCATACAGCGGCGCAGCAGCCACAGGTGGTGACTCAACACCTCCAAGTAGACTGGAAACAGAGACTGCCTTGCCGTAGAATGAACGGTTGATGTCTGGTCTTGCGAGGATTATCGAGCCCTCAAGTGAGATGCCTGCGAAAAGACCCTTTGAATGTGAGTAAGAGTAACACGGTGCCACGTCCATCCCGCTGCTTGCTTCCAGTGCTCCAGAGGCTACGCGACCAACGGGTCCAGCAGAAACACCCAGCTCTGCGCCAAGATTTACTTGACCAGATGCACAGAAAGCTTCGACAGCCCGTGGCGTGTTGAGGACAATAACAAAATCCGTAATCTCGCCTCCGACTTGTGCGCCCCAGCCTATCCCAGCTGTGGCAATAGCTGATGGCGCCGACCATCTCCCATCAGCCAGCTTCGCTACGACGAGCCCCGTTCCCATACGCCCCGTAAACACAAAGCCCATCTTAATCACTGTCAGGAACTGTAACAAGACAGACAGCACACAATCGCAGAAAAAGCACAAAGCCTTCGCTTAGCAAAGCAATTGCGATCATCCAAGCGTTCTCAGTTACATACTGCAATGCCCTTGGCGTGGGTAAGTAGCGGTAGTGGAATCGACCGGTCCTTGACAATTCCTTGCGACGTAAAGTTCTTGATACTGTACGTAGCCTTGAGAATCTCCTCCTTCAGCGTGTAGGAGTACGGACTATTCACAAGTCGTGGTGCACTCGACACCTTCACGTCCATCTCTTGCACAGCGTGGCTCATCGTGATACCTGAGTCCAGCACACACACACACGCACACACAATAAAGACCCAACATCTCAGTACAAGACACGAAGCCTTCCCAAGGAAGAAACATCAAAAGGTAGCCATAGTGGGCCATTGAAAGCGACGTACGTAGCTCCTCCTGTTGTAGCTCCAGTCGCGCATGGCACTTGTCGCATACGCGCTGTGGGTTATGTGCGTTCACAGCCAGGTACTTGCATTCTGATCCCGACAGTATCTGATTCGCTGGAATCAGACTGCGATGGAGCGTACACAGTTCACAGAACACATGGCCGCAAGAGCTGCACACACAACAAATGTAGCCATGTTGACCGTCAATGACATCTTGACAGCGAGACGTAGCGAAGAAAGACGAACGTACCGACAGTGGTGTTTGCGACGCATCCAGTCGAACAGAAGCTCGCAGCTCGAGCACACGCTCACTTCCGCGTCCGGGATCCAGCGCACGGTCGCAGGCACTGGCTGATTCATGATCTGATTCTGCCTCGTGTTTGCACGAAAAACGAATGAAAGGTGTAGCCATGTCGACTGGAATGTCTTCTCTGATTCGTCGATCGAATCAGATTTCTCAGTGTCCAGATGGCTACAGCACCGATGTTGAAGTTCGAGTGACGCAGCGACCTATTCGACTTCAACTTGACCAGTGTACAGTTACTCGACCTTTCAATGCAGTGTCTGATCTATGCCACTCTCGAGTCTCCACATCCGCTTCATATCGAATTGAGACGTAAATGCAGCTTCAAACAAGCTGAATCGGACTTGAAAAGCACTTGCATTCGTTGAAGCACCCTCTACATGGAAGATATCCAGTCGTCCTCGTTAAATTCCGAAGCACGAGCACGTTGTTGAAGTGGTAACTTCATCAGGTTGTAGCATCGTGTCGGAGACGACACCATTGGACTTGAGACGGACCTTTTCGCTGACTTGTTGGACCAGAAAAAGCCGCAAGGAAGTGCAGCAGCTGGACGGTTGAAAGCACAGGCGAACGAAACGAACTCACTCGACCAATTAACCGCGCGGCTGTCGCTCCCCCCGTGCGACCCGTTGCGACATACGGACTCGAAGATCTGATACTTTCCCGATAAACGTCGTCTCGACCAAGCTATTCTACTGCTGCTGACAGGGAGGTTCTCATTCAATTAACTGGTTGGTTGGTACTTCGATGCTGCTGCTGCTGCTGGGCATGTTCTGGACTCTTTGTCTAGTTCTGTCCCCCTTCAGCGGTGTTTTATCCGCGCCATCAACCGCGCGATGCTTCCCGTCCAGCTTCCTCTTTGGTGCTACGCTTGACAAGTATAACGTCTCCAGCCACGGATCCAGTACCCAGTTCACCAACGAGTTTGGCTGCTTCCCTCTTGACGTCACGAAGGACGATTTGATCCAGAGATTTAGCCAAGAAGGGCACCTCATGAGTGACTTGGGGCTCTCGTCCGTGCAATTTTCCATCTCATGGACGCGGGTTATGCGCTGGAATGCAGCAACTGGACGAATGGAGCGGAACCCTCAAGGACTTGCACTCTATCGGGTGCTACTTGACGACCTTCGAGCTCGAGGACTCGAGCCGATCGTCACGCTCTACGAGTCGACGCTTCCTTCAGCATTGCAGACAAGTCTAGCGGAGCCAAGTGGCTGGCTTAATCCAGCTATTGTGGCACACTTTGGAGACTTTGCACAGCTCGTGTTTGAAGAGTTTGGACGGCACGTCAAGTACTGGGCGACATTCAACGAGCCATGGACGTTAATCAAGAATGGAGACTACAGCTACGAGAACTTGTCCAATGGGGTCAACTCGTCATTAACGGATGCGAACGAGGTGGTGGTTCACCACGTGCTGCTGGCACATGCAAGAGCGGTGGCGAGTTTCCGTGACCTGAAGCGAGGAAACTCGAGTGGTGTTGCAGCTGGTGCTCGCATTGGCATGATACTGAATGCCGAACGGGGTTACCCAGTCGATGAGCCTACGATCCCATTCAGTCTCGATTGGTTCTTGACGCCATTGGTGACTGGAGACTACTCGAAGAGTATGCGTAGACGTGCAGGTGATCGACAATTGCCACGGTTTAGTTCGGAAGAAGCGGCACTAGTTAAGGGATCCTACGATGTGATGATGTTCAATGGGTTCAACTTGCAACGAGGACGTGCTGGTGAGCAAGAAATTGACGATACGCGAGCGAGCAGTGGTGCAAGTCTATCTTCTACAACCAGCACAAAGTTTTTGGACCTAGATGGTCACCTTGATGACTACTTCAATACCATCAAGTGGCTGCATGAGAAGGATCCGTTGATGGAGATTTTGCTGACTGACAACGGATCGTGTGCAAGTGGCGAGTCCAGTACATTGGATCAATTGCATTTGTTCCAATCTCTAGTGGAACGGGTGTACAAAGCTACCGTGGAAGACGATATCCCTATCATTGGGTTCCCTGCATGGTCATTTGCAGCTATCAACGATCGGGACGCTTGCAAACTCCACTCCACTTCTTTGTCGACAAAGGGACTTCATCACGTTCCATGTCCAGCAGCAAGATGGTTCGCGCATCTTTTCACGACCAAGTGCCTGGATGGATGGGAGAACGAAACCATGGCGATGGATTTCTCCATTGAAGAGAAAGAAGCATCGGACGGGAATGTGCAAGACTTGGAGAGCGATGGCAAAGATGTGGTTGTCCCGTTATCGCTGGGGGAAGTGGCGGTTTTGATTGTGATTGGGGTGGTCGTTTTGGTTGTCATCAGCTGCGAAGTAATGCGTGAACTTCACTTGAGCAGTCAAGGACTTCCCGAGGAGCTGCAGGTTCTCATTACAATCGAAGATTGACTTCAACTAGAGACACGGGCACGCCAAAGTGAGTGAGGTCGATCAGGATCAACGGAGAATAATGAGAACCCAATGCATAAAGCTTTGCTGCTCGTACGCGAAACTGTGTTCAATTCAAGTGGTGTCTGTACCGAACGTGCTTGTACTCCATGCTAACATGCAGACCTTGTCTCGATAAACCAGCTCTGTACTCGCTTGAAGGTTTCAAAGCGTCAGATCTGTTTGATATCCATGGTCACAATCTCCTCGAACAAAGCACCACAGCTGCTTAGCCTCCATCACGCACTACTACGATAGCATTACAGTCATCGTTGCTGAGTGAACTCATTCAAGATGACATTGTTGCCATCGTCTCGTATCGCTTGCACACGATCGTCGATTTCTTCGACCTTGTCACACTGTCTTCAGAGATCTTCGTACAGATCGTCCGTACCAAAGAATTCGTGTGCGTTGGACAGATCGTTTGAGAACTGCATAGGCTTGAGATATTTCATGCAGCTCGTGTCCACTTTTTCGAGCACGCCGTTTTCTTTCACGTAGGATGTCAAGATGCGGACGCCACAAGTCCTGCCACCATCATTCGTTGGAGTTGTAAAAGTTGTACAATGACCAGCGTCGTCAAAGTTCACGAGCATGCGCTCGCCGGCCATCATCTCGTACTCTTGTTCGCCGTACATACGACGCGTTTGCAGATCCATACCGCCTGTCATGAGCAACGCCGTCACACCATCGGGCAATTCACTAGTCTTGTTCCAGTATTGGTCACGCTCGTATACCAAAGGCCGAGCTACAGGGAGATGAATCAGTTCTTGACAAGCGTGCTCGCGACTACCCGTAAACAAGCAGTAATACGGGAGTGACAGATAGTTGTTCGACGCCATTGTCGAGTTCTCAAACCACTTCATAAGCGTCGCCTTGTCAGGCGTGGGGAATTCCCACATCTCGGAGAAAACAATCAAGTAGTAGAGCATGTCCGAGTCAAATAGTAGCATCTCCGGCTTGGAATCTCCAAAGCCATCGTCCTCCAAGGAATCAAGATACTTTTCGGCAAAGTAGGCAAGAGCGTCGGCATCGTGATCCGTACAGCGAGACGCTCGATAGATCACCGCGGGGATTGCAGTTCGCGAGAGCTCGGACATGAGGTAATTGCCGAAAGCAGCACGCAGCAAGTAAGAAGGTTTCGTGCCATTCTTGGTCAGCACGTCGGCACAGGCGTTGATGCCTCGTCTTTCGTCAGCGACAGCAGCATCTAGCTTATCGTACAGCTCATGGACGAACAACGAAAGGTCCGTGACGTTGGGGAACTTGCCGTTGCAAAACTCATCAGCCATACAAGCAGCAAGGAATCGATCGCCAACGACACCGACATCATAGTCCCAGTTTGAAAATGTCGACCTCGTCTCGACAGAGTCGCCACTTTCTGATACAATACCATCCACTGAGAATCCACGCACGCTTGCTGGTGTGAAATGCATGAGTCGCTCGACCAAGTACGTGCCGTAGCTGAGTCCGTAAACAAAGACATCCTGGTCACTGAGTTCATAGTCAATAACAGCTGCCAAGTCTTTTGCCGCGCTTGTGACGGAAAACGCAGCAGTCTGGTTGTCAATCTGGAACCGAATGTCATCCATACAGGCTGGGAGCTCATCCAGTCGAATCGAAGCACCGCCAGGACTACCCAAGCCCCCTGCTTGTGCTGCTTGGCACTGCAACCTAGCACTGCGTCCCGTGCCTCGATGGTCAAAAGTGTAGATACTAACTTGTTGCTCCAACTGCGTAAACATGATCTCCATCAGATCTTCAACGCCCGTTGACGAAGCACCAGGACCTCCTTGCAGCACCCACAGCGCCCTCTCTTTCTGACCATCGGCCGATTTCGCTGTAGCTTTCACGCGCTTGACAAACACGTCAATCGTGTTGTTACTCTGACACACCGTGTCGTAACACATGGGTACACGAAACTCGGCACACTCGTACTGAACAGCAGCAGGTGCACTTGCAACAGTTCCATCATAGCTCTTGTACTTGTGCTGCTCCTGCTTCGACTTCCCCTGGTGCTGTGTCGTCTGCTGCTTCGATCCGTTCTCATGGTAGCGCCGAGCATAGAGCCGGTCAAATGACTGGTGTACAAAAGGCAGAGACGATCCCTGCTGCTGCTCTGTTTCCACCACCGCCACTGCTCTCCGTTTTGTGCGACTACCGCTGGTAGAGCTGGAGGTTTCCATGTAGTACATATCCGAGTGCCCTTCGTCCGCATGGTCAGGCACGAGAGAGCTCTGCGAGCACGGGTACCATCCATTGATCTCGACTGACGGCTCTGCAGCTGCAGAAACAGCAATACAAAACAGCACGGCAAGTGACAATAGAAGAGACGGTAATAACGTCATGTTGGACACGATCGAAAAGAGCTCCTGGCGAAACGTCAAATGACGGAATGACTAATCGAACGACGCGATCACGACGGACGCGTCGATGATGTCGTTCGACAGTGTATCCAATCTGACAACATTTGAATAAGTGCGGTAGTATCGACTCAGATTTACCAGTATATCGATGCTGACAGGTCCTCTATGTTCTTCTGCACCCATGTCGACAGAGCTCACCAGCTGCCGACAGTATCCAATGGACGTCCCGTCCTGGCATCCCGCGAATCAGGCCTCGGATGCGCTCCGACGCCTGGCAATGGACGGCGGAGATCGCCCCAAACGCACCGAGTTCAAGGACGTGGACACGCTGACGAAGTCGGAGCGGGAGATGGTGGTCACGGACGCGAACGCAGTGCAAGACGGCGAGCGGGGCTTGCTGGACCCGTCGGACCGGTTGTATCTTGTGGAGCAGACGCTTTTGGAGCAAGAAGCGACGGATCGGGAGCAACGGGAGCGCGAAAACGGTAGGGGTTGGGTCTGAAATGGATGGAGAGGTAGATAGACAGGGACTGACGGTCGGTGGCCGCAGCGCTGCAGGCGTTCCGCTCGAAAGCGCTGGAAGTGCAGGCTCGGAAGACGTCTGTGCCGGAGCTTGTGGGATTACAGAAGCCTTTGGTGTCTCCTAAGATGATCAAGCCAGTGGTGGTGGTTGTGCCGAAAGCCAAGAAGCGGACGTTAAAGACGGCGGAGAAGAATGTGGGGACTAAGAAGAGGAAGACTAGTCGGATCGGGACTTGTGTGGGACTTAAAGTTAAGGCCAAAGCTGCGAGGGACGATCGTGAATCAGATGTTGCAACCGACCGGCAACGGGAGATTGAGCACGATGCTCTTAGAGTACTTGGAGACTCTAGTACAATAGCGAAGCTGGTGGATGACTACTCGAGTGATGACTAGCCAGCCAGTCGTGTGATACTGAGTGATGATGCGTTTTTACTTGTGTAGTTGGAGAAGACGGATGGAAATGAATATGGACTCGATGATGGTAGCATGCCAGCTCCGTGTTTCACTGGCATTGTCGTGAATCGACAGAGACAGCGTTAGGATGGCCAAAGCATTGATGATATTTCGATGGGATTCCATGCCAGTTTCTTTCGCTTTTCAGCGCGATCAACAAAAGCTATGACAGGAACTAGCAAGTACAACATATACTTCCTTCACGCGGATCTAACCTAGCAATATCGATCGCAGTTCACTCAAAACTTTACGGGTAATTCTACTCGTCATCATCACTACCGAAGGTGATCTTCGTCGCCTTTTTCGTGACGTCAATGTTCTTGGCGAAAGCCCCGTACATCTTGTGCTCTTTCTTCTTCACATGCGTACCAAACTTGGTCAAATCAGTTGGTACTTCCTGATTGCCTTCACGCAGCAAATTCACCAGCTCACCGGCACGCGACTTGTCGTTCGCAGTAAAGAATGTATGAGCCGTTCCCTTTTTACCACCACGGCCGGTACGGCCAATACGATGCACGTAATCCTCGATTGTCAGAGGGAACGAGTAGTTCAAGACGTACTCGACGCCAGGGATATCGAGACCACGAGCAGCAACATCCGTTGCAATCAACAGAGGCACCTCGCCAGATTTAAACTGCTCAACAGCCTCGGAGCGTTGCTGTTGACTCCGGTCACCATGGATAGCGGCACAATTCCAGCCACGCTGTTGCAGTAAACGTTCAACGCGATCAGCCTCTTTCTTGTACAAGACAAACAGCAGCACGCGGTTCGTGCGACTCGAGTGGTATTTCTGCAATAGCGCGTGGACGCGAGCATCCCGGGCGCGGTCATCAATCACCTCTACAAGCTGCGTCACGTTGTGACTTGCAGCAAGTTCATCTGAGCCGATCGTCACCTTCACGGGATCCGTAAGAAATTCGTGGGCAAGTTTCTGGATTGATTGTGGCCACGTCGCGCTAAACATTGCGATCTGACGTTCTGGATGCGAGCTGCCAATGATTGCACGAATGTCCTTTTCAAACCCCTCGTCGAGCATCCGATCAGCTTCGTCCAGCACGACAAACGTGACCTTGGACAAATTGCAGCACCGCTCTTCGATCAGATCTTTTAGACGACCAGGTGTTGCCACCACGACGTGCACGCCATCACGCAGCGCCTTCTTCTGTGTATGTTTAGGCACGCCACCGTAAATGCAAACACTCTTGAGTCCACACTTCTTGCCTGCTTCCGAAATGACCGCAGAACTCTGCATAGCAAGCTCACGTGTTGGTGCTACAACGAGCATGCGTGGACCAGGGAACTTCGACGAGACTGCTGGCTGGGCAGCAATGTGGATCAACCCCGGGAGAGCAAACGCCAATGTCTTTCCTGAGCCCGTCTCAGCAATGCCAATGATGTCGCGTCCCGAGGCAAGAATAGGCCAGCACTGACTCTGAATCGGAGTGGGTTTGTCAAAGCCCTTGGTCGTGTCCATGAACTTCGAGTCAAACGTCACGTCCTGAAAGCTAAGCACAGGGCGGTACAGACACGCGTTGCCACTGAGGATCATCTGGTTCGCTTCATGGAAAGCCGAGACTTCCTCATTCGTCATCTTGGCCGTCTCACTGCCTTCGGTATAAAACGCTTTTTTAAAACTGCCATCTGTAGCTGGTGGTTGCTGGTACGGTCCCTCCGAAAAGTCCGTCGTACGTGCCACGTCCTTCTCTTTCTTCTGCTGCTTCTTGTTCTGTTTCTTGTGTTGTTTCAGAGGCGGTACGGAGCTTTCTATCCGCGTCACCGTCTCCTCCCGACTGCGCTTGAGCTTCTTCTTCTCTTTCTTCGCCTTCTTGCTCTTCTTCAATACGTGATCCGTCTCCAGTTCCACCACAGGTTCATCAGCAACTTTCGCAGCTTTACGTGCAGCTTTCTTGGCCTTTCGCTCGTTCGTCGCGTCGCCTGTAGCTGCCATTGTCTCGTCGCTCTGCCGTCTCGAGCAGCTATTCAAGTGTGACGAGCTACGCACAGCCAGTGCTTCAAGTCGATGGGTACATTATGTATTTCACACCACTTAACACATCGAGGATCGGCGAAAGTGTACCCCCCCCTCTCTCCAGCGTGTATCCTCCAAGCGGAAGTGACTCGAGTCACAACATCGAAATCACACCCAATCGCTGACTCACTCGCGTGCACGAACCGTACAAAAAGTGCCCCCGATTCACACAAAAATAACAGCATGGGCGACAGCGACGCCGAAGCGACCGCTGTAGCCACTTCATCGCGCCCTGCAGTGGCTACGCTGGACCAATCGCAGGACGAATGGATGCCTGTAGTGGACGGAAGAGGGAGGCAAGCAGCACAGGACAGGGAGCAGGTCCTGGAAGAGCGTACGTCGGATGTGGTGGACGAAAGACTGGAGACCAGGTCGAGTGACTCAAGACGACGGACGTTATCGCCGTCTCGAGCGGCGCTGCTGAAGAGTACAGAGACAGGACGAATTGGTGGGGAGAGGAGGAGAGATACGGTGAGTCCTGAGGCTCTGGCGACGGTACTGAAGGACGTGGAGGGGCAGTTGAAGGAGACGGAGAAAGAGGAGGAGGAGGAGGGAGAGCTGGAAACGAGCGAGGCTGCTGTACCGACGTCTGAGAAGACGTTCAGTGGTTCAGAGTCAAGGCCGGTGGCGTCCGAGATGCTGTCGTGTGCTGTGGATAGTGACCGAGGCAATGAGAGCTTATGGATGGACGAAAACGTTTCGGCGGACGGGTTGACTGGATATTTGAAAGTGGCGTCGTCTTTGCTCGAGCAGGAAGGAGTTGAGAGGAGGACGACGCTGGATCCCACGGAAGCTGCACTAGTGGTTGCAGCGCTGCAAAAAGAGGCAGCGAGTTTGAGTACTGGTGCTCCAGAGGTGAAAGCTGAAGTGGAGCGGGACACGCAATCGTTGGAGACAGATGAGCTGAATATACAGACGCCAGTTGTGTCGAACACGTCGGTAGAGGGAGGTACAAAGGTGTCGACTCGAGTGGAGGAGAACGGTGAGCCGGCTGCAGTATCAACGGAGAGCGGGAGAAAAAGCATGCCAAGTCTGTCGCACGATTCTGCGTGCAGAAAGCCACTGTCGCCCGTGATAGCGGTGGAGAGCGGGGCGTTGCCGTCTCCATCGAAACCGATCCAGGCTACGAGATCGCTTACGCAGAGCTACTCGAAGCGACGGACAACTGTCGACCCAAGCGATGCATTGGTCGTGCTGAAAGAGCAGCTGGGCCAAGAGGGTGGTCGTCGACTAACGATTGATGAACACGGTTTACTCGAGTTGACTCGTGCGGCCGGATCTTCTTCAGCCGGAAAGGAGAACACGGCTAAGCTAAGTAAAAAATTGTACCGAAAGCGCGACAGTGACTCAATCGCTTGTGCAGGGAGCCGCAACGACGATTTCCGGCATGTGAACGACGAGCAAACTATGGAGTCAATGGACATAGACTCGTCTTTGCATACGAGCGCTCAGGAAAGTTTTGCAGGTACGGATCACCAACTAGCACCTATCAGCGACCTCAGCTTACTCGCCAAGTCCGCACCATCCCATATTTTGGAATCATCGTTGTTTTCACCTCCTCCTGGTGATCCCCGGACCAGGACGCCGTTGAAAGGAATTTTAAGCGCACGAAAGATGCGGCGGAATAGTCACGACGCTGTACAGACAACACCAAACAAGTCGGTTAATTTTGGTCCGTCACAAGGTGCGGAGTTCAATTACGGGTCACCTTCTACGTCAATGACGCCTATGCTGGCGAAAGATGCTTCGCGTCTGTTTCCGCTGGAGCCGCGGGTATCGTCCGAGGAAGAGCCGGATGACGACGCAGAAACGTCCTTGAACTCATCTATTCTCGATGAGGCTGACTCACTCGATGAGGAAGAGCTTCGGAAAGAAAGGACGTACCAGGCTGCCAACGTTAAGAAGTCAGGGTTTGATCTGCTGCAATCTCGGAGAAATCTGTCGCAAAAACTAACCGACAAAAATCGTCGTCGACAAAGTTTGCGAGGCTACAGTCCTCTCGATTCTCACGCTGAAGCTCGGCGGCGTAGGCGTCAGACCATTAATTTTACTCGTCGTACTTCAACTTCGGGGCCTGCTGTACCAACGACGTTTGCTGCAACCGAAAACCCAGGTGCTGACTCGTCGTCTTCAACAAGAAATCAGTCTTTCTTGAGCGCAAATGCCGTAACAAATACCGGCCGCATGCCTTATGTAGACTCATCGGCATCTTCGGACACCGGAGAGGACATGGAGATCACAGGCGAGTACTCTTTCATGCTGGGACGTGATGTCGATATCAAGGAAAAGCAATCGACACTAGCGACGGATCAAGTTCGCGATGAAGACACGGCCGAGTATAGTTTGGGTCACCTCCTTGCCGAAGCGTCAATGTATGAGCTAGCTAAATCAGTGCCAGAGCCTGATCTTCATGATCTTCCTGGGTCGTTGGGCGACTTGGCCAATGAGGCTGGGGCCAGTAGTCAGGACGGCCAGGCTGGTGGTCTTTTGCTCAGCTTGAGCGGTCAAGATACCGCTCTGGACCCGATCCAAGAAAAGGACGAAACCGTGACTTCTTCTCGGGGCCAGAGTATGATGAGTCTTGATTCTGATGAGAGCGACGAAGAGTACGCTGCTAGTGCAAAATCTCTTCAAGTCAATCTGAAGGCGAAGTTTGACCGAGTTAGTACTGATGGTGGAACCAACTCCCAGCAGCTAGTGCCAGACGAAGTACTTCCTGTTCGTTTGATCACGATGAAAGAACTCTTTTCATCCATCACTTTGAACGAAGAAGATGTGCTGGTGGAGATGTGCGATGCTTTCTTTGGAGAGGAAGGTGCATCATTCAACGATCAGGTGTCAAAGAATGCGGAGCTTGCATGCGCGTATGACACATGTTCGGAGGTGGTTGACCGCCATACTCGGGACGTCTCATCGTGGTCCGGAGCCGTGGCTGAAGAGCTGTCGTCACTGCTTGACATTAAGGCTCCAGCAGTTTTTAGTCCAGACATTCTAGACGATACAGGTCGGGAAGCTATCCAGAAGTTATATGCAATGGAAGTGATGGTGGCTCGAACTGGTTGGTGCCAGCTGCAAGCACAAGTGGAAAAACAGCTCACCAATGGCTTGGCTGTCAGTGCGAATGCGTTGGCAAATGACGTGAAATCGCTGAAAGACAGTGTGTCTTCTGACACGTTGAAGCGTCAAGATGAACTAAGTGCTATACAGGAGATGATCGATCGCGAAGAACAAATAGCTCTTCTTCTGGATGCAATCGAAGAGCAACAGGGTGCTCATGCTGAATACGTGACTGCCGTGAGTGATCTGGAAAAGGAGTGTTCATCATTGTCACTAGAGGAGTCAGTGCTCCAAAGTCGTCTGAAAGTTCTCGAAGGACGGGCTGCCGAGCTGGAGCCCGTGACTCTAGCAGCAGCATCACAGCTTGAAGAGGATGTGCTGGCGACGGAGGAAATGCTTGCAATCCAGGAGAGCATGTGTGTGTGGAAGATTTGTGAGGCAACAACCTTGCATCTCCTTTTAAGCGCTCGATACGAAGATGTGTTGTTTGATGTCGAGATTTGCGTGGATGTCCATGTGGGGTCTTCGTCAATGGGCGAGGCGTCCACTTCGATTAAGACTCACGAGTTTCTCAAGCACAAGGAACAGCACACGTACCTTCCCTACGAAAGTGATGTAGTGCTGGTGCTACAGCGGCTGTTGCTGGATCCTCACTACATTTCCCGAATCGCAGACGAATCTGATCTGGGAGATAGAAACTATGGTTACACGCTGTCCAAGTTGCAGGTCCTGGAACACTTTATCAACCGCTCTTACCGGTTGTTGAAAGAATTGCGTGAACTGTCGACCCGCTTCGACATGCATTATGACGAAGAGGGTAGCACACTTTGGATTGACTTTCTCAGGTTCCCGTCCATGGCTTCGCGTGTTGGTACTGAAGGTGCCAAGTTTAGCGTGGGATTCTCTCTCCTCCCTGTGTTCCCGTATACCGACTACCACACGGCTGTGCAGGTGCTTCATGGACAGGTATGTTTTGCCGTACTGCAATTATGTTTTCCTCGACAGGCGTGTCGTAACAGATGTGGTGCTTTTCTGTTGCTCGTGTATCCGGATAGGTGTCGTGTGATGCTGTAACTAAGGAAATCGAGCTGGTGACACGACAGGAACCAAAGTACTTTACACGAGTGTGCCGGCGACTTCATGAGAGTTTTGCACGGTAGCATGCGGCTCACTTTTTATCCTAGTGTCTGCGGGTCGAGCTGGATCGGGCGAGTCTATTGCCAGACCAAAGTGGAGACAAATTCCAGTGTCGGCAACGTTTGCTCCCGGCTATCTGCATTGTGGGGAGAAGCATCAACAGGAAAGTTGATGCGAGAAAGTTTTTGCGACTAGAGCTGTACAATATAGTTAGAAATGTCAGACCTGTGCTCATGAAAGGGGGTCTCTCGCAAAAATGTTCCTCCAACCACTTACCTTCACCGCGTTTCAGTCCCAGTCGTCGTCGCTGTCGTCCTCGACAATTTGAGGTGCAGGTGGATCGACCCCGGTATAACGATCAAAATGTAATGATGGCTGTGTGGCAAGAGTCTACATGGTTGGTTGCATCAGCACGCCAAGTCAGCTCCGTGTCACAGAATCACGAGTGTTGTAAGTCAGCTACTTACACTGAGCCGAGCAAACTGGTCGGTCATTTGACGCTTTTTCTCCTCCGCTTCTCGTCTGCGCGCCTGGAAATCTAGAGTCTTAGGACGTGGAGGCGCAACGTCCTCTAGCTTTTCCGAAAGTGGCACCATACCTAGTACGTACACGAGACAAAGATCAGCAAACTCAACACCAGCAATCGTGCCTATGTTTGGCACTTGCAACGTACCAGGAGGTTGTAAGGACTCGTACAAAGGAGCTCCGGGCTCGCCTGCAAACCACTGGGCGGCAGTCAACGATGGCTCCTGCTTCGGAACCAAGCCAAAGACATCATCTTGGAAAAAATCCTTCAGCTTTTGTGCTCGCGGAAGAAAAAACGACACTTGTTCCACGACGTTGGGCGTTGCGACAAGCAATCGCGCCAGTTCGACATCGCGAACGTTGCATGTCTTTTTTGGAAGAAGTGCAACACCGCCAATGGTATCCGTACCGGTCATCATGAAAGGCAGATTCGGTTGCACCGTTGCAGCAATGGGGTCAACTTCGTAACTCCAGATGTGTCGACTTCCAGTGCCCACAAGAAACAGTAAGCGCGAACTTGAGTCGTATAACGGGAGTGGCGTTGTAGTGCTACCCGCACTTGCCGCTGGTCCAACTAACGCCGGCGTGCCTACGGGCTCAACCAAGTTGCGTGGATCCCAGAAACTGACCTGCGTCTCGCTCCGTTCGTTCACGCCAATCGTCAGCAAACGCGTCAGATCCACCCATGTCACAAACTGCGGCTTGTTGCTCTCGTGGCCGCAACCGATCGTAACTACCGCACGGTCAGACTGGCGAGGGTCGAATACACGCACAATCTTAGCGCGGCTTGCTGTGGCTAGCAGAGCACCGTCACTGCTAAAAGCCATGTTCCACGCGATGTCGTCCAGCTTGCGCTCCAGACGTAATTTCTCATGCCCTGTCTCGACATCCCAAAAGCGCAACGAGAGGTCGTGGCTTGTTGAGCATAAGACGTCCGCCGCTGTCGGGTTGAACTGAAGTGTTCGCACGCCCTTTGTATGCCCTGATAGTGTCAGCGAGGGATCCCTTGGCGCATCAGATGCGTCCGTTTTAGTCTGCGGAAGAGTCCAAAGCTGAATGGTGGAGTCAGCTGAACCGGTCGCAAGCACGTTGTCGGCAAAAGGATTGAATGCCAGTGCCGACACCATGGCCTTCTGTCCGTTAAGCACTGACACAGCGCCATGCTGTGCTTTTCCAGTAGCACCAAGCTTTTCTACAAGTACGGGCCCACCTGCACCAACAATGGGTGCTGCCCAATAAGTCGCGCTTGCAGCAATCACAGGTGACGCTTGCGTGGAAAACGCGGCGCGCTTATCACCAAAGTAAAACACGTCATTGCGTGGTGCTTCCTTGCCTTGCACGTACTTCAGCTTGTGCCCATATTTGGCACCCAGACGTCGAGCTTTGTCCGACAGCTCGACCGAATCTATGGTCGTGGTCGGATCTTCTCCCATAGGTAGCGCGTCAGGCGTCGTAGCAGCAACAGCTGTGGGAGAAGATTCGTCAGACTTTGTCATTAATGCTTCGGATGCATCCGTCGCTGCAACACGTGAAGTCGCATGTGTGGTGTCGGAACTATCATGGGCAACCGCCGACTCAGTTGCTCTAGCAGTAGCATTCCAAGTGGTGCCAGTACTCCATTGTGTCTGTCCAAGAGAGTTTGTCTCAGTCTTGTGCTCTGGCTCGTTCCACTTTCTCATACTTGATCGCCAGCCTGTCCTGGCATCGGACGCCAAGTTTGATGGTGCACTCGACGACGCCGATGATGACAATGCCTGCCCCCAACCTGAAATTTTCCAACCACTACTTGCGGTCGCGGCACTAGTTGTTGGCGCTCCCCGACCAGGCACACTTGCTGTTGGACGTCCAAACACACTTTCAACCATATCATCGGCACCCTTTACAGTTGGTGTCACGGCCTCCAGCTTAGGATCAGCATTTTGTCCCCGTAGCCACTCCTCAGACGTTATTGCAGCTTCTTTTGACAACGTGTCGGGATACAAGTCGCTTTGAAACGTATACGTCGCCTCTTTGCGAGGAACTCGGTAGCTGATGACTTCGCAGCTCGCGCCACCACTTGTTCCGCTCGTACTAAGATTTAACACGCGCGCAACTTCACACACGTTCGTATCACAGACTGACTTGGGTAGAAGCGTCGCTGCAAGTGTCGTGTCGCTCGATGTGCTGCAGTTTAGTGCATGCACATAAGGGGCGCGCGTCACGTCTACCTCAAACATTCTGGCACTGCGACTTCCCTTGCCAAGCACAAACAAGAGGTCCACATCAGGATCGTAGAGCGGAAACAATTGGCCACCACCTCCTGCATCCACCCTTTCTCGATGTACGCACTTGGCCATGCGTCGAGGGTCCCACAGCTTGAACTCTCGCTCCTGCATCAACGCGTCACTTCCACACGTGACAAAATGCTGCGTCCGTCCACACCATAGCACACCCACGGGTCGTGTACCTGAATGTGCCTTTGGCACTTCGACCATCGACGTCGGATGCTCACGCGGGTCCACCATCCTCACAGCTCGGTCCTGCGTCGCCGCTATCACAGCACGACCATCCCAAGTCCAGTCCGCAGACGTCAACGAAGCGCCTTGTCCCACTGCTCTCTCCAAGCTCATCGTCTCAGCATGCACGTCATACAGTCTCAGCACTCCTCGTCTCGAGTACGTGGCCAAGACCGACTCAGCCGTCGGATGCGGCATAATACCCACTACACTACCCGCTGTATCATGAGAAAACACCGCCACAGGTGTCACGAGCTCGTCCATTCTCTCACCCGGTGACCCCACTCGCCAGAGCTTCACCGTCGCCACAGCATCTCCAGCAGAGAGTAACAGGTCTTCACGAAAACGTGAGAAAGCCACAGCTGTCACGCGTCCCGTCTCGTGTGCGTGCACGACAAGCGGCCGCGTCTCTTTCGACTCCTGACTCTGTTTCCCAGCTGCGTCAATCCCACTCAGAGCTTCCACCTGGACAGAGCCGCCATAAGTATCTGTTGACTGGACAAATGCAAATTGAGAGGACGTCGCAGCAAGAGCGGGACGTTCAGAACTGGCACTTGGAATAGACACGGGCAAGTGCGTCAAGACTCGGGACGCAGGGGCGAGTCGCGTGCTCTCTACGTGACGAAACTTGCTATACAAATGGACACAAGAGATACACAGAGAGAGAGACGGAGCATGTTAGTTATGCAGAGCGTTAGCAAGAGAGAGCGAGAGGGAGAGAGAGAGAGAGAGGGAGACGGCCTTACCTCGTGTGGGACGCAGTCATGACTGTGCTGACGAGTCAGTTTATGTGGTGGACACTAAATACGACCTTCTTGTGACGAAGGTCGACGTTGGTGTGGACGACACCAAACACTAACTTCTCGTTTGTTTCAAACAAACAAACGGCTCGAGATGCTGCGTCGGGTGTGGCAGCGAGCAGGGATGTGGCAGTCACCGACGCGGTTCTTTTGCGCCGTTGCTGTTACTACACAGGACTGTGTGTTGCCGCGTCGACGAGATAGGTCTTCGCCACGTGCTTCGACGTTGCTTCCGCGCGCGCGGTCGCCAGTCAATCAGACGCTGCCAAGAAAAACGCTCCGCGGTTCGAACCAATCGAACGTTTTATTGTCCAATCAAACGCCGCCCACGACTTTTGTAGCCACTTGTCGCGCGTTGCGCGCCATTGACGAGACGGCGCTATTGGCGACGATTGACGTCCGGACGTGGAACGTGGCACTGCAGCGACGACTGGAGGCTCGAGACGAGCGCGGGGCAGCGGAGCTCTTGGGTCTAATCGCGAGTTTCAGTCGTGAAAATGCAAGTGTACCCATGTGGACCGATTTGTTTTTTACGGTGTTACGACAGCGTTCTTTACGCGGGTTTCGAACAGATGAGATGCAGGAGCTCTTGAGACAGTTGAAGCGGAGATACGGGCCGCAATTTGTGGCTCGCGTGCTCGTAGACGTGGTCAATGGCTGTGCCAATATCAAGATGTTTGCAGCTGCTCACGAGCTGCTGCTGTACCAGCAGACGTTGTGGTCGGAGATTCGCTCCGGTACTACTACTACTACAGACGAGACATTGACGACGGGGTGGAGCGGGCAGAGTGAAGCGCTGATGCCGCCATCGGTGGTTGGCCACTTGATGGCCAAGATGATGCACAAGAAAAAGCACGGTCAAGTGCTGGCGCTTGCACGCGCGTATTTTGCTAGTGCTGCGTTCGATCCAGTGCGAGATTTCCAGCAACAAGGGTTCCTTGAACTGTTTAAAGCAAGTGTGTACGCGCAGCAAAGTCCGAGGAATGTGGTGCACGTGTTTTTGGGCTATGTGGAGGGAACGTGCCGTGCAGCAGGAGGCAAGGTGGAGAAAGTGAGGACACGAGTGCTCGAGCGAGGCTTTGGAGCTGCGATTCACTGCTGTGTGAAGCTTGAGGAATACTCGCTGGCGTTGCATTGTTATGAAGTGATGGAAAGCACACGAGAGAGACTCGTTTGTGCTGGGGACGGCTTACCGGTGGACGACGCGATCGACGAAGCTGCAGAGAGGGTTTGCATCGTGGATGAAGTGCTGCCAGCTGATGAAAATATATACGTTAACGTGTTGAAAGCATGTATGGCGATCGAGGATTTCTCCACGTTTAAAGATGTGTTCCGCGGGATGGTAGCTCGAGGTGTGGCTCGTAGTGCTGGATTCGGTTCAGCGATTCGTTATTGTCACAAGCATTTGGATCCAGTGTTCCTTGAAGAAGTGTTGGACGGGGTATGCTGGACAGAACAGAAGCTTGCAGGTGCCTGGACACTAGAGATAGAAAACTATAACGATGCGCTTGGCTGTTTTGCCGCTACGAATAGACCGGACCAAGCTAAGGAGCTGTTCTCGCAAATGCTGAACAACCCATCGATAGTGCCCGACCATATTACGATGCTCGAGATGGTGGAGAGTCACCGCAACGCCTCGATCGAGGAGGTGTTTAATCTCATGGATGTGTTTCTTGAGTGGAAACTAACACCGAATCTTCAGGTGTTCACGTCGCTGCTGTCCATCTATATGCGCCGTCGCGAATCAGACAATGCTGTTGCGCTCATCGGTGCGATGGAAGAGCATGGTATCGTCCAGGATGTGAAGGCATTCACGACTGTCGCGTTCATTCATGCATCTCGCGGTGACTTGAAGGCTGTGGGAGACGTTTTACGAAACATGGCTAGTCAAAGTGTTGCTACCGACAGGATGTTCTTTGACTACGTCCTCAACGCACTGTACGGGTCGTGCGGTATCGATATGTGTTTCTCGCTCTTTCGTGAGCTGAGTGCACACGAGCTGGCGATCCCAGAAGGGCTGTATATCTCGCTGGTTGATCTCGGTACCACGATTGGTTTGATTGAGCGCACGCTGCATATTGCGTACAACATGGAGTGCGAAGGCTACCATCTCTCATCGAAGCAGTTGTACGCGTTGATGATGCGTTGTCACTCGGACGGCGAGATTTCGGAGTTTGTGTGGACATTTGTGCTGTTACACCAGGGCGTGCCACCCGAGACTCCGCGCTTTGAGGTGGAAATGTATGAAGATTTGATATCGATGCTGACGCAATTCAATCGCAAAAACGAAGTCTCGAAAGTGCAGGAGCTGGCTAGATCAGTGGGGTACACTGATTTGATTGTTTAAGCATACTCGTTGGTGCGATTCGCCGCACCGCGTCACGCTCAAGGCATATTTACCCATGAAATAACGGTCCGTATCGTTCTTCTTTCACACGGCATTTTTTCTGTTTTTTGTTCCATCTATGCTAATATCCGGTGTCGACGTACTGCTCAAGCTGCTTAAGCAGGGGTTGGTAGAGCTTTTCGTTGGCTTGAACAGCCCAAACAAAGTCCAAATGGCCAAAGCTGCTGATCTCTTTCTCGTAAACAATTGTGCTGGACGGCAACGCAGATCGTAACTGATCGATGTCAGCTCGAGTGGCGAAGATGTCGTTTTCACCAGTAAATAATCCGGTGCGAGGGTACTCCATGCTGCTGATGGAAAAATCTGGTGGGTCAAAGCTGCCGTACTTGACTTTGTTGATGCACCTGTTTTTCGGACACAGGTGAATGCCAAGCATGCGAGGACATCTGCAGCCATAGTCGAACGCTGAAAAGGTGTTTTCGCGGATGCTTTGGGCATAGTGGCGCATGCTCTTGACGGAAGTTCCTGAGGGCACATCTGAAGTGTAAGCGCCTATACGAGATGCGTTCAAGTTCTCCGTAGATTTGACTACGAGTGCAAACCCCGAGGCGCACAATTCCGGATCCATGTGGCATGCAGCCGGTTGAATGATTTTTCGTAGCAACGCGTTATGTGAAAAGAGCTGGACTTGATTGGAGGCCTCAAGGACCTTGTCGAAGTAGGCACGAGCAAGGAGCTTGAACGTCCTCGACGCTGTATTACCTAGCCAGGCAACAGGTCCCAGAGCCGCATAATAGGACACGGATCGAGCAAGGGTCTGGTTTTCAGCAAACGCAACGAATGCCTGAGTTGACCCCTGCGAGTACCCGACAAGGGCCAGTGTCTCCCGTCCCGACGTCTCCAGAGCATAGTTGAGCATTGCTGGCATGTCGAACTTGCCCATCTCTTCCCATGAAAAGTCCCAGAACGCATCGTCTTTGGTCGTGTACCTAACGTGGCTGGACGAGTACGTATTGCCGCGATTATTCCCAAGCCAGACATCGTAGCCAGCATCAGCAAGCACGTAGGCGAGACTATGGTTCCGGGAGTCGCACACCCATGCGAAACTACTGGCCACCATTCCATGCTGGACGAAAACAGCTGGTTTGTTTCGGTCTGCCTTGTCGTTGTCGGTGGTATCTGCTTGGCTTTCTTCGTACGACATTGGTAAGCGATGCATGGAGAGGATGTATCCATCTATTGTCGTGACATTGTGCGTCTCCACTACATAGCCACGCGCTTGAACGAGCTCGACAGTGGACTTCCCAACATCTGGATCAAGATTTAGCTCAACTGCCGTGACTTTGTCGAAATGCAAGAGCGAGTGAGTCAAAGCAAGCAGCGCGAGTTCCAAGCACAGGATCACGAGGGCTTTGTCTCGAGATAGAAAGACCTTCAGCAGTGTTGACATGACAGGCCCTTGGCTGGCAGAGGGATTGATCGGGCCAGAGGAGCTTGTTGGAAGGCAACTCTGAGGTATGGTAAAAGTGAGAATGATTTGAAAGCTAGCAATAGCGCGTGGCGCTCTACAGATACTCTCGACTGCTACTCTGTGTGTCGTGAGCGCTCGCTGTGTACTACGTCCCATGCGCGTGGGTCATACTGCTGATTCTGGTCTGGTTGGTAATAATGATATGCAATGAGCTGACAACTGGTCGGACTAGGTTGAAGTGGAGATGACGTCTCGGTCATGTCAGACATGATGACGTGGACGATAATGGATGGCTACGGAAGATCGACGATTGATGCCGGGAACTGGATGTTCAAGATACCTATCGAGCTGGTACAGTACATCCTGTGCGAATCAGTGCCTATCCTAGCCGGGTAATCACTTGTCCAGTCTATATTCACTGCGATGTAATCCTGCATCTCGTCTCACGTACAAGTGGTTTGTCGAACGATTATAAATTGGAGAACGTTCCGAAATGATCAAGTAGAGACTGGTACTGTGCTGCTGTGCACATTTTAACAGGTTGTTCTGACTACCACGTACTAGTCAGCACAAAAATGAGTATCTGTGGCTTGTCTTTGATCACGTCCGGTCATCTGGATATCCATACAGCTGCCTCCCGGGATTTCTCTGGTATCCCAGCTGGTTCCTTACTCGCGCTCTCTCGTCCAACCATTAGACTGCAACTAGGACCAATGCAGCATTGATGTGGCAACTGTCAAAGATACTGATAGTAGTTAAAAATGGCAGCTAGCAACTTGGGTCTTGCTGTACCGGTCTTTCGAACATAATCAAGGGAGGTTCTTACGCTGCAAGAAGGTGGTTATCCGCGTATCACCAGTACTGCACAAGAACACTGTGCGTACGATACGGTTCATTTGCTGTGTCAGACAACGACTCGATACTTGACTCCTCGTGTTCTCGTTTCAATGAAGTAGTGCAGTCTCTCCTGGTCCAATATGCTGAAACAAGCGTGTTCAAACAGGGCTGCAGAAAGAACTTGAAGGCTCTGGAAGAATTGCTAACGTCGACGCTGCCCCAAAGGACTCTGTAATGCTGTGACCAGATTTTCATGGAACGAAGTGATCCTGGCTGCTTGTCGAACGGCTTCAAATACTAACTAGCCACCTTCTTTACTTGACGATAACGTGCCGACAAGCTAGTGCTGCGGACTTACGCAAAGCATCGACAGGACTTCATCGAGCGCCGAAAAGATTTGGATACGAGAAATTGGCTGTCACGGAGACGTTGGCAAGCACAACATTCGGGGACCAAGTACTTGACGTTGCGTCAAAGGGTCTGGAACGGTAGTAATTGCTGCCTGTCATATGTGGTCGAGGTGCACCCGGAAGCTAACCAAAGAACGCGGAATGGATCGAACAATTGGGAGAGCTTGTCAGTGACTTCACAACCTCAGTTCGTGGTCGCGGTTCAAGACCGTTGCTATCAAGGTCGATGAAATACTCGGTGTAAGCTGCACACGCTCCTTTGTTGGCTTACTGGACACGGGAATGCCTTGTGTGAGCCCGAATGGTCTGGTCAGCCACGCCGACTACCTTCCTGTTCATGTTGTTTATCATCCAGCTGTAAACAGACAATACACGCTTCACCAACCAAGCAGTTGATCTTGATGTTGTTTGGCTCCTATGTTACTCATCGGACATCAATCGACGTCTCTGGATTGCGACATCGAGGCCCGTGGGTCCCATAAAGTCAGCAGCCTTATACTCGACGTCCAGATCTACGTCGTCGCTTACACGTTTATCCGGTCACCTTTGTCATAGCTGTGAATCGGTAGCCATCGATCTGTCAAGTCGTTACGAAGCAAGTCTATCTCGAGACAGCACAGCATTCTCGGCAAAAAGCTGCAGCGAGTATACCGGTTAAAGCAACAAAGGTGCGCGCCCAGCAGCGACCCATCCACATTCTTCTTCTGCCAAAATTCGTGCTATCCAATGCAAACAAAGCTACCCGACAGGAACATCCGACCAGATCGAGCTTCGCTGCCGAGACAAGAATAGACGTGCCTTGTTTAGGCCCGTCGATGTGGTCCGCACGCAGCATACGTCCATTGCATGCCACAACATTTTGACTGAACGCGCTGATGCCTTCCGGGACGTTAACACTCGATTCGACTCTTTGCAATCGAGCGAAGCAGGTGCCGCCTTCAAAGACTCACTCCATCAAGAAAACAAATGACACACCAATGCCAAACACGTACGAGGCAGGCGATACATCCGTCTCGACCATGCAAACAAGAACGATCCTAGTTCTAAAGCTGAGTGCTGCTGCGCCGGATCTGACATTGCTGCAGCATTGGAGTCCTACAACATCACCGCAACCGTCGGTATATTGGCAGCGGATGGCAGCACCGACTTATTACAGTATCACTTTGCAGCAAGAACCCGATGCTGCTGCTTTTTTTCTTCTCTGACACAAGATTTAATAACTTCTTGGACTCATGTAGACTCCAGCTTAATTGAGGCACCAAGACGTAGAGCTCGTAAAAGTGTCAGCATCGTTCACCCGCACTTGCTAGACCGCAGAGATGTCATGAGAGAACCGTGATTTTACACGAAACACATCGCCAAATTCGTCTTCGCTTTTCAACTGCTCAAACGTGCAGATCGAGGTAACGAAGGCCCGAGGCGGTATAAAATCCACTTGAAAATGCACAACCTAGTCGGTGTGAAGACCAGTAGATGCTTTTAACTTGGTAAGGTACAGTCAGCTTATAGAAAACGAGGTAGTCATCAAGAGAGAGAATAGCGATAACGAGATGATCACTCCGGATAGCTCCATCCGTTCTTTCCCAGCGTCATGCCGCGCCATTCTCATCCATCAAACGTCCAGCTTTCACATTTCTCCACAGACTAATAATCATGATAATCCATCACACCGTCGCTCGCGACCAGCCGATCTGCCGTTGTGCTTGCCCACGATAAATCATCGTGCGCAGCGTCCCGCACAGTAATGCACGTACTACAAACCTTCATCAAATCGTGTCGTCGGTTCCTTGTCTGCTTAACCGACGTGTCCGTAAACGGGAGGTGACGTTTGTACTTGGAACAAGGGCCACAACAAATACGTCCACACAATCGGCAATGGTGACGTCGCACAAGTAGGCCAAACTTGCGTGAGCACACCATACACGAGCGCTGCGTTTCATACGGTACCCACTCGGGCGGGTGCACAATAAACTTGGCCAACCACGCGAGCTGAGGCGGCGACAAAATGTCCAGCACCATCACACCTTTATTGTTACGAATCGTCATGCCCGCATGCTCCCTCACAAGAGCTGCTGCTACTTTTCAAATGCCCTGTGACACTGCAATATGCAAGACCGTATTGCCTGCTCCATCAATAGTATTCGGATCGCTCCCGTTTTTCATCAGTAATTGCACAATCTCAGGATTATCTCCGTCCTGGGCCGTCAGCACATGAGCAATGATCGGGAACACGTCCCGCTTGCTCTTAATCGTCGGATCTGCTCCCCGCATCAGCAACAGAGCCACCACCGGAGCTGCCGACGCGCCCGAGCACGTCGCAGCAAAGTGCAGAGGCGTATTGCCATTGCGATCCGGCATATTCACGAGCGGTTTAAACTCTCGAGCTGTCAAGTGTTGCACGGCACTGAGGTTCCCGTACTTGGCAGCAATGTGCAGTGCAATTTGCTCCTGTTTGTGCGACTTCATGGACGCTAAAACCAGCGCTGGACCGTCGTACATCGCAAGCAGCGACGCAATCATCGCGTCGTCCCCTCGTTTAGCAGCTCGGTGCAACGTCGTGTACCCCCACGCGTCCGGTTTGTACGGATGGTACCCCTTGTTTTTCCACTTTGTAGCCATGAGCAGGCTAAACCGCAGCGACTGGGATTCGCAAATCGTCTTCATTCTTGTATGCAGCGCCTGCGAGACCTTCGTCGACACGCGCTCGTTCGTCCACACGTGCAGGTGCTGGAGCGCGACGGGGATCTCGTAGTCCGAGTCCATTGTGGACGTGGACGAGAACGACTCGTCTTCGAGCGGCGCCGCGGCGTTGGGGTACGCGGGGGTACGCGGGACGGGATGGCACGCCATTGTGAAAGTAGCTGCTCAAAAGGTGGTAATAGAGGCGGGGGATATTTTTGTTGGTATTGGATATTTGTCTGACTCGTTTGGATAAAAGGGGAGAGAGAGCGGGCAGGCGGGCGCGCAGCGAAAAGTATACGTTGGTCGACGGTTGGATCGTGACATTTGGTGCAGAAATGAGGCGGACGGGCGACGATGTTAAGTAAGTGCAAGGATCTTGTGGCCGAGGAGGGGTGGGGGAGATATAGTTGGTACGATGTGAAGCGTGTCACACGGTAGTCACGATGGTTAGAAATAGAGGCGGAGACGACGTGGTTCATGTTGTCGTTGTGGCACTGTATTGTACATTTCTAAACGGGATAGAGACACGCGCGTGTATACAGATGGATTGATAGATGTATGTGCATGTATGTGTGTACAGACGACCTGTTTATTCCTGACGTGAGCTGAGCCAGGTAATCGACAACCTCGCCATGCCAGGTCGACTATACGTTTCTATAGCAAGTAAACACACGTGAACGAAGTGTTACTTCCGTGCACTTCTCAACGTCAAGCCGGTCAAGAATCAGCTCTATTCGAATCGAACCAAAGCTTCGTTTCATGGTCGTAGTAGTGTCGTTCAAAAATACTGGCAGACGTCTTCTACTCAAAATTCGACTGCAGGCTAGTAGCAGCAGTTGTAGCAGCGGTTGTAGTAGCAGGTGCAAGAGCATCTCTTCCTCTCCAGTAGCTCCACTGCACCGGCATTACTCCGCACCTCCACCTTAGCAAAGATACCACAGATCCGGGAAAATTTGTCCGCACGCGTCCATATCGTCATCGTCATTGAGACTCCCGCTTGACCTTGTGAGCACACGAGAGGCAGCCGCGGCCGTGGCGTTTTGCACGACTAGACGGTGAAGGACAAAGTGGATCTCCACGCCCATGTCCTCGGATCCATTGGACGTCATCAAGGTGCAGTGTCGATAGATGGGTCCTGTTGCCTGTGCCTGAAACGCCTCGTTCAAGTCCACCTGAACGTGACCAAGGCAATTCGGCTTCTTCGTAAACCCCGACGGGCCCCGCGAGACGTCGATCGTCACTTTCTGGTACTGCGCGTCGTGCTCTCGTCGTTCAAAGACGAACTTCTCATCAAAGTCAAACGTCCGATCGTGTCGTTCCGCCTGAGCCGAGACTTTCGTCGTCCCGCCGCTGCGGAGGGTACACACGAGACGAGGCGGTACCTGCTTCGATAGTTGAGGCTTCGGTATTTTCTTCGTGGTCGTCGAGCCCCAGACCAGCGACTTTTGCAGCAGGCGACTCGAGCCAAAGGTGCTTGGGAGGTCGTGTTCGTTATTCGTCGACGTAGCTGGATCCGGGATTGTAACTTTTTGTATAGCGACGACCACAATCTCACATATGTCGCCCCGCCCGTCGCTACTAGTAGTCGTGCCAGAGAGGTCGTCCACGCCGGTTGGACTGCTCTGACCGCCCCATAACTTCAGCGGAGGCGTCATGAACGTCTTCGTAAAGAACGTCTTGGTCATTGACGTTAACGACGGCATGAGCGCTGTTTTCTTGACCAGTGCTAGCGACTGAGACGTCGAGGAAGTGGAGGAGGGTGGGAGTTCCATGTGGAAGCAGAGACTGTGTGTGGTTGTCTGGAGCTGCTACTACTACTGTTAGCAAAGGAGGAGGAGGAGGACGCGAACGCGCTTGTGGGAAAGTGACGGCGAGTAAGCGGAGAGAAAGCGATGCGGCACGTGAAGCGAGTTCCGCGGAATGGCCAGCGCGTCTTCAAAAAGAAGACACGCGACGGTTAGCGCAGTGGTCGTGTCAAGCACAGTCGCCACAGCTGACGTACTGTGACTTTTACTGACCAGATCTTGGCGTCGTGTGCTAGAAAGATCGCGTACTGGATGTACAACACGTTTGTGTCTGTTTGGACTGATGCGTAAGTCGGTTCTGCATATCCCGAGTGACGGTCCCAAGTCGATGACCCATCGAACACGACCGAAGCGCAGCTGCTTGCTGTTGTGAGGCTGATGATGAGGTTTTCAGCCGCTCATACGTTGAGCAAATGAAGATATCTTGCCTCACGCTCGCTCCTCCTTCTCGCTCTTCCATCTGGTGCAGATTCAGCCAGATAGCCAGCTGTTCAGTGACCTGCCGGCCATAGCTGCTGCAGCGGCGTAACCGTATGATAGCGTGACGTCCGTTACTAACGCCGTGATGAGTCGACGGAGGGATGACCTCCAACCCTGAATCGAATAGACTGGAAGGGCTCACAAACGCAACTCTGATAATAACGGCTGGACCGGAGACAAACAATACCGAGCCGCAAAAAAAGAACGTCGAATCAGATGACTGGCTGGCTGGCTGCTGTCACAATATCTGATTCCCGTAACGCCTGCTGTCGATATCTGATCCCGACATGGAGTCGCTCTTTGTGCGGTCTCTGGCACTGGAATCGGTAACCGTCCATGCCCAGACGCTCACGAGCGCCTCCCGTACAACAGCTGACACCACTTTTGCAGTCGCTGATGGACGCGAGGGCGTCATCCGCGTATACGCGGCCTCGTGCTCCGCGTTACTTCACGAGTTTGCGTCCATCCATAATCGAGTGCACGCGTTACATTACACGAGTTTTTCCGACAGTTTAGTGACACTCGAGAGTGATGTAACGAGGGTAGGGGACCGTCCCCCAGCTGGCGACAACACGGACAGCGACGAGACAACGGCAATGGAAAATGAGGACGAGGCTGAGACATTTCTGTGTGTATACCACGACTGGCGGGCGCGCCAGATGGTGCGTGGCTACACGTTGCCGCTTGGGGTGCTCGAAAAGTCGTCGTCCAATCAGAAAGCCGATTGTGTCGCTGTTTGCAGCTTTACGGGTCGTGTGGTTGTTGCAATGGGGACACGACTAAACATCTGGCAGTGTAGCCATCATTTCTTTGAACATGTGATGGAGCTCCAAGTAGACATGACCCAGCGTCATGCTTTCATGCAACTTGAGTACGTGGCCATCCACGGCGTGTACGTAGCTTACGCTTCGCAGACAGAGGTGCGCGTGATGGAGATCCACGTGAGGAGCTCCAATGACTCGTCACGTTTATTGGATACAGCAGCAGCAGCGGCAGTAGCAGCGGTGGACAAAACGACGGTCTTGGAGAACTACAGTCGGAAACCGAACGATCGAGACTCCGTGCCTGAAGACGCAGCACATTGCATGCAAATTGCAAGCTTCGAAGACTTGAACGCGATCGTACAAGTGCCAGTATCGTGCTCGGCGTATAGCACAATGGAAGCCGATACGAAACAAGAACAGAACGAGCGGCGTCTGTTTGACGAGCACGAGCAGATCCCCATGGTCCTTGGACGCAACGAAGCTCAGCAGGAAATGTGGAATCTCGCTGGTTTAGTGAAAGCTCAGGATATTCGCGCGAACCAGGCCATGTCGTATTACATCAGTGAGAACGACGTGCGGGTGCTGCTGCGGCGCTATTTGCCTCCAAATCACCGTGTGCAGTCACTCAAGTTCTTGCCGGAAACGATTGACAACCGCATGTGTGTCGAGACGAGGAGCTACACGCGCTTGCTGATAGCCACGGAGAAAAACGCGTTTATTTATTACTTTTTGTCCGACAAAGTCGACTTGACGAGGAAGAAAATGTCCAAGAAGGTGCTAGGAATGACCGAGCGATCGAAGTCGAGGGGCATGCATACACCGATTCAAGTAGGAGGCGTTGCTGACAAGCGAAGAAGCGATTCTTTCGCTAGTGTGCAGAAAGATGAAGACGAGGACCAGGATGAGACAGACAATTCGATGGAGTCAGGACGGGTCGTGATGCACTACAACTTTACTTCGGTTGTCACTAGCATCACGGCTAACAGCTCTTTTCTCTTTGTCGCAACGCTGTCTGGGCTGCAAGTATGGTCTATTTGGAGTCCATGTCACTACGTCGCAGCTAGTCGCGCATTGAGCAGATCACTCGTCCCTCAGCCTTCCCAGCCCCAGCTTTTGTGCACGCAACCCATTCCGTATCCGGTATCACAGCTTGCTGCACTTGACTCATACGTCGTCTTGCTCCCGCAAACGAATGCGTTGGAGCGTCATGGACCGAATGACATTTTGCAGCTCGCAAGTCTAGTCGCAAGCGATCGTCTCCCGGAAGCTGAGTTTGAGTTGCGCTCGCCTCTCGACGTCTCAAGAAACCCGTATCAACGCAGCATCGTCATTTTTGAACAGAGCCCGCCATCGTTGATATTTTCCTACGTGCGGCAAGGCGTGCAATCCGTCAACGGTACTTTGAGACCATTCCAGATCGACTTGCTATTGAGCTTGTTTTCGTTGTACCGTTATCGTGCTGATGTGGGTTTCGACTTGCTGCGTCTTGCACTCAGCAACGACGCATTTCGAGATGAGGATATCGCTTCGATGTCGGGTCAGAAGGAGAGACTGGCTCTCAAGCTTGAGACGAAGTTGTACGACCGTCTCGCTAAGGAATGTGCGGCAGATTTAGCCGCTGTCTTCATGTCGGAGCACCATCGCAACTTAGACCGAGCCGCTCTTCTGTTTGTTGCTTCGGACGTCCCCTCCATCGAGGTGATGCACCGTCTCGATGCTATCGTCGGGACAGTCGATCGATCGGAGGTCATCCAAGCTACAGGGAAATACCTGGACGCGTTCGTCTATCCGCCTCCTAAATCACTTGCTGACATTTGCTCGCACAGACCTGCGCGAGGCGCCAACCCTGCTGATACCGAGTTCACGAGGATCGTGTTGTCACACTACGGCAAGTACTTCCCTGAGCAGCTTTCTCGGCTGATTGTCAATTCGTCGTTGGAATGGACGTTGGAAGACATCGCATTCGCACTCAAACAACTGGGAGAGTCTTCGAGCCACAGCGCACGCGTGAAGATTGCACGACTTGTCCTTATCTTGCGTGCAACTGCTTTCCACGCAGACGATTGGGATGTTTTCCGGACACCCGAGCAATCATCTGCCGAGGACTTTGGCACGGAATGCTCGTACACTTCCATGCTAGCTTTAGTAGATGACCTGTTGCAGAACCACGTCGATGAGCTTGTGCACTTGGCGGTGACACGCCCAGACCTGCTTGTTCAAGAAATAGCAATGGCCAAGAGCGAACAGGGAGCAAGCTGTAGGCACCTTTCTAGCTCAAACCTGACCAAGGCGTTGCTTGAAGATGCTCCACTGAAATACTTGGACATCTTGGAGCACATTTTCAACAGTGCAATAGGTGGCCAGGAAACCATCCAGTCGACACTTCGTTTTTGCTTGAGTGCAATCGGTGACGCTGCGGCGACGTCACTGACAAAAATCACTCCGTCATCTTCACCGTCACCGGATGAGGTGCCACCATCAGCCACGTCTTTCGTCCCAGACCAAGCTCTTGTACTCCGCTTTCTGGTGTTTGTTCTTCAGATGTTTCCAGTACTTGAACAGTTATCGGAAAAAGAAGAAGTACAAGATGACGAAGAGGACTTGCACAATGCGAAGGCATCCGTGGCAGCAGAATTAACGCGTTTGTGTGTCAAGTTGAGCTCGTTGTTCCATGGTTCCGTTAACAGCGACGAAGGCGGGCATGTGGAATCAATGCTGTGCGATTTGTTTGAGCCAGCGGTAATGGAAGCAGCTACCCACGGACATCTGCCTGACTGGATACAAGAGTACTTGGAAACGCGCTGTCTGCCAGCGACACCTAGGCTGCGCCAAATTCTCCAGTTTCTTTTCTCCCAGGTTCTAGGATTATTGCACGAACGGGACTTAATCAGTCCCCAAGACGTACTGTCAGCGCATGAAATATTTGACGGAAACTCGCCAGAACAGATGCGATGGAATGTCGAGAATGATTTGGCCGCGCTCGTTGTCCTCCTAACGTTGCCTCGCGTTTCCAGGTACGCAACCCAATATGCTTGTCCTCTTACGAATGTTTTCCGGGTGCTGATTGAGTTAAGTTGTGCCCACTTCCAGAACGGTGGACGGACTGAAGCTCATCGCCCAACGCGCTGACTTCAGTAATTTATTCCTGCCGTATGGCAAGAGCTTCTGCGTCACCCTGGATGAATGGCGCTTTCTGATCAGTACCCTGTCTCCAATCTCGCAACTGTCAACAGAGGTACGTGTCGTCCACAAAATGCCCAGTACGTGTTGTTTAGATCCGTTTCCAATGTTGCGTGCCGTGCTTCAGACGCGCAATGATGCGGTCCGTCACGAAGATGCAATTCTGGAGAAAATCCTCAGCCACATATGCTTGACGCTCAGCCCCGAAGAAGTACTCCAAGTTTTGCCCGACGACGGCGATCTTGAGTTGTACTTGTCGACCATTGAAGTCAGCCTGCAATTGGACCAGGTGCGGGAAAAGCAGGGCGTTAGCCAAACGGCGAATGCTGTTGCAGGTTAAACGCGAGGGTCTGCACATTCGATCCTCGTCAGCGATTAAGGCTCAGTGACAGAAACTTGCGACCGAAAGGCCATTCCCTGTTTCTCCATTAGCTTCGTAGTCGCCTCAATGTACTGTTTACCACAGACGAGAAGTTGCACGTGTTATTCAGTCAGTTGTGAAAGTGAACGCGATGACAGAATAGATACCAACACTCACAGCAGCACGAGTTTGACGAAAGTGTGTTTTCTCGGTAGCCTGAACAAATGTCCGAAACTGGACGACCCATCTCTTGTTGGCCTCTAACGCCACAAAGCCCTCATTGCCTCGTGCACGCCGTACAATGCGTTCTTCTTCTTGCCGGTTCTCATCAAACAATAATCTGGTGGCCATCTCAGCCGCTGCTGCACTCGTGAATCCACGGGCGCTCCCGCTTTCATACTGCGGTGATGCATCGATGAATGAAGAACTGCCGTTTGAATCCAAGACAGCAGCCGTTCCGTCAGGTGCGATTACTACCACAGGGTCCCAAAACAACAACCGGTCCATATCCTGCACGAACTCGCGCACACGCCTCGCCGGAGTATGCACTGGTAGTCGAACGTCCAGTCGAAGAGGCCACAAGAACTTGTGAAACACCTCTGTCGTGTGGCTCACTGTCCCGCCCGCAGGAATAAACGTCTTGGTATTGTCGCGGGTTGCTAGTACAATAAACCCCAGCGGTGCATCACAGACAACACCTTTTCGTGAGCCATGCAGATAAATGATCGAGTCAAGATGCAGCATGTTGGCCAGAAACATATAGTGTGCACCCATGACATTGCGTAGCTGATTGCACGAAAAAAAGCACCCAATAAATACACACACGCATACGTTTGCACCATCAGCGTAACCTCAATAACGTCAACCTCCTCTCTTCTACTCCGTACCAATGGCAGTGCAGCAAGAGCAATGGAGACAAAGAACCCAACAGAAAAGAGCAGCTTCAGCTCACTCGATTCTTCAATCCAAGGGGCAATGTAGTACGTGTACACAACCAGCACAAGCAGCAACATCTTGGCCAGGGTACTGCCTTCGTACAGGAGCGTCATCCGTCCTGGTTTCTCGTCCTTCTTGTACCCCACAACGCCTTTCCGAACAATCACTTCTCGCAGTACATTTCCACCTGCGTCCATCCAAATGAGAAAGCAGATGCCAAAGAGCCAGGATGGCCATTTATGCAGCAATAGTGACAAGCGAGAGACCAAGATAGCAATCCATAAAAGTCCGGCTCGACACAAAAGTGATGTCTGCCACATCATCATCTGCGGTGCTTCATCGGGCCAGCTGATTGCGACATCAAATATACAATGTGTCAACAGTATTAGATGTGCGAGATAATAGGTATATAGAGGTTATGTCGCATTCCCAGTTGCTCACGTACATCCACTTGGTCGGACAAGCTTTCCGGACGACCCAGAAGAGGCAGCGAGCGATGGACTTTGCGAGTACAGTAGAGAGGAAAAAGAGCACGATGGACGCATAGGTGTTGATACTGCCGCTCTTGGTCTCGTGCCACCAGTGTCGCCACGCATCTTGCGTCGAGTCCGACACCATCTTGACTATTAAGTTTTACAGGCAAAAAAGAAGGGTGTCTTATTGGTTAAAAACATCCCATCTCATCATGAGGACGAGGATGGCTACATCGTTCGTCAGTACACCAAACGACTTGTCCGGCGTCACGTTTTCTTTCTGGCACTAATCTTCCTCATCACTAGTGATTGCATCCTGTTCCTTCTCCATCTTGCGCAAATACGCCCGACGATCCCGCTCTCGCATTCCCTCGATTGTATCCTCAAACTCGCGCTCTTTTTTCTCGTGTTCCACTAGCAAGTCGTGCTTACTGCAGGTCCAGCAAAACCAGTGGATGCAAACGCATTCAGTAATAAACGTGAGGCCAAAGGAAGTCACAGCAGCTATAGCACGACATGCACCAAGCGAGACACACACCTCACGACAATGTCTTTGGTCAAACAGCATTTGGCACAAATGTCTCGCTCCTGCAAACAGACAGAGCCATCGAGTCAGCCACGTCGTCCGTTCACTGCAACGCTAGCCCAACGACTACCAACACGCACTGCTGCAATGTGTAGATGCATCCATTCTCACCTTGGCACAAGTGTCACATGAAGAATGATACGCAGACGTCACGCTTTTCTGGTGACAAAAGATACTGTAATCGATTGACACACAGCAACACAACAACAACAACAACAATCAGAAGAACTCTTCACGCAGACTATCATTCGCTGCAAAACGGTGAGGCACATATGATCTACAACAGTTCCCATTGGGCAACGCACCAAGAGCCTGGCTGGGTCAGCGGTTTGTACTTGCGGTACTTCTTGCGCCACTCGATCTGTTGGCGGCACTTTTCACACAGTCCATGGACAGGCATCGACAAGATGCGCTCCGTCTTCTTGGACTTGGGATTGTGTCGAAATGCGAACGAGTTCTGGTGCTTGGGCGCGCGCTTTTTCATGTTCCCTCGCTGCGTGCTCATGATGAAGGACGTCGGCACTCGCGTGCAAGTCGCAAGTCGAGCGGCTAGTCGTGCCCAGTCAAATGAGCTGCTGAGAGGATGGGTGGACCACACGAGACGAGACGTGTAGCCAATGTGATGTACACAAATAAACAAACGATGATGATACGCGATTGTTGTTTGTTACGGAGAGCCTGCATCCACCTTTTCCCCTCGTTTGACTGACGCAATGGTTGCAGGTATAGCTGGCATTATCTTATCGTCCGTAGGTCTGAGTGCGTGTTCCTCGCGGATGGACCGTTGTAGAGTCGTAACTTCTACGCATTCCTATTGAGTATGATCATCAAACCACGACCTCGTGGCCTGACGACGTTCGAGTAGAATGAAAGTTTGCATTGCATGATGCTCAACTCGATGGAGGCTAGGACAAGAGGGTCCGAACGAGACTTGGTCGCCTTCTTTACGCGTGAACCGATATGGACGGGCATCCATCATGTTCCAACTATTGTACGTCTGTCTGTACGATAGAGGAGACCATCATGACAGAATCACCTGGCTAACATAGGTGATCCTCAGCGCTTTTTGCTACTGGTTCTAGTGGTCGCACCCTTAACCTTGTCCATTTCCGCTGTGCTATACCTGGGTATATCGATTTTATAGCTTACGAGGTGGTCAGTGAACGACCATAGCACAACATTGACATCCTTCTCTGCAGACTCTTCTTGGATCACTGGAGATGAACGCACAGACGTGATAAGACAGACCGATCACGGCTGCTCTAGACGCTTTGATCATCCTGTCGGAGAGTTGTAGCGATGATGAGTGAACTTTGCGCACGATGACCAATCCATACAACTGCACCTTTGTGATGTGCCCGAAACTTGTTCATCACGACAACGGGCGAATGCTACAGTTGTTGCACAGCTTCAGTGTGCAAGAACGAATTGCCGAGCTTGAGCTCGTGAAAGGACCGCAGTCCTTCATGCTGTAAAAAAGCATGTTGACACTCCAAGAGCGTGTGGATGTGGCGGCTGTGCATGAAGCAGGTGACGAACGTCCACACGCGTTGGTTCACAGTGTGCAGTTGTCTTAGCGCTGGCAACTGCATAGCGCTTGTGCCCATCAAGTCTTCAAATGTGGTTACACCTGCCGTACAAACATGGAGCAATTGCAAGCAGAGAATAGACTGCAGAACACGATAGTTGCGATGACTCGAGCGTCCGGAAATGACTGCAAACAGCCCGGACGACGACGTCGAGCGTCAGTGCATTCGGTGGCGCCGCTGGGTGCGACTGATTGGTTCGAAAGCTTCAATAAAAGCCACAACGTCTCTCTGCACTCGAGTGGGAGCGGTAATTGTCATCATTGTCGTCATCATTTGATTACTCGTGTCGTTTTCGTTTAGTGCGATAATCAGCACAAGTGCTCGTCTGCCGCTGCTGCGTGCGACTTGGGACCGTATTTTCTGTCGAGAATGTCACATGTGTACACATTTCAATCGAAATAGAATCCGAGGTGATAGGACATCAGAGATAGTGACTGAATGCAGAGATAGTGACTGAATGCAGAGAGTGCTGACTGAATGCAGAGAGTGCTGACTGAATGCAGAGAGTGCTGACTGTAGATGCCGTTGTGCAGGTGTTTATTATGCTTATTTTTGTTACTATTTTATAGGTCAGGTAGGTAAAGATGACGTGAGCCATGTAGTCGGTCTTGGGACGAGGTACATGAGATGACCAGACCTCAGTACAGAAGAACAAGTGAGAGACTGCAGGAAGTATAGACGCTTGATGGGTTGAACAAGCATGGCGAGTATGCCTGATTGGTGAGAGAAATGCGTACTTACCCGCACGTCGCAGACTTGGGTCGGTGCATCTCACGGGTCGGAGCAAAGGCATGAGCGAGGACGACTTCATTCTGAAAACATCGACTTCAGCAACACTTGAGTCTACAACACAATCGCGTTCACAACTTCACCAGCTTGAATGATCATGGTGAGTGCATGATTCATTTCTCGATCTATCAATTTATTTGTTGCTGACGTTTCTCTTCTGTGTGCATGTGTTTACTAGTGGATTACTATGGAGATCCAGAACTTGTACAACCTCGTTGAAGAGAGTATCCGTCATGTACTGAGTGTGCTGTCGGAGATTGCTTCCGAAGCATGCGGCATCTACGAGAAGAGCGTTAGTCCCACTGATTGGGACTGCAACCAGCTCACCAAGCTGCGCTCAAGTGATGAGAAGCACTGCACCATCGGGTATAGCCACGTACTGCGCCCGCTAGAGGAAGCAAGCAGGCACAACGAGTGCCGTGCTACCCAAGCAGGTAAGGCAGATGCTCATCCGGCGAACAGGTTCAAGTTGAAGCCTATTTGCAACGAGATTAATACCAACGAGTTCATACAGCTCGTTGCGACTCGCGATCCTGATGAAGATGGTGAAGATAGGACGTGGTACAGCCGGACACTGCTCCATTTAAAGAACAAGCGCCAACGCCAGTTGAGCCACTACGATCGAGCCGATTCGTGTTGTTCGACCAACTCAAGTCTCAACTAGTTTACACTTACAATGTCTTAGACCGTAGTCTAGCGATAAACGTTTTTAATATATTCATCTATCTGTTAAACATGGTTCGCGACTTTACTAATGTTTACAATCAAAGCATAATCAAGAAACATGCGCAGTCTCAGCAACACATGTCACGACCTTGAGTCTCGAGTGATGTCGGCTCTTTTGAGACGATGTCAAAAACCGCGACAGCTGATTGCGAAGCTTCGGGTCGGTGTCCGCAATCTCCTGCGATGAAATGAGATGCGTTTGCAAGAATTCTGTTGGCTGTTTGCATCTACCGCAGCTTTACGACGCAGTGCATTGTCCAGGTACACATTGGCATCAATAACGCGCGTGAGCAGCATATCCAACGAGAGCGACTGCGTACTGCCCTTCTTGCCTTGACGTCTATTTTGCGAAACTTCATCGTTCTCCTCTTGACTCGACCGTCCATTAGTTTGCTCGAGCAGTTCTTTCAGCGCCTGGTGTCGATCGTCGTCGCTGAAGTTCTCCTTAGTGATTCGCAACAGCTTTTCCGCAACTTCACGTTGCAGCTGTTGCTCGTGCGTCTTCATCTCTTTCATCTCGTGATTGGCAATACGACGCAGCATGCCAACATAGACGCCAAATCCAGATGGATCGATGGCCACACCCATCGCCTGTGCACTTGGCTGTCTGTATGTTTGCGCCAAATACGGGCCAAACTCGTGCAGGTCAATGTGTGAAGACGACCGGAAGGCATCATGGCCTAGCATCTCATCATACTGACGCAAACATCCTAGCACTTCTTTCGTCGCATTGCACCTGTTCAATTACGGTGCTTGACGAACTTCTCAAGTGCCTAAAAGCAGCAGTAAGGGATGCAACAAAACTAGCAGAACACCGGGACCTTGAATTTCAGCGCATAAGCTCTTTCATCCGACACTTACAGGTAGAAGCACGTGTGAATCGTTGTTGTTTTAACTCGACGACAAGTTGACGTCGTCCGATTTAAATATCAAGACTAAATCTGTGACCCTACATGATCTGTAAGTACAGACTCGTGCTCGAGCTTACTGTGGTTTTGTGCGACTTTGCTGTTGTAGGTGACATCACCCAACTTACCACTTTGCATGTGCGCTGTAATAGTGAATGCTTGGCAAGTATGACGTGACACCATTGCGGGTTTGAACGAATCGACAGAAACGAAGACGATGCGAGTGCTCAGTCTGCGTCATTCTTCAATCGTATCAGGCGGTTTACGAACGATTGGAAGTCACGAAACACTGGCCTTCGTGGCGATGAGCTGTCGATCGGCTGCTACGGCTTTTAGTAGTGAAGAAATGTCAGCAGTGAAAGAATTTGAAAGCTTGCACGTTGGTGCTACTCGCGTTGTTGCCGTAGATTACGCTCTAATGGTGTGCTCAACACGCGCGTGAATGATCATGAGAAAAGTGGTTTATGTTCAACTGCTGGTCATGGGTGATCAAGCACTAATTTGTCCTCGCTCTTTCCACATTGACAAGAACTCGGCAATCAACATCCAGAAGGTGTTTGCTGGATCACTGGATAATGTTCACTATGACAGGAAGACTGGAGCATACGCGATGCATGCGTCAGTGACGGAAAATGGCTGCCATACTTGCAGAGTTGTTCCTAATCGTGTACACGAGAGTCCACCACTCGATACTGGCGCCAACCAAATGGGCTTCACGTACGTCAAATGTGAAAATGACCTTCGTGCGTCGAAGCGCAGTAGCTGTCGACCAACTTTCACTCAATGCTCAAATCGTCACCAAGACCAGAACGACTCGACCAGGTTGCTGAGCTTCTTTATCCTTTGTGTCACAAGAGGAAAGACTTCTGCTGCACGTCGAATGCGGGCTTCAGGAACTTCCGTGAATGCAGGAGAACATCCTGCTGCAATGCTGCCGGCCCGCTTACCAGAAGCGCCACTTCCGCTTTCGTGCCGTAGTTTTCTTGGATCTCACCATGCACGTAACGCAGACGCGATCCCAAGTCCGGACGCTTTTTTTCAACGATGAAGCTGCGATTCTGCAAAGACTGCGCTGGCGATGGCATCGAGTGTGGAGCGGACGGTGTTGCGGGGCTCATTATACCGAAACCAGCAGCTTCCATTTCTCCCGTTGCAAACTCCATGTTACTGCCGCCTACTTTAACACCCTTACGTGCGTTCCAACACTGCTGCAAATGCAACCCTGAACCAGCTCCAAGTACTGCACCCAGCGCGCCAGCAAGCAGCAGCATCAGACGTTTAGTGAATGACCTGGCTGACAACTCCTCCAGGTGATACACCCACCACATTAGCAGCCCACACCCCAGTGCTGTACCAACAAATAAAGGCAACCCTAGCGCCGAATTGTGCCCTGAAAACACAAACGGCTTCGTCGGAGCTGGGTAGAACTGCTGAACACGCGGCGTGGATTCTTCCGATAGGTCATCTGGCTCCGTTTGAGTGTCGTCATCCTCGTCTTCATCCTCCCGTCCACAACTTTCAGCAAACGTGAGATGCAACCACACCTTGCATTTCCATCGGGAGCACCGTTTCACGGCATCCAAGAGCTCTGCATATGCCGCCATGAACCCCAAGTCACGGCACGTCCAGACCACCCATACAGTTCGCGGCAGTTCCACCACCACGCCATCGATCAACCCCTCATCTCGGTCGCGTGCATCAGCAAGAGCCTTCATGTGATCCAGTATGCTCAGAAACGGAGTCATGCCACTACCTCCTGCAACCAGCACCATGTGTGGAGCCAGCTTTATCCCCGAGCCATAGTATCCATCAACGTGAACAGTACGAAGTTGCTGCTTTTGGAGCAGTGTCAACAATCGGGATGTGAACGCCCCTTGCACCTTCACGTCCACGACAAAAGAGTGACGGTTGCGCAGGGGACTCGAACTAATACTAAATGGATGCCACTCTTTGCCAATAGCCGCCACCTGTAGGTATACATATTGACCCGGCACAAAGTCTGACGTGACAACTGTCGCGCCTCGTCTCAGCTCCAGTTGGTACACTGTGTTGCTCATTGTCATTGTCGACACGACACTGGCCTTTCCACGTCCAAACACTGAGACACTTCGGTAACTACCATACAGCATAAGTGCCGGGACCATCCAAAACGACGTCGCATAGTAATGCAACGCTGTAGAAACTACGACCACGGCATTCAATGTATGCAATGCAATAAAGCGTCGGAAATACTGCCGGCGTACGCGTGCCAGAGACGATACGGTGACAATGAGCAACGCCCCCATCGCAACAGCTCCGAAAAAATTGCGGCTGGATGTATACTGTTGTGCAGGTGTACATGTCTCGTGTATACACGGAAGCAGCTTCAGCACAAGTTTGCCGTCCAGATACCACGTCATGATGTACCACACACCGTGCAACAGTGACAAGAAGAACCCCCATTGTCCCGAAATCACATGGTACCGTGTGGCCCGTTCACTGGATAATCCGAACCATTTGTGCAAAAAAGACTGTCGCGATACAAGAAGGAGGGACATCACCATGCTATAAAGTCCATTCATGCCCAGCTCACGAGCGATGCATTTCAAATACCCTGATGTCGCCAACTTGCCACTTCTGTTATCGGTCAGTAGCTTGCCAATGACGAGGTTAAGTTGCAGCAGGAAAAACCCACTGCCAACTACCACGTCAACCTCATCGACTCCAATGTATTGACCGATAGAGGGATGGGTCTTCTTCAGCCACTGAACGAGCTTCAGCTGCTGGTCTCGTTGGACCCATGAGGAGCCAAACGAGACATGTCGCCAGTGGAATACCGTCCCAGCACAGAGAAATGGCACCACCAAGGCAAAGGAGACGATAACTGGCTCGACGTCCAGTTTGTCATCCAAAAACACGAGTACCGACGGGTACACGTTGCTATAATACAGCGGCCACCGAATCCACAACAGGGTAAAGACCATCCACGCGCTGCACAATTGGACGAACAATTGAGCAACGTTCTGGCGACGCGCCTTCGATAGAACTGTCAGTCCCACCGTCTGGAGCGTCTGCAAGCGCGAGCGCTTCGCTATTGTGCGATTGGTCAGCAGGCGGTCCACCTCGCCTTCTTCTATAGTGTGCCTTTCTTCGTCTCGAGCCAGTAGACGGTCAAAATCGGTGGTGGTAGTGGTTGTTGTAGTGTCTGTAGAGCGCAAGCGAGTCAAGACTATTCCATGGCGCTCCATCTGATGCTGAAAGAGTTGAAGACTTGGAGGTCACGAATTAAGTCGACAAATGACAGAGTCGCAGCGTTTTGAAGCCATTTTCTTCACACGTGTCCGGCTTTCACGCAGTTTTTCTCTGATTGAGCACAGAGAATGGAAGCATAGAAAGGGAAGACGTTGATACTGGAACGAAGTGGCGAGCCCCGTGTTCTGAAAATAGAAAAGAGCGTGTGTGATTATTGGCTGCTTGGCTTGTACATCGTGGTAGATCTATTTTTGCTTCATTGCTACTTTTTAAACTGGGTCGTCTTTTTGATGCACTTTTAGCTGTGGGACATATTGTCGATGTATTTTCGCCCATGGGCTCAATGCTGTACACCGACGGATGATGGCAACAAGTTGCGACAGTATGTACAGGTTAAGTGCAAGAGTGTCACCATGGTCCATGTTGTGGACTTGAGTTAAAGCTTGCAGAAGGAACCGAGGGATTCGCCTTTGCTGTGATCTAACTTTTGTACAAGATCGACGCCAGAGTCTTAGTGCGAGCGTGTAGTACGCACCAAGTTTGTGGACAGATGAGTTGCATCTGTGTGAGAAGAGGAGGTCCCTGCACTCGGATGTCATTCTTTATCCGAGATCAATCCTTTGAAGGCAACAGCAGCTCCGTCAACGGCATCTGGAGCTGAAGTGCTTTGTGAAACCAAGGTGAAAAGCTTCGATTCTATTCAGTTGCAACAGAGGTAGTGGTCTATCTGTCCAAGGACGGCACAAAGACAAGAACGGAGCGAAATCGTTCAACGGCCTTGTACACCTCAACGGCTACCACATGTCGCTTGGACCTGTCATGAATAGCAATCGTTTCTGATTTCTTCAGCCTTCCGCGATAATTTGCTCGACAGCTATGCGAAAATGATCGAGCACATGTTGTTTTTGTGCACTTGCCATCTTGGTGATATTGCTCTCCGTACTCGTCGCCACCACGCACGTACGGCAGCGCCTACACGTCATTAAGTGCTGGACAAATGCGAGTCGAGAAGCGAAAATGTAGTGTAAGCAACGTGTTGAAGCCGCCATAGCCGTTGAGGTACACCGGTAGTTAGTACGAGAACAAAATGGACCTGGATCAATCGATCACTTTGGTGCATATCGGTGGATTCATTGTGCCTGAACCTATAGACCGCGATCAAAACTTCTTACGAAATCAAAACAAGGGAACTGTAAGTTTGATGACGGTCAGGACCTCGAACTGCTTCTGAGATTATAAACAATCAACAAAGGGAGCACCCGAATTTTACACTTTACGTAGAATTGACCCTCTTGTAACTTCGAATTGCTGCTTAATCTGAAGGTTTGCGAGGGCGACGTTATGGATCCCACAGAAATCTGTGGATTTCCGAAGGGCCTCCCCTACCTGTATAAAAACAGTACGGAATGACACATACCCGAGCTCGCACATGTGAAAGGCCTGTACAAAAGGGTGGGTGGGTGATGCGGTCAGTTTGAGTGCAATCGAAAATACTTCGGCTCAAAGACAATGATGGAATCGCTTGCATACTTTTCAATCATAAATTATCGACGATAGACTGGCAAATTGATCTTCTATTTCAGCAGCTGCAGTTCTTCATTCATCTTTTGATCACATACTTAATGATGATATCCGCAATCGAAAACATTGTTGCTTCTCCGACCTGTCGCTATCGAGAGCTTGCTGTGACGTTTGATGTGCGGGATGAGTGAAGGATGATGGAAGATTGATCGAATCGACAGATTCCAATATATTGCCATCCAACGTGAGTTCTCCGGTCAGCATAAAAGTACGTTTGGGGATCGCAAGACTGCTTCGATGACTTGCTTGTGAGAAAATTCTGTGGCATAGCTTCTTAGATGCGAAAGCTTCATCTTGGGGATGTAATGGCCAATGCACATCAGGTAAAGGTCAATGAATATCAGCAGAATGTTGACAAGTACTCCTCATCTGGAATCGGGGTGATTCTCTTCTCTTGGGGTTCCCTGAACGATTTACAGCCGAAGGTTGAAGATTCTGTACTTAATTTCTTGTCCTATGCCTGCTTACGCACTTCACAAGGTATGCAGATGACCTAGAGAGTACAGTTTTGCAATTTACCACTGGGTAAAGGGAATCGCCAAACGTACCACACATATTTGCTATTTTGACAACAGTGCTTGCAACTACAGCCCCAATGAAGGGATGTTATACCAAAGCAGTAATTTTGCTGATTCCAACACCACTACCCCAGTCCGACCCCTGATTAAGAAGTTTACAGTTCTACCACACAATAGGACTCGCTTAGAAAACAATTGACTCGCCCGGAAAAACAGGTGGATCGCATAACACAACGTGACATGCAGCTCATAAATGACTTTTGATTTGATAGAAAGAAAGAAAATAAGTGGAATTTCTATCGATTCTAATTCGGATACAGCAATCTGTAAACCAAAGCCGGGCGAAGTCAAACTGTACGATCGTGAAGAGTCTCATCCCGCCAAGCTTGCGTCAAAGGCATCATCTACTTTGTAATTTGTACATAAAATTAATCGTTAGGATTCTACTGCGCACGCTGTATCATGGCCGTGTAAATTCTATCATTGGCTCAGCTGACTCAACAAACACGAGCCACGGTTGCGTTCGTCGAGTTTGACGGTTGAAACAACTTGAGACTTATTTCCTAGGATTTCCATCATTGTCAACCCGTGTGTCGGTTTGTGCTTCTCATGATGTTATCCATGTTTACTCTGGCGCATAGGACGTCTTGTCGAATGACAATTGATCTTATAGTCAGAGTTGTACCGACATCGTGAAGTTGAAGACGAGATCCACGACGGTAGCCGTCATATAGGCCCATCGAGAAGAAGGTGTTGAACCCGTTTCAGCAATGGTGCTGCGTCAAGGTGGATCGTGGTCTTCATGGACATTGTGCATGGTCCACACTTTGTTTTACGTAGGACAAATAGATAATCACGCAACCTACTCTCTTATCGACATTTGTCTGAGACGTGTTTTTAGACGCCGATGCAATGTCCTTTTCCCTGGTTCCTATCAAATCCTAGCGGTATTCTCAACTTGACATGGTCGCTAAGATAGACAGCAACACATGACGTGTAATTATGTTTTGGCCAGGAGTGTATTTCTCCAACGTTTTATTTCTGATGAATGAGCCACCCCAGGCTACATTTTGTAGATAAATCATTGCATGATTGATCAGTAGTAAACACGTCTCTCGACCTCGAGTCGTCCAACTCTATTACTTACCGGACTCTCTGTCAAGACACTTGCATTTACGAGACTCGTTGCGACACCAGACTCGCTGACTTGCTTTGATTCGTATAGCATCTATTCGACTCGTCCAGTAGGTTGTATCCATTATGTCAGTACTGGCGGATCTAATGCAAAGGACCTTTCTTGCGAGTGTCTCCTACGCTACAAAAGGACTGAACGTGCGCTGCAACACGTGACTAGACAGCCACGAGTTAGACATTTTCCAAGGGTGTCTCGCTGCAGGAAGATGAATATCGGCCACTGTCAACAAGACCACAAGACGTGACCACCTACCAACTATGATCGACTGGACCTGGCGATGAACGAAAATGCCACGTATCCGATGATGCTTCTTGCAGCGACGTCTAGAGCTGCGTGACCCATCGACGCTCAATTGCTCAGCGCTTACCAGTATTTCGCCAACTGCGGAAGAATGTTGGAAGCATAGCCACAACAATGCCATAGAACAGCTATTATACGCACTAAGCTCGCCAGCCTGTAGCGACTCGATAGTAGTAATCTCTATGCATATCGAAATCTATATGCGGGTACCTCCTGGCCGAGCGATCCAGAAAGCAAGAAATCAGGCCGACTAAAAACCAAGTCGTGCTTGCACTCTCAGGCCACTTCAACATCCCCCTCTATAGTAGTCCCAACTCCCTCCCTCGTCCATAATAGAAGCCTCCTGCCGCATCAAACACCTGAATAAAAGCTTCAATTGTCTTTTCCCCTCATAATACAAGCCCCCTTCGTTCCAGCTCCTTCTCATTCCTCATTCCCAAAGATTCTTCCTTCTGAAAAGATCGATCGATCAATCAATCAGTCGACCAATTAATTAATTGATGACCTTCCCGTGTCGCCTGCGCGTCTTCTTCCTGGCGCTCGCTCTGCTCCTATGCAGCATCCGATGCACAGTCCCGCCTAATAATGCCACAAGCTACACGCTCACGATGGACGCTGTGGACGAGGACTTTTGCGACTCAACGAAGCAGCTCAGCGGGTACTTCAAGATCGCCGGGTCCAAGTCGAAGAACTACTTTTACTGGTTCTTCGAGTCCCGCGGATCGCCAAGTACCGATCCTGTGATCATTTGGCTCACGGGCGGTCCTGGCTGCAGTTCCATCTTGGCGTTACTTCAGGAAAACGGACCGTGTTCAGTAAATACTGACCTGTCACTCAAGCGAAACCCCTTTTCATGGACCGACCGGGCCAACGTCATGTGGATTGACCAACCCGTGGGTGTGGGTTTTAGCTATGGAGACGTGAGTGAGTACGACACAACGGAGAAGGAAGTGGGCGACGACATGTTTCAGTTCTTGCAAGAGTTCTTCCAAGCCAAGCCCGAGTACCAAGCCCAGCCTTTCTACGTCTTTGGTGAGAGCTACGCTGGCCATTACGTACCAGCAATTGCTCACCGGATCTTTGAGGGCAACCACAAGCAAGAGGGACCTGTGCAGATTAATTTGCAGGGCTTCGGCATTGGCAATGGACTCACGGACCCCGAAGTGCAGTACAAGTACTACCCAGACATGGCGTACAATAACACGTACGGGATCAAGGCAGTCTCGTACCCTGTTTATCTGGCGATGAAAGCTGCCGTGTCCCCGTGTGTTGCCATGATCTCGAGCTGTCAAACGACCAAAGTCGCGTGTCTGGCGGCGCAGACGTTTTGCAATGCAGCACTCGTTGCGCCGTACTCGGCTTCGGGCTTGAATGTGTACGACATTCGAACCAAGTGTGAACATTTCCCCATGTGCTACGACTTTAGTCACGTGGAGCAGTTTCTGAGACTGGAGAGCACGTTGAAGAAGTTACATGTGAGTCCGGACAGCTCGGAGTGGCAGAGCTGCAACATGGCTGTCCACGCAGGCTTCTCGTTCGACTGGATGAAGAATTTCCAACAGCTCGTGCCGCCGATGCTGGAGGCAGGCATCCGAGGCTTGGTCTATGCTGGTGATGCTGACTTCATTGTGAACTGGATGGGCTGCAAGGCCTGGACGCTGATGCTACCGTGGAGCAAGCACGACGAGTTTTTGGCTGCTGAAGACAAGGATTGGGTTGTTGATGGCAAATCGTCCGGCAGGATCCGTCAGGTCGGACCGTTTACGTTCCAGCAAGTGTACCAGGCTGGGCACATGGTTCCACTCGACCAACCCAAGAATGCACTTGCTATGCTCAAGGCGTTCACGTTGCCTAAGGAGAAAGAGGATGAGCACGGAGAGATGTCGCATGATGTTAAGCACCAGCGATCGGACAAGCAGGTCATGATGAAGGACGAGAGTATCATGAGCATCATGTAACTCAGCAGCGGACGTCGGTGCGAAGTGGCAGTCTGCGTGTTAGTGGAATTACTGCTAACGAGAGAGCAGCAAGGACGAGCTAGTTTCAGCACACTGTCTTGAATGTAATACCAAAGCGGTTTTCGCATGATTAACCTTCACTATTTTCTAGCAAGGAAAAGTGTCAGCGCTTGGAGTGTTGCGCAGTCTGATCCTTCATACAGGGATGGTTGCCCTGCTTGATGTGCGCTGATCTTCTCCCGTCAACTTTTTTCCTTTGCAGCCACTGCAATGTGCCAGCAATCGAGCTGTCCCTCCAAGTCCCGTGTCGATTTCAAGCGCTCTCTTTCTCGAGGCACGCAGCTTGGGATGTGACAAACAGGTTTATCTTCGAAAAAGTGTGGCGAGTCCAGCTTCGCCAATTGTTTACTTGTGGCCTCAGGACATCGAGGCACTGCTGCACTACAACCAAGTGTTAATGCTCCCACAACTTATCCTTTAGCATGCTGCAAAGCGTCTGGCTACATAATGCGTATTGATTTTTCTGGACCAAAGGTCGCAATACCGGCATCCTTGATGTGCTCTCAGATCTTGTGGGCCAAAGCCTGAGGTGTCGTTACGCACAATGTGAGCATTATAGAGGAGATCATTCATCTTCCTGACTGAGTTAATTCTATTGAATAACATGACTCAGTCCACGCTCAATGGCTAGAAGTAGTGACAAGACATGTAATGTGTAGGCAGTGTTTTAAGCCGACACTCAAACAAGATCCTCAGATTTACTAGCTTGCGGTCCTGCCAGTACGAGCACAAGCAACGTCTACCATTTAGTCGGAAGGGGTTCCTCAGACACAAATTTGATTTCTATGGAGGATTTCTCATCGTGTAGATCAGTGTGGTGGTACCTTTGTCATCACTGGAACCCCATGCGGTAGCATATAGCGAAGATTCTAATGTCCAAGTGTTCTTCAGGAAAAAATTAGAGTTTAAATAGCGCCTCATGGACGCCCAAAGACGTCTCGACAGCTAGTGTATTTTTTCATCCTTAGAAGCTGCGAATGGGTGGAAATGACAGCATAAAGACGTCTAGCTGCTCTACTGGAAGTTTGACTAATGATCTACAGGATGCAGGATTTGACACTTGACACTCGAAGCTCGTCACCACTCATTTGTGCGAGCTGTAGACCCTGTGAAAGACGATTGAACGGGTTTGGGCCCGTGAGCCCGTGCAAGAACCGTCATGGTTGACTGTAATTATCGGTGGTAGCTTATCCCGTTTTTTACGTTACTCAGTCACAATATTGTGAAATGAAACACAGATATATTCATAGAGGTTTATGCATGGTTTATGAACTACATCATGACGCATTCTCACAGCTCACAATCGATGTGTAATCCGTCCATTTACCGGTATTAGTCGGCGCCTATTCTCAGGGACTCGAAACTACTCAAGGTAGTCAAGTTACAGTGACGAATGTAAGTGGATTCATGGTGCGTGACGACTGTTATACGCTATGGAACCAGACCATATATGTAGACTGCTCTACATCGCGTATCATCGTCATCTCGTGGCTGCTGCGATCAGGTCAGGTTTTAGCAACTTGTGCGAAATTCTTGATCAGCATCGTTGCGTACCCACGAAAGTATCAAGCCACAGCAGACTGTACGCTGTCCACGTGCTGCACTTTGCAAGATGGAATATCCTTTGCAAATTCTTGGGAATCTTAATTGAACTCACAAACACCTTGGCGCTACAGACGGATCTTCGCCGTCGTGGTCGAGGGTAGAGAAAGCAGTAAAGTCGATATTCTTGGGACGTCTTGCAACCGAGACGACAAAGCCAAGATGCTACAAGATTTGGGTGACACTGCTACAACGACCCAGATCTCTACTATCCAAGACACTTAACGGGTTTTGCTCGAATGCTAATCGACTGATATTACTCGACGACACGCCAGTTTTCAGTGATGGTATTTGTCATCTCTATACTGAGATGATAGCAGCAAAGACGATCGTTGTTGAGCTTATCGTTGATGCATCATTTGTCTCGATTCGATTTTCGATGCTTGTTTTAACAACCACTTCGTTCTTGTAAAAAGGGCATGCCCAAATGTACTAACGTCGTTCACGTGCAGATCGTCTGCTGCAGTGGCATAGATTCTTGCGTTGCGAACCCTTTCCCTGCCTGGAGCAAGCTGTATTAAGCTGCTCGAGCCGTTTGTTAGCGTGACCACACCGTGCTTCAAATAAAACGATGCAACCACAGAAACGGTCCCTCTTTCCGACAATGCCAGCATCTACAGCTCCTTAATTTCCCATTAAACTTGATCCTCTCAAGTGTAATACGTGCTGCGAGAACGAGCATTTACCGTAATAAAAACTGTCTATCGCAACACCACAATCCTGCGCTTTGTTTGCTTGTCCCGGTAATGCTTTTCGTACTTATCACGCGCTTCTCGGTACATCTCGAAAGATCGAAAACGGGGGGGAGAGGGGGGGAGGGGATACCTACCTACATTCATTCCTACACACGACATTTCCGTGCGGAAAGAAATCGCTGGGACACGACAAGACGCGATATCGAGCGACCATCACTCTTTCTGACTTAATCTCACTAAGGCGGCGGGCAGAAAGCCATGAGTAGTGCGCGCAGCAAGCAGACGCGGCTGCTGCGGCAAGCCAGCGTCCTCCACGAGCTCCAGGAGACGCAGGAGAAGGATTCGCTGGACGGTCGGTACGCGCGCCTCATGACGGAGCTCGCGGCGCTCTGTAGCGACCGCAACAACGTCATCACGACCGACTCGCTGCAGTTTTTCGCCTCGCATAACCGGGCCGAACCCGTGCGGCTCGAGCGCGTCCCCGAGCGCTTGGACGCGCAGCCGAAACCCCTAAGCGCGACCACCGCGAGCGCAGGCAGTAAACAGGACGAGCTCCTCAGTGCCGACGCAGCGCGGCGACAGCGCGTGGAGGAGCTCACGCGGTTCTTCATGGAGGCCAAGTCGGACATTGAGTTTGCCTTGGGAGGCGGGCGAGACTTTGTCGAGGTGAACGAGAAGGACAAAGGCGTGGCAGAGAGCGGAGAGCGCGACGGCGAGCGCGAAGACGAGGACGGCGACGAGGACAAGGACGAGACGGTGCTGGATCCGGAGAAGGAGCTGGTTAAGGTGCATGTCCAGCTACTGCGGGGCAAAGTGGACTCCCGCGTGTTTAATGGCATGCTGGGCCAGATCCGGGAGCAGGATCCGGCTCTGTACGGCGCGATGCTGTGCCATCCACTCGTGACAGGTGTCGACCCCAAGAAGGAGAAGAAGAAGAAGAAGAAACGGAAAGAAAGTGAACGCAAGGAGAAGTTGTTCTCATCGACACAGACGCCGAGTAGTGCTAGTGTGCCGACGCCGGATTTGATTGTTGAGCCGCTGTCGAGCGAAGACATGAAGCTCCACATTAGTCGATTTGTCGTCAAAAGCATTGCGGAAGGATCGTTGCAAGGGTTGATGCTGGCAGCAAAGCTGGTGTTGACGTTTTTAAATCAACAGAGTGAAGAGAGTGAAGGCTCGCCGCCGACGTTCCCGCTTGCATCGCATCTTCGAGTGCTGCGCGGAGAGGAGGCGCCGGAACGCAAGACGAAGAAGACAAGCGTAAGTGCAAAGTCGTCAGTAAATAAAGAAGTCACGGCGTCGACAGTAGCAGATCAGGCTATGGCAGATACGAGCACGCTCGAAAGCACGGGAGGGAATTTTGAGGCTGAGTTGCAAAGCGTCGTTCTGGAAAACACTGCAGCTTCGACCGAAATGGATTTGGTCTCTGAAAGTGGATCGATTGCTAAACTCCGTGCCCGGTTGAGTCGTTTCGGTGATGGTGACGATGAAGTCGATAAGAGCGAAACTGAAAAGGACGATCATGTGGAAGAGGAAGAGAGCGTTGGTGGAGAGGGCGTGGATGAAGACGCGCTAATGGCCCGAGCAATTGCTTTGTCGCTATCTTCGGAGGTAAGCTTACGGAATCAAAGTGAAGCCTCATTGACGCCAAAAAGCGAAAAACATCCAGATGGAACGCTAGAGAAAAGCGGACTCCCTGTCATGAAACCTCGTCCTACTAAATTTTCCGCTGAGGAGTTGTTGGAACTTGGCCCGTTTGCACTTCCTGGTGATTCGATCGCTGAAGTCGACGGTGTTTCTGTCGTAATGGCGTTGATAGTCCAGATGACTAAAATATGCTTGCAGTATTTGAAACTGTGCCAGCAAGGGATTCTCCCTAATAGCTCGCGTGTACAGCCGCACCCACTTACATTCATGCTGCTCAATTCGTTGTTAAGGGATCTGCATACATCAACAGGGCCCCACGCACAGTGGGCTGAAGATCCACGCTGGGCTGCGAAGTGGCGCTTATTTGTATCGTGTTCGATGCTTTCGTTGCTCCGAGTACTAGAAGTACACTTGTTTCACGTGGAAGTGATGGGTATTGCTCCAGCTTCTGTCGGTCTAGGGCGCATTGTGAAACTCGTCCCCCAACCAAATGAGAATGGAGCTAGAAATGGCAATCCGTTATTGGAGAGTCTAAAGTCATTAGTCGTTCACTACATCGCGGTTGAGACTCCTCCACAACTTGATGCTGACCGGGACGTTATCGATTTGATCATTTTCCAGAGCCCTGAAGCTTGCTCCCCGGTTGATGTTCAGAAGGCTGCAGCGTATTATTTTGCCCGTATCCGCGAGCAAGCAACGGCTGCGTGGATCCGTGCTTTTGCTATCTTTTACGATAGCCAGAAGGAGCGACACATGATATTGACGACGAGGTTGGCCGAGTGCTTTAAGCTCGCGCAAAGTGGAGAACAAAACGTTGAGTGGAAGTTTTACCAACTGGACATTTTATGCGCTCGGTTGGCATTACCGGATATGGCCCAACACTTTGTGCCCTCTTGTGTAGACTTCATCGAACACAACACGAGAAGCGATCGTGAGCATGAAGATTGTGACTCTGATGCACAAAAAACAATCGACGACTTTACTCTACAGAATGCCACTTCGAAGTCAGGAAAGAGTAAGGCGAAGTGGAATCCAGCTGTGATTCATGCGTCACTTGAGTCAGGTTCTATAAGTGCACGTTGTCTCTACGATTACGTATTAGGCCATGGACCCCCAGGTCTTTTGGATGCGGTGATGGAAGCTCCAGGAGATGGTTCGGGCGACAATGAGTTGGATACTGACACGTTGGCAGATGCGTACGAAGAGATGTGGGACGCCGGTCGGAAGCAAAAGGCGGAGGCTTTGGATTGCATTAATCGTTTGCCCAGTTTAATTGATCTGCTGCGCGAAAGTATCATGTGCCCGGGATGGTGCAACTTCTCTTTTAAAGAAAACTTTGAATTGGTGCACGCCCCGTTGATACCGCTTCTCGAAAAAGAAGACGATTCTTCGCGACCACTTGCTCTGAATGCTCGAACCGTTCTGCTCCGATCGTTTCAAGATCTAATGATCCAGCGGATTGGTGGGCCTCATGGTGACGAGCCTCCTGCTCTAGAGTTTGATTCCTCACGCTGCGCCGAAACGATGACACTTTCGGACGGGAACCGAACCGCGAAGCAATACACGGCAAAACAGTGGGGAATGGTGATGGCTTCCACTGGTTGCCCGCCCAACACCGGTATTCATGAGTGGGGGGTGCGCCTTGACCGTTGTGAGAAAGGACACATCTTCCTTGGCGTATGTACTAGAGATGCATCAGTAGCAACTTATGTTGGCGGCGATCGACAGGGATGGGGTCTTATTGGAACTCGAGCGCTCTGGCACGCTCGTAGCAAAGTTCGCGGCGATTACGGGGATGGATTTACAACTGGCAGTGTTGTGCGTGTTCGGTTGAACACGGATAGCGGAGCGTTATCCTTTGGTGTTGGTGATAGTGACTGGGGTATCGCATTTGATGGTCTGACGCAGCATGGCACCTTGTATCCTGCAATTGGTTTGTATCAGAGGGACGATCAGGTCACAATTCTGCCAGTGCAGCCGACAGCAGATTCCGCTTACGGGGCGTCAACAAACGGTAAGGTTTCTGAGCCCAAAGGTATCGCAATTTCTGCTGTCCTCAAGCCCTTCCTGTACCACGCGGGAGCTTTGTTAGAGTCGTGTTGCGCATATCTGTCAGTCTCATCGGAGAACATCTACGGTATTGAGTCGGATCAGCAAGATGCTCGTAGTACAGGGCAGCGGTCCCGTGATTTCAAGCAAACGGTGTCTTCGCACCCTCTTTTGTTTTCGATGGTGACTCCACTGATCAGTTCCCTTAGTCTTATCCGAGACTACCACGGTTTGTCTTCGGCGCTAGCTTTGACTTTTGTGCCATGGTGTATCTGCGCGATGCAGTGCATCGAGCGTGCAAACCAGGCTGTTGAGGCGTTATTGGACAACGATGACGTAGAAGGTTCTTCCAGCAAGCTCGCGTTAAGCGTTGCTGGTGACTGGGAATTAAAGAGCATGGCAGCTGGTAACATCCCGGCTCAGCAGTACCACCTGACTCTCTCTCAAGGCAAAGACGGCTCGATGCATGGACGCAGCAGTGGTCCGTTTACTACTGTGACGCTAAATGGTATTGCTCGAGGAACCAAGGTATCTTTTGTGGAAACTTGGCGTCAGGGAGGCACCTGCTTAGTTAAGGGACGTCTTCGTGCTGACGGAGACGTCTTCACTGGCAGCTACGAAGATACGAAGAGCCACACGAGTGGCTGTATTGTTGGGAACAAAACTTCGCGAAGTGACAAGGACACTGTCGAATGGCAGTGGGTCACGAATCAGCTGGTCATCCTGGAAATGGTTGTTGCCAACCTGCTGGGTTATTTTGGTCGAACGTTGACTAGTGTAGAAAGTGACGACCTACTTGTTGACAGCGTGACTACTAGTGTTATTACTCTAAACGACGCTGGCTGTGTTGACGACGGCGAAAGTGATGACGTGTATCAGTCGGAGTGCTCGACTGATCAATACGACGAATGGGTCAGTAGTAGTTTGCTGGAGGGCGGGCTACCCCTGCACAGCGTACAAGTGCATTTGAAGAGTGTGCTGACCCGATGCTCAGAAATGACAACGTCTGGTCCCACTATGGCAATAGACGCGTTGCCAATGCTTACGAAGGCTACTAGTAGCTGGATGAAGCTTGTATTGCCTAAGACGCTCTCAGCCCCACTTCTCAACCTTGACAGTGTGTCAGTCAATGGTGCGCGTGTCAACAACACATTTTTGAAAGATCTCATTGAAAACCGTGGTGAGGCTGCTGTACTGGATGGATGGGTGTCGAAGCATGTTGGCGAATCGCCTTTCGTCAGACTAGGAGGGGAAGCTATGAAGACTACGCGGCGAACTGTTTGTGCCGCCATGATATGGCACAGCGGCTTTCTAAACTGCGTTAAGAAGCACATTGAATATTTGCAAAGCAACTCCACGGAAAGTGACGTCCGACCGCATGATAACTTGATGCATATCTGGCGTGCTGCTCAGAGAGTCATCGAGTGGGCAATTCGAGCAAAGAATTCCATGGGATCCACATATACCGTTGTGGCTGGTCTAGTGATCCGGAAGGCTCAGTTTCTACTCGAGATCGAACCTGGCGCTAAAGCTCTGGCGGCTGCTGAGGCTGTATTTGCGATGACAGCGGTGGACAGCGGTGCTCAGAGGACGGCGTCTAAGTCAGCTATACACGAGTGTGCTGAACGCATATTCAGTGATATTCTCGTACAAGTAGCACGTTTCGTAGAAGCTCCTATTCGAATGTCGTCGCTGCAGTCCAGGATGCTCGAAAAGTGCACGGCAGCATTTTTGCGCACAATCGGCATACTATCGTTCAGGCATTTTGTCGGCGACTTAGGTTGTACTGCCCAGCGCGGTGCATTGGCTTCCGAACGTCGCGAAGTCATTCAGTCTCCACTCGCTCTATCAAGTGCGCTGCAGTGGCTGTCGCCGACACTGGCTGATTCCAAAGCTAGTGGTGGTAATGGCCCGTTGCTGGGCAAAGAGTTTGGCGACTTCCCAGCTACTGTGGTGTCAGCAGCTACGACTCCTCAATCCACAAGAGAGTTGTCGTACTATCTGAGCGGTCTTGGTGGCTGCGGTAAGCACTTGAAGAACGACCTCAAGGACTCGTTCGAGTCATTGTACGGCTACTTATGCGCGTCTTTGTCCAAGGCGACTTGGGCACATGATGCTGATCTGCAACTTGTCATCTTATTAGCGTGGGGAATCATCATTCAACCAGACGATCATTCATTTTTGTCACGAGTTGGTATTTTCCGAGTGCTGCAAACTGTACTAGACGAGGCTCGAGGCTCCAGCGATTTGACCTCAACAGAAGGTACAGCTGATGTATCGCGGATGTCCCCTGATGATGCAGTCTTGATTGCAGAAGACAAGAAGAGAATCGTCCAGGCTGCATTGAAAGTGGTGCACCTGCTAGCTGCGCAAGTTGCGCATGCCAGTGACACCGCGGATGGCCTCTTGAGCGCGTCAGATCTTCCATCGACCCCAGGTCTCAGTCTAGGATCGATACCGCTGCTGCGCAAGCCGTCAGGTCCTGAAACACTTGGAAAGTCGGTGTTTCACATGCTGTACACAGAGCTGAAGAATTCGCTGGAAGAGATGCGGCAGAGCCGGAGGAGTGTGGCTTCTGAATATACCCCAGCTGTGTTCGCGGCTGATCCAATTCAGCACAGCGATCAAAGTACATCTAGGTCCATTCGTGAAGGTCCGGGTGATTCTCAAGAGTACTGCTACCAGATATGTTCGCTCCTGTACTCGGTGAGCGGCTCACCTGTTTGCAGGTCACACCTTTCATCATCTCGATGGCTTCGCTTGTTACTGGCTCTTGTGGATGTGAACTCGCTGCAGATACAGCGGCGCATCCTGAAATTGCTTCGTCGTCTCCTCCCGTCACTCGATCCGTCCTCCCTGAGGGTTCGATACGACGAGTCTGCAAGTTTTGACATCGAAAGTGACGACGAGTACGAAGCTGACGGTCAGGACGAATCTGATCATGCAGCCACGTTGATCAACTTTTTCGTGGAAATTGTAGGAATGATTAATCCTCCCAGTATGGTAGATGTAATGCTTTGTCGGCATGGAAAATCCGATGAGGGTTTCCGGAAAAGTCAGGCGGCAGACTCCGGTTTTAACGCTGGACTCGCAGCCGACGTAATACTACTTCTTCGCTCATTGTACGAGTCGGAAAAGTGGGCAGAGTACTTGAACAGAGCGATTACCGGTGCACTTGCTTCAATTCCTCTTGCGTGTGTCACGGAGCAAGGAGGAACCGTTTCCGAAACTGCTGATTCCGATGTGGAAATGGAAGATGTGTCGAAGGAACTTCCGTCTCTGAAAAGTTGGACAACGCAAACGAGGAGTTTTGTCAGGGCCTTGTCTGCACTATGCATTCTCGATGGCCACATTGAAGGCCTCCACGTTGGCGGATCTGTTAAAATTATACCTCGATCTGGCTCGTCCTTACAAGAAAGCGCTTTTCGAGGAGCAAGGGGTGTGATTGTTGCCTATGAGCCAGAAAAGTCAGCAGCCGAAGTACTGTTGCGCGCAAGTCGCGCAGATGAGACCGATGCTCGACAGCATTCTCTGCTGTCAAGTCGCTCTATACCGGTAAGTCGAGGTGCAATTTTGCTGAATCAATTGCTGTTCACCCGTACTAATCATTTTTGACGTTTCCTTACGAACAGACCCGTCCGGTCCGTGTCCCGGTTGATGATCTGTTTGCAGTGCCAGAGGTCGAGCTACCCAGCAATGCATTTTCGGATACTGTGTTGAGGTCGTTACTCGTCGAACGGTTCCCATACTTTTTGACCGAAGTCAAGAAGAGCTTTCTAGAGGTGAATGTCTCTGACGCGTTTGATGAAGCAGAAGGGGAAGGTGCGATCGAAGGGGATAGCGAAGATGATGATGATATGTCCAATGATGAGTCATCTTCGCCATCGGCGGTGGATAGCGAAATGCCCAGCTGTGGTGTCGACGGATCAGATTCTGATGCGAATGCATCACCTTCCCATCAGAAAATGGACGCTGAATCCTCTTTACCTATGGAACCCACCGACATTATGGCGGAGATGGAGAAGGAGTCGCGACTTCATCGGATGCTTCTGTGCCAGCATGGTCTTCGTGCTGCAGCTTCATTGCTGAAAGATGACCACTGCGCAGCGACGTTTATCCGTGGTGTTGGTTCCACCGGTTTGAAGGACTTGCTCATGGTTGCCATCTCCGACACACCTACAACAGCAGGAGCTGGAGACATCTCCTCGCTGGAGGAGACTTGGCTCATGTTGTGGTCCCGGTGGTATGCAATTAGAAAGGCTTATGCGGCACCGTCACCGCCAGCAGACAGCAAAGAAGACAAACGCAAAAAAACTGGCGCTGAAGGAGCTGACATCTCGTTGGGTCCAATGGTTCAACAGATGATGGAGATGGGATTTCCGAAGGAGTGGTGTGATGTTGCTTTGGCTCGCTGCTCTCATAACGTTGAGGCTGCAATAAACTTCTGTTTTGAACACAGCAGCGATATGGAGCGTCTCGTTACCGAGTGTCGGTCAGTTCAGGGATCCGGCGGAGACGGAAGCTCGAAGTCGACGCGGAAAGATGACGTAGAAGCCATTAGTCCGTTATTGGAACAGCTCTCCGAGATGGGATTCCCGTTCAACTGGTGCAAAAAGGCTCTTGCTGCGAACAGAAATAATGTGGATGCAGCCTTGACGTGGATCTTATCTCATGGCGAGGCTTTGGAAGCGGAAGACCGACGAGATGAAGAAGCAAAGCTTCGCGCTTCTGGTGAAGATGTTGCAGATGGAAACCTTCCGAGCACGGTTCCTGAAGGTGAAGGTGCTGTTCTCATGTCAAACCCGCTCCGAGCTGTTAGTGGTCAAGCTTGCGTTGGTGAGCACGACTTGATGGTAGAAGGCCTGGTGGGTGGCGGATTTGCTAGTGTTGGCGCACCCGACTGCCTCGTTTCAAGTGGACGATGGTACTACGAAGCTACGCTTCACACGAACGGTTGCATTCAGATTGGGTGGGCTGACGTGGCTTTCTGCGGTGCAGCTGATCGTGGAGATGGCGTCGGTGATGGTGCGCATTCATGGGCGTACGATGGCTGGAGACAGCAGCGATGGCATGGCCGCTCATCGCCTTGGGGATCTAAGTGGAAGCAGGGTGATGTAATTGGTTGTGGGATCGATGCAGATGCAGGCACCATCATTTTTAGTTTAAATGGTAAGATGCGATCGGCTAACATGGGTGTCGCTTTCAGGGCAGTCGATTTTGCTCGCGGGGTTTATCCCTGTGCAAGCTTCAACCGAAGAGAGCGATTGCAGTTTAATCTCGGCGGATCGCCATTCAAGTTCCCGCCTCCACCGGGCTTTCAGCCTATTTTGAATGTCCTCAGTGGTGCGTCCGGTCTTGGCTTGGTACCCAGGGGTTTCGATGTGATCGGGTCTCGTGAGGATTGCCTGGAAGAAAGTGTGGGTGAAGAGAATTACTCAAATGACACCAGGTACTTCGCGCGAGACATGCCTCCATCCATGCTTCGAGGGTCCGGCCACGGTCGCAGCAGTGGTTTCGTTTCTGGCTCGTGTGTGACAAAGGCGGACGCCTTAGCCGATGTTAAAAGCCTCCCCGATAGTCGTGTGTATCTTGAGCTCCTGGTGGTAACGCGCTCGCTCGCAATCTTACAGGCGAGGCGAGCTTTACTGACATTGCTTGCTAAATGGCCAACGGCGGTAGTTGGACCATTCTCCGTGTCAGCATTTATATCTGGCAAGGGTGCATCGCGCGGCTCTACAGAGAATGAAGACTCTATGAGGTTTATTGACTTCATCAAGCTCATTTCGAGTTCAAGCGCTCTTCACGTGTCGAGCACACTGCCAAGTGTGTCATCGATACTTCCCGACGATGATGCTTTTTATCTCCTTGATTATGGTGCCACAGGTCGTTTCGCGCTAGACTTGCTGTCTGCAGTTGTAAGATCGGCACTTGACAAGGCGCTTTCGATGATCTCGGCTAGCGCGTGCGACCACATGCCTTTGGTGGACACGATACTTTCCTGTATCTCATCAGAGGTCAAAAGAGCTTCACAGCGCCAGTACGCTAGGATTCCATGGAACTCATCGGAGGCCGCCATTACTGCAACCCTTTTACAGATTACAGTTGAAGCGGGCCAGACGTGGTCAGATAAAGAAATGCTGAGCCACCCGAACCTATTCCTTGCAGAGTGGATCAGTGGCTTATTGCTACGGTCGTTAGAGGAACACAAGGAGCGGCTTTTATCGCCCACACATGACCTTATCCGGCAACAATTGCTTGGAGCTTGGATTTTGTCACTGAAATCTCCAAGCATGTGTGTCAAAGAACGCGGGGCAACTATCCTTGGAGGAATCCTGCAAAATGCACTACCGAAACCATGCGGAGCTGCTGATGCGAACTCAATTGGTGATACGGAGAGTCTATCCCATTCGCGATTGAAGATGGCCTTGGAAGTACTGCCTTTGCAGCGGCTTGTCGACCTGTCGCAAGAGCGAATTCTTCGCGAGTATCCGAATGTTCCGGTATGTTCTAAGTACGTACAAAGTTTGGTGGAGCTTGTGTCTGCCGCCGGCTTAGCCTTGAGCGCTATTGGGGAGTCTGCCGACACACTGTTTGACAGCAGCTCATCCCAGCAGCTACAGGCTTGCAAGCGAATCGAAGCAGACTTAGCACCAATTGATCAGAACGAGTACGACGAAGTGATGGCCGCCAAGAAGTTACAGGCGCAACAGGCTGCTGAAGAGGCCACAAAGCAGGAGAAGCTTGCGATCGAGCGTGCGGCGGCGGCTGCAGAAGCATCAGATGATAGAGAGTCATCCACAAGTCTGAATGAATTAAGCTTTACGGCCAGCGATGCCGATGTTGAAATCCAAGGTGTTGACTCAGGAGGTGTCACGGAAAGGAGTAATGGTGCCAGCGGTGCCACCAACATGGAAGTCGACAACAGTGACTCCGAAGAAGCTTCAGATATTACGCTGTCAGCAATTGCCAACATGGTAACTGAAGATGGCGATGTGATGGCAGCCAGTGCTGCTGTAGCTTCTGTTTCCGGTGACCGATTAGTTATCAGGGGACCGGGGAGACGAACAAGGCGACCCATGCCAGAGCTCCTTCACAATAAAGCAGGTGCGACGTTTGAGTTCCGTTTGCCCGAGAAAGACCCCGACTTCGATACGTCCTTGCTGAATACGCGGGAAATCGACACGTTAGAGGCTGCAAAGCGTGGTATCATGGGGGACGAACCCAGAGGTTGGAGTCATGGCAATGATGTAGGGGTGCTCGCTGATGCACACACAGAGCTATGGAGTGGCACACTGACGCAATTTCGGTTACGCCCGAAGAAAGAGGAAGGTGATCAGCCCGAGTTGAAGGTGGGGTGCAGGGTAATTCGCGGACCCAATTGGAAGTGGCGCGATCAGGATGGAGGTGAAGGCAGTGTGGGTATTGTTGAGGGTGTGTCGCCGTGGAGTGGTGTAGATGGCGAAGGCATGTCAGTGCGTTGGCCAAACGATTCTTTATACACATACCGCTGGGGAGCTGATGGCAATTTTGATCTGATTCATGTGGAAGTGGATGAGGATGGAAATATCACGTGTCAACATGCTACTCCGAAAGCAAAGCAAGAGGACGAGGGATCGTTCGGATCCGAACTACATCTCGGTGTGCTTCTGTATCTATCCGTTGACAAAGAAGCTGTGTTGAGTTCCGACAACGATGCACTGAAGGTGGCTGGATTAATGGAGTGGCCTGACTACGGAGCTGCAGCTCGCGTCGTTGGCATCCGATATTCTGATGGATCATTGTGCGTCCAAGAGTTGCAGCTCACACGTGGCGATCCCGATATGGGATGGATGCTTCGCTTTGGAACGGAAAAATGGCAACCTGGCACGAAATACATGTTGCGCCCAGTCGAGCCACTTAACTCACCAGAAACAGCTTCCCACGATATATCCCAGGTAGATACGCTTCGTGGTGAGTACTCGCATTCTGGTTTTAAGGATGGAGAACTTGTTGAAATTCGCGGGGAGCTGCAGGTGTCGACGAAGTATTTGTTCACGATGGATCTTTACAATCACTTCTCGACGCTTGGAGTCTCACCCGATGGGCTGTCGGTCACGTGTCACAGTGGTGAATCGCGAAATCTTGCGCTAGGAACGGTAGGGTTTGCCTCGGGTATTCATTACTGGGAGGTCCACGTAGAGCAAGCAGAGTTTGGTAGCGTATTCATTGGCGTGTGTGAAAAGGCTGGCCCGCCGGGCTCCCAGGCTGCGCTGTCTAGCCGATTGAATAGATGGCACGGATGGGGTTTCGTCAACTTTCGTGCAACATACCACAATAGTACAGAGCGTATCTACGGCGACCACTTCAATGCAAGCGATACCATTGGCGTACGACTTGATATGGAACAAGGCAAGTTGTCATTCTTCATGGATGGAATAAAGTTTGGTGAGCACATTGTGTCCGATTTGGGCGTTGCATTCGAGAACATGAAGGGTGAGCCGAATTCGCGTACGCTGTACCCGTGCATCGGTATGCGGAAGGGTGGAGACCGGGTCACGCTAAATCAGAAGTGGGTATCGATGCCTGGAGTATCTCCGCGCCAGATCCTTTCGGATGCAGTTGATGTCAGCAAAGCGTTGCATTCCTGGTATGTCTCGATTCCACAAGAAAAATCCACGGCTACGGCCGAATGTTTAGCAGGACCGTCCTCGCTAAAAACTGGTACACCCCTTGCACGAATAACGACACCGGTAGAAGCTCGCTTGAAGCTACCGATTAAATTGCTTCATGAGAGCTGGCTGGAGTGGAAGCAATGGAGTGATAATCGCTGGCAGCGGTGCCATGTGCGACCACGAGGGATCTCTGTCGACTTCGACACGTCGCCTGCTGCTTGTATCCGCGTGAGTAATGCTGCTGGTCTCGGTGCTCCATTCTTGGCTGGTGATCGCGTCCGTATGTGCTCCAAGTGTGGCCAAGAGTTGAATCAACCGGAAGAAGCTGTTGTGTTAGGTGTATACCGTGGCTTCCTTTGGTACCGCACGGAAACACAAGGAAACGAAGGCGCCGATGAAGGACGGACATGGGCCTGGCATTGGTCGCCAAATGAGCTGCCAGAGCTTCTTCTAATTCGTCGCGGCGGCAAGGACATGACTCTGGTCGAGAACAGTGCATGCGACGTGTCGGATTATGAAAATGCAGCCGAGCACAATCCGTTTGAGCCTCGTTCTACACTAGAAATGCGTGCAAGGACGGACTTCGATGCGTTTGTTGAGCTAGCTACGCGATCGCATTCGGCCGCGTCAGACATGCAGTTGGTTGAGCGGCTGAATGCCTATTGTGCAGCCATTGGACTGGACGTGACAAATCTCAGTATCACGGACGTTGTGGTCCCAGGGGAGGTGGGAGAAGGCGACGACGATGTAAGTGTGGTGCACGGACGTCCTCGAACACGTTCACTAGTAGTTGATGACTATTTCACGTCGCCGACACTGAAGGATATCACCGGTCCCGAGTTGCGTGCACGCACTGCAGTACTACGGGTGCTGAACAGCAAAATTCTTCGGGTGCTTCCCTTCATTGCAGTCCGGCCGGACGATGGGAGCAGTACTCAGCCAATCGAAGTCGCAGGCAGTGCCGGATCGAACAGTTTCACCAAGGGATCAGCCGACTTTTTGTCAACAAGTATGAAATTACGTTCGCTACGACGGTTGGTGTTCACGAGTACTAAACGAGCCTTCTGGGATGACGTTCTTCGGGCTACGACAACAAGTACGCCGCTTCCGTCCGACGAGTACGAAGATCCACGTGAGATCCGCGTTATTCGAATCAACCGAATCCAAGCGCAAGCTTCAAAGCTGAGCTTGCTTTCGCAACCAGGTGATCGATTACGTCGTTCGGTGTTTGGTCAGCTCTACCGAGAAATGCGCGTGTGGAGTGACAGCTTTTTCCGCCGTGCCTACTGTGGGAAAGGCCACGGTGGCCAGCGACGTGCTTTTAAGGTCAAGTTTTTGGGGGAGGGTGTAAATGACTACGGTGGACCGTACCGTGCCGTCTTTGAACAAATCGTGGACGAGCTGCAGATGGACAATGTGGAATTATCCAAGGGCGAGCAGGGCTTGCTACCGCTGCTAATACCGTGCCCGAATCGCCGGAGCGCTACAGGCAGCAACCAGGACAAGTTTTTGCTGAATCCCTCCTGTGGCACCGCTTTGTTGACCAATGGGCCTATGGCGCTAGATCTGCACCGTTTTCTTGGAAAACTGATCGGCACAGCAGTACGTCACGGCTTACAGATGGGGCTGGACTTGCCTGCGCTCGTTTGGCGACCACTGGCTGGGCTCGAAGTCAGTCGAGCACACTTGGAGAATGTCGATATCGCAGCATCCAACAATTTGTGCCGCGTTGAGGAACTCAACCCTGATACTGAAACGGCAGTTCAAGAAGCAGAAGAGGTGCTAGGCTACTTGACCTTGTCGACTACGTTGAGCGACGGCGTCGAGGTCCCCTTGGTACCCCAAGGTGAAAAGATGCCTGTGACTTTTGCAAACCGCGAATTGTATGTGCATCTCGTGGAGGAAACGCGACTTACAGAGAGTAGCCAACAGCTCGCTGCACTCAAGCACGGCTTAGCGTCGGTGCTCCCCATGGAGCTCGCGCCATTGTTCACACCGCAGGAACTCGAAGTGCTGATCTGTGGACGACGCGAAGTGGACGTGGATTTGCTGCATCAATGCACTGAGTATAGTGAAGGAGCGACTGAGACGATGCCGCATGTGCAGCACTTCTGGGAGGTGCTACGCGAAATGACAAGCGAGGAGAGGACGTCGTTCTTGCGCTTCGTGTGGGCGCGAAGTCGCATGCCCAACAGCGCCAAGGACTTTCCCATGAACTTCAAGCTGCAAGCCGCACTCGACCCGGGCGCTGTCGGTCACCCCGATCAATACCTGCCTCATGCGCAGACGTGTTTTTTCGCGTTGCGGCTTCCAGCCTACACGAGCAAAGATGTGCTGCGTGCCAAGTTGCTGTACGCGATCCAGAACTCGCCCAACATGGACGCTGACGTGAGGCTGCACAACGCCGAGGGCTGGGCCGACGCCTAAGTCTTGCAAACCTCTTTTTTGCATTCCTTACATGTCGATCACATTTCCATTTACTTCACGCAGTTAGTCACCACCCCGTTTTGCATGACACCGTCCCACTCTCTGTTTTTCCATCTCACGTCCAGCGTGACAAAATGACGGACTCACTCGATTCCATGCTCGTCAGCACGGTCACTTCCGATTGGCCGAAACTCGATATCCGCATCAAATCCAGTTATTCTCCTCCATGAGGCACCACGTGCTCGCGACTCTCTCCGTGCTGCACGCTGCAGCGCTCTATTTGTTCACCACCGGCTTCTTCCTCACTCGCTTCGAAGTCCCGGACGTGAGCACGTGCCAGACGCTCCCATCTGAAACCGGTATCGCTCTCCCGCGCCTCCGTCGCGGTCCTGATAGCAACGTATCGACGACTGACGGTGCTATCCAAAACGGCTGCTGGATGCCCCGCCGCTTCCGCCGCATTGTTTTTGTGGTAGTTGATGCACTAAGGTACGATTTCGCAGCAACTTCGACATCAAGTGGCAAAGAGCAATCGACGTTCTATAGCGACCGTCTGCCAGTCTTCAATGAGACGTTAATGAACGAGCCAGGACACGCGGTACTGCTCAAGTTTGTGGCTGATCCACCGACAATGACGATGCAACGTCTGAAGGGGTTGACGACTGGATCATTGCCGACGTTCTTGGATATTAAAGACAACATGGCCTCAAGCAGTCAGATTGTCGAAGACAATTTGTTGAGGCAGCTGCGCGCACAGCACCGCGGTGTCGTGTTTATGGGCGATGATACGTGGGATGCGCTCTATGAGCGCGAATTTACGAGGACATATGCTTTTGACTCGTTTAATGTCAAAGATTTGCACTCGGTAGATCGTGGCGTGATGACACATTTGTTCCCTGAGCTCGATAAGATGGATTGGGACTTGCTTATTGCGCACTTCTTGGGGGTTGACCATGTTGGACACACACATGGACCTAGCTCTGTCTTTATGGCTCAAAAGCTGGACGAGATGAATGGCGTGTTGTCAAACCTGGTGCAGTATTTGAAGAACATGCCAGGTGGAGAAGACGTGCTGCTCGCTGTTCTGGGAGACCACGGCATGTCGGCTGACGGCAACCACGGTGGGGCTAGCGACGACGAAACTGGGGCGGCGCTTTTTCTATACAGCAAGGCACCGCTCGTTGTTGTCGAGGAAGAAGATAGGGAGGGTGAAAACGAGCTCCAGAAATACGCAAAAGTACTGCGCGATAGCGTGCGAGAAGTGCCACAAGTCGACCTTGTCCCCACGTTAGCACTATTGAGCGGCTTGCCAATTCCTTTTGGAAACCTCGGGAGCGTTATACCGTTGCTGTTTTTCGTGCCTTCTGCGTCATCTGATGCAGATACAAACCGAGCGTTAGCTGCCTTTCAGACCCTGAATCGCGCGTTGCGACTAAACCTTGATCAGGTGCGGCGTTATCTGCTCAGGTACTCATCCGCGTCCAAGTTGCCTGAAAGAGCATATGATCAGCTCGAAAGGCTTTTTGACGAGATCGTGCACGCTGAAGATCAACTTAAACGAGTGCAAGATAGCAAGGAAACTCTTCCTTTGTCGCAAGCTGATCTTCTGCTACTACTGCGTCTTCACGACGATCTGTCTAAACAACATCAACACTACCTGCGTGAAGCCCTATCGCTAGGCCGTTCTATCTGGACGCAGTTTGATCTGTGCAGTATGGCTTGGGGGCTACTACTTCTTTTATGGGCCTTCATCGTTGGCACTATTTCAACTCGTGGTGGCAATGCGCATTCTATGTCGTGGAGTCTTCGACTAGGTGTTATTGCTGGGATGAGCTGCGTGCTTTTCGTTTGTCCAGCAAGTATCAACCTGCCGCTTCTTCCAGCAGCCCCGTTCTCGCGTGGCCTGGTTGCCCTATCTTGCACTGGTCTGGCACATATGACTGCACACCTCGCGGGTCAGCGCAAGACATACACGGGCATTCGAGGAACAATCGCAAATGCGGGGTCGACGTTGTCTCCGGTTTCGGGGGCTTGGGTAGTGTCCGCTGCTATTGTGGTGATCCATGCGCTAGCTCTGCTCTCCAACAGCTACATTGTGACAGAGAACAACGTTATGCTGTACTTGTCACAAACCACTGGGTTCTTCTTACTTGCGTGTGCCCAGCGCATGGATGCCAACCGGAGTGCTGCTACGAGTGCCGCGCTAGCTTTCATCTTCGCAACGCGATTGGGCAGCGCAGTAGAGCCGCCCAATATTATCAAGGCATCTGCGACTTTGGGGCGAACGTTTGCTCCACTGGCTGCTCTTGCTGCTCTTGCTGTTGGCTCTTCTGTGCAGGCAGCCAAACACACCAGACACGAGCTCTCCCTCACGGGTCGATTTATGCTGACATCATCGATGGTGAGCTACTGCATGTGTGCAATCTTTTGGGCTGCTTCGCCCATCCGAATTACCTTCTGGCGACTCTGGCTGCCGCGATCCGTTTATTTAATCTTCCTGGGAACGCTCCTTTGCCTGCTGTCACGCACAGTGCCGCAAATTACGCGAACGAATTCCAGTGGACAAACCCGACAGCCGACATCTGGCAACTTGCTGTTGGTCTGGCAGTTTATTCCAGCGTTCGTGCTAGTACTGGGACCTACATCTCCGTTGTCGGTATTATGTCTAGTGGTACAGTACCTGGGCTTGTCATTCATCGCCTCCTGCCATCGGTCCGTTTTTCCAGCATCAGTTGATACCACAACGCCATGGGTACTGATCTGGGCTTCGTGCTCCTACCAAGCGTTTTTCACAACGGGCCATGCAAACACATTTACGAGTCTGCAAAATGCCGCTGGCTTTGTGGGCTTTGACAACTTCAGCTTTTATGGTGCAGGCGTGCTTCTCGGCCTCAACACGTTCGGCTGTTTTGCGATAGCCGTACTGGCGCTGCCTTGGTTGACATTGAACCGACTGTCTGATGGGCGCACAATGGCTCTTGCTTTCTCAGCCTACTTTGTTCTCAACGCATTGATATCAACGCTGTTCGTCGCACTCCAACGACGGCATTTGATGGTATGGGCCATCTTTGCGCCCAAGTTCATCTTCGACGGAGTGTCCCTGCTGGTCGTGGAGTTTTTGCTGATTCTACTGTATGCACCATTCTCAGAGTATACTCAGCGAAGTCACATCGATTCGAGTGAATAATGTGAGCAGTCTTCGTGACAATACGTAACGAAAACTGCTTCGCATCGTTCGCGCAATGGCACGTCAACCATGGTTTCTCGTCTTCACCGCATCGCCATGGTCACAGCGTGCACAACAACATCATTCCATTCATCACTGTGCACTTCGTCACTCGTATCTGATTTCGCGGAAGCAGCTGTGACTTCGCGGATGCCATTGCAACAAACCATGATGCACTCACACGCGCTCGTGCCGGCAGCTGGGTCGGCAGGTGGTGGCTCTTCAATATAAAACCCTTCCGTAGTTGCTTCCCACGGTGGCAAAGTCAGCGGTATGGTATGTGGTATAGTGATTCCTTCATTCGCACAAAGCGCGACAAATTTCTTGAACGATACTTCGCGCACGTTACAGCTCGCGCACAGAAGGCACGTGTAAACCGTTGGCGAGTCGCCAGCTTTCCTTTGCTCAGGCGTGAGTAGCGAAAGAGACCTACAATTTGCACAGTTGCAGATCACAATGCAGCCATTGTATTGCTGGAACAGATATGCAACCAGTGGTGAAAGCAAAGCTTCCAGCGAAGTAGCTGAGCCGAACTGATACGCAGCGTTCGTAGATGCTGATGGTACGCGCGACCGCAGCTTTATCTTCATACTGCTCGATAGAATCGACGTGCCAATAGCGGCGACATTAGGGAGCCACCGTGTGATAGTGAGTGGGTCGTTTCCATCATTGACAATCAGGTCTTCAACCACCTCTTGAGGCTGTAAAATGCACTACAGTTAGCAATCGTAATAATAACAACCATCCAGTGGCGGGATTACCTTGACCATTACATTTGCCGGGACGCCCTCAGGGTTGAAATGTAAGCCAAGCTCCACAGCCTCTTTTGCACTTAGCAGCACTCGGGCACTGACACTCCGTCCAAGTTTCTGTAGCGCATATACTCACCATACTGAACAAACAATCTCTTCAAGGCAACAATAACGGCTCTGTACCTGAGAAGTAGACACCCGACTTCGCGAAGTCGAACGCACAGAGAGTAGATTGACGTTGTCCATATCTTTGTCTTTCCGCGCGAACAACTCTTTTTCCTTAAAGTCTCGCTTGAATGCACTCGCCGTATAGTCGAAATGCGGCACCCGGGTTCGCCCTGATGTAAAGTCCACGCTGTCCCGCTCTTCTGATGAACGCACGCTTTGTAATTGCTAGCAAAGACAGTTATAAAATACTTCGGACACCCACCAGTCGCCATGTTGTGCTCGTTGCGTCCTTGTTCCACAGTTCGCACAACAGCACCGCGCTGTGTTCTGAGGTAATCGTCAACAGTTCGAGGTAACACTCCAGCATCTTGAGCACCTGGAATGTTCCTTGGTGACCAGAGGCCGACGTCTTCACCCTCTGTCTCGCCACCATCTCCACTTTGAGATTGATTGCTTTTCGTCGGAAATGCCGATGGCGGGTTTTGGATGTCAACAAACTTAGCGGGAACAGTGCATGATGGAGGGAGACGAGGATACTCCAGCACCAGCTTTAAATTCTTTACTGCATTGCCACTTTGTATAACAGCTCTAGGGTACACCGAGACGCTTTGCGACTGCCCCCAACTTTTACCTCCGACGGCGTTATGCGGACTTGCATCATCCAGCATCACCAACATGCGGCGGTGTTTCATGCTGCTCACCTCAGCGTCGCTCCAGCGGTTGCCATCTAGCTCGATTGGCTCGCCCAAGTAGAACAGCACCTCTCGTCGATAGTCTGGTCGCCGAGCAATCGGATTGAACTCCATCTTGAGATACGTGAGTTTCGACAGCCCAGTCAACAACTCCATTTCCGTGATATCGTCGATGAAATTGTGCGAAAAGTCCAGTCGTTCCAGCGCCGTCAGCGTCTCGATCCCTTTCAATGACGTGATCCGGTTCACCGCCAGATCCAGTTCCCGCAGCCCACGCAGCGCCTGAATAGGCGGCACTTGCGTCAGTCGGTTATGACACAGCTTCAGCACTTCAAGCGATCTCGTCGTCACGTGAGCGTCAAACTTGTCAATCTTGTTCCACCCGAGATCCAAAATCTTAACGGCTCGGAGAAAATTCACCGACGCGTCTACGCGCTCCAGTGCGCAGCAGTTCATGTGCATCTTGAGCAGCTTCCTCCACGGAATCTCCCGTTCGGGAGACAGCAACTGCTTCAACGCCGTTGCGTTCGCGTGCTCAATATGAAGCTCCCGCAACTGGCTGGCAAAAAAGTGCACGTGCTTGAGCTCCGTCACGTCCGTATTCAGCGCTTCCACGACCTTGAGCGACGGGAAAATCTCCACTTGAATAGGAACTCGATGCTCGTCCTCATCCACTACCTCCGTAGCCAATTGCTGCGACGGCTGATGCACGCGCAGCCGTCGCACTTCTCGCAGGATCGTCGACAGCTTAAGTACGGGAATGTGTGCGCTCGCCTTGACCTTGAGCTGCAGCTGGGGCTGGATCGTCCAGGCTTCAATTAAGTGCGTACTGTCGTCCCGTCGTGGCACAAGTGCGTCGTGCAGACGCGCTGCCAAGAGGTGGACTTGAGTCGCACTTAGCACGAGAAATGGCTGCTCGTGACGGGCCACGTGCTGCCGCAGCGTCTCCTCGAGCGTCTTGAGATACGCGTCTTCATCCAGCGCATCGTCCAGGACGATACTCGAGTCCGTAGGCGGCGAGGCGAGCCGCAGAGGGAGCGCCGCGCGCACTTCAAGGCGGTGATGCCTTGTGTCCATGTGGTGGTCTTGTTGCTTTGTGCGCGAGCTTAAGTGCGCACTCGACGACAAAGTGCGATCGGAGTCGATGGCCTCAGTCAGACTTAAGTGCGCACTCGACGACAAAGTGCGATCGGAATCTAGTTGTTTCAAGTGCGCACTCGACGACAAAGTGCGATCGGAGTCGACGGCCTCGCGCGAGTGACGCGCGTACTTTGCCGATGTGATCCGCACTTAGGCGACAACCCAGGGGAGAAAGAAAGAGAAGAAAATCTCACAACGACCGACCGCTTCAGTTGCTCGCGCGGAGCAGACGCAGCGATCGATCCATTGGCTCGTGAACGGGTGCGCGCAGGCAAGCACGTGTCGTCGAAAAGAGGCGGGGAGAAGCGAGGAAGCGCGGCCGGTGTCAGTGATCACCAGCGACGCCAGCAGCAGCAGCAAGAAGAAGGCGAGCGCTTGCCGCCACATAGCAGCCGCTCGCAACAGGAGCGGGAGCCAGCAACAAAGCAGCCTCGCGGCCGCTTGCACGATACCCGGTCTACCAAGCCCCAGCAGTCCCTCACCGAGCAGCAGTGGACACGAGAAGAAGCTGCACGTGCGTTCGATGGACCGTGCCCCTGTCCACGACAAGGACAGTCAGAAACGACGCAAGAAGAGCCAGGAGAGCAGCTCGACAGGCCACGTGGACGCCATGGACGACGAGCAGCTCGAGCTCTTTCATGTCGTGCAGGAAGATTTGTGCCAAAAGTCGACGGTTGGCTGGCAAAACGCCGTGAAAGTGCTTAATTCGGCCTACCAGCACCTCGAGCGACCGGAAAGCCAAGCATTTTTGGATGATGCCTTTTCCAAGATTATCAGTATCATGCTGGACCAGCAGTACGTGCTGCCAATCTTTGTTTGTTGCTGTTGTGCTGCGGGACCTTTTGACGCTTACTAATTTTTTTGGCCTGGTGTGGTTGGTTTGCTGTTGCTTCTACCTAGTGCAAGCAAGATCGGGTCGTTTGAAAAGTCGTGTGTGACGCAATGCTTGTCGCTGGCGGTTCCACTGGTAGTCGCTCAGCTGAAAGCAGGCAAGTATTTTCAGGCGCTGCCGGTGCTGACGATGCTGTTTAGCAAGAAGAAGACGTTTTATAAAGATCTTCGCACGTCTGCAATGATTGGCAGCTACTGGAACAAGGTGCCGGGGTCGCCAGAAGTGCGGGCGCAGTGCATTGAAGCGTTTTGTGAGCTCAAGGGATTTCACTTGCTACTGAGCACACTGGAGCTATTGATGAACAATCGACAAGAGAGCGATGACCTCGAAGCTGTCATGGATGGCGAGGATATCCGTATTCTTTTACAAGCGCTGTTGGAGTTCCGAACGTTTGTACCAGAAAGCCTCTGCACTAAAATCTCCGTCTTGATCATGACGTATTTTACTAAAATCTCGGATTCGGTGTTGAAGAAAGAGTCGAGTGACGCGGTAGGAGCCGTCATTAGCACGATTCGAAGATTCGTAGATGCAGGCATTGTTTCGCCCGAAGCCATAAACGCTTTATGGCTAGACATTACGGAAAGGTACGTGGAATCGACTTCCTTGCCTCTGCGGCTTTTCGGTTTGGAGCAGATCAACCATATTGTGAACTGCGCTCGAGCATCCCGAGCTCTCCCTCCACGCTATTTTGTCCGAAATGCCGGTACAGCTGCCGTTAATGGAGTGTATACGCTGAAGGCTAACACGTCGTTGGCGACGTACGTGTTCAGGCAGCAAGAAACGGGCCAAGTATTTACGCTCTTTTGCTGCACCATGAAAAGCGGTATGAAGTGGTGGTTTATCTCAGAGGCTGACAAGATGCAGCCCGGGTCAGATCAAGATATTGACTATTACCAGCATCAATCACAGTACGAAGAGTATTTACCTCCAACGCATAACTGGATCCCTACTGGAAAAGGGGAGACTCCAGCTCCTGAACTCATTGCAGAAAGTGTCCAGGAGAATGGTGAGGAGCATGTCAATCGGCTTGACAATACCTTGAGTACTTGGGTGGTCGAAAAAAAGGTTCTTGAGGGAATTTTTGGTGACAGAATCCATCGTGAGATCGTATCCCGCAGTGCGTTGCTCGTAAAGTTTTTGGCGGAGTCGAACAGGTTGGATACGCACTCGATTGACGTGATTTGGCAGTCCTGTATCCAGAAAGACCAAACTCTTGTACACGAAATTCACAACTTACTGATCACCACGGTACCTTTGTTGTCAAATGAGCTGCTATTGCACCTCGTGGAAAGTATCCACGCGTCGCTGTTGCGAAGCTTGGAAAAGAACGAGTCTTTCCCAGAGCTGGTCGCATTTTTGCAGCGGCTAGCGACTAATTCGCCCAGCTTTCTTATGGATCGTAACGTGAACGTCACGACAGCAATCCTACAGCTACTCTGGTCGATTCAGATGCACTGCAGTATTGCAAACATTCGATTGAGCAGAAGTCTACGCGATTTTTTTCAGGAAGGGCTAAGGAGCGAGTACGGAGAACCGCTGCGAAAGGCATTTTTGAATGAGTGTGTCGACGGAATTAAAAAGTCATGCTCGCTGTCAAGTCCGGCACGACATTCTGTATCGTCGCCCTCTTCTACGATAACTCTTCCAGCTTTTAGTACCACTACATCAGCGGAGATGACTAGCAAGTGTTCGACAGCCTCCAAGTCGTTGGAGCTGTTAAAATTTTTGATCGACTCTTACCGAATGGATCAGGCCCTCGTAGTGGAATCGCTTAATTCAGAGCACGGTTTGGTTAGCCTATTGTTTGACGAGCTTGCAGCTTTTGTGGCGCGCAGAACCGATAAGCAGTCCCCCAGCTATCGCACTGCTGTCGGCCATCGCTTGGAATTGATTCATTACGTTCACGTAAAGTCGCCAAAGCTGGAACTACTGATTCCGCAGATCGAGCGTTTGTGGACTGTGCTGTCATCTTCACCTGCCGAGCGTGAACTGTGTCTGATATTTTTTAACCAGACGAGTATGCGCCGCAACCAGCAAGGTGGAGCAACGCCTAGCATTAATATGCGGGGTGGATCGATTAGCTCAGCCTTCAATTTGGACGTGTGCTTCTACGTTTTTAACGAATTATTATGCAAACAAACTGACTTCCGGACGCTTGGATGTATGGGCTACAAGTGTTTCAACACCTATTTCGTGGGTCTGAATGCGCTGCCCAAGCCGATGCAACGCTTTGAAAGGTCTTCGGACAGTAGCACGTCGAACTTGCTTGGAATGGATGCTTTATGGCGTATTGCATTTGAAGCCCCCTTGGAAGTCGCCGAAATGGCTACGCGGGAGTTGCTTCGTGTTTACGGACGTCCAATGACCGAGCTCGTTTACGAGGGTGAAAGCAACTCTGACGATGGTGTGAAAGATTTCTTGTCACGTGTGTTTAAACAGCTATCTACGGTAAAGGACAGCTCACTAGACTCTCTGAAGTTGGTGCAGCAATGTGCGAGTCTTTTGACAGGGCTGGTGTCTAGCGCTCGTAAGAAGCAGACGTTCGTTCCACATGGGCTAAGCGGTCGCGGCGCGTACTTCACGGTCAAGGTGATAGCCCAGCGAATACCTCCATCTAACGCGATCGGATCAGGAAGTTCTGCGACAGCTGTTTCAAATCACGACAATGCGGTGCGAACGATGCAAGTCTCTGTGTACTCCAACCAGACGCTAAGCCTCTTCCGAAAACAAATTGAAAAGCTAGTGAGCCATCCTACGGAGCGGACAAAGATCCTCTCGTCTGGTTCGGCAATCTCAGGAGATCACAAAACACTCGCAGATTTGCAGATCACGGAGTCCAGTGAAGTGCGAGTACTAATGTTTAATTCGGTCGTGCAACGTTCCGGCTCTAACGCAATGGACCAAGATCACTTGATGGCTTCGTCCGGTAATAGTTCACCTACTTACCCTTCATCTCCCTCCTTCAAGCAGCACCCCGGGTTAGTGGTTGCACGTGATGCTTCTTATTTCGAAATACTTTTCCGTGTGCTAGACGTTGTGGAAGGCCATTCGGTTCACGAGTTGCTTTGGGCGTTTTTGAAGCAAATCCCTACAAGTGACGAGCTACTTAACCGCGTTTCCGATATTGGCGCGGCTGAGGTGAGTGATGAGCATGTGAATACTGGCCTCCCCTCGTCGGATCGACCTGCTGAAAAAGGAAGTGAATCGAACTGGTCGTCTTTGCTGAAAAGCATTTCGTCCCATCAGGCTATTTACACACTACAAATTATGGATGCGCTGCTTCTCCCTTCGGAAATCGCTAAGATCCCGTTTGCACAGACGTATCTCCAGCGCTTCATATCTGGAGGTGGATTTCACGAAGTGCTATCGTATTTCATTGGCGCTAACTTTCACGAGAGCTCTTTCAACGAAGGTGCTGCCGTGGCACTTCGTATTTTGAAGTTTTGCCTTTTCGATTCAGGCCACGATAAAGGGCTTTACTCGGTGACGGCTGCCGCGAAATCCCCCGGTGAAGAGCTCGGTGGTGAGGCCTTGGTGGATACTGACCATGGCGTAGGTGGGGGTGCAGAAACGCCTAGGACGAAAATTGTCATGGAGCAGGATCGATACGTACAGTTAGTGCTGAAGATTGCTGAGCTTGTGGTTTCTGAGTACACACGAGTTGAGGAGAAAACTTCAGAAAAGAACACTGCACACCGCATTTTGATCGACGCTGTAAAGACGGTTGAGTCCATTGTGTCCATTTCGCAGGATGCGGCAGCTAAGTATATTAAGGCGCTAGAACCACGCGCTATCATTATCACTATCTTTATGAATTGTGAGTCAGAGCAAGTGCGACAGCAGTGGCTCTCATCAGTGGAATCTATCTGTAGGGCATCTGATGCGGCAGCTGAGGTGGTGTTTGACGAAAGTATCCAGTCCGTTGATCGTGTTGAGAGCGTGACCGCGCCATGTGATCAGTATGCGCGCATGCTGTGTTTTTTGGCGCGTCTTGAGGGCGGCAATTCGTCTTCGTATTGTCTCAGGCTTGCCAAGGCTGTGGTGGCAAAACTGCGTCGTGGTTTTGCGAGCAAGTTCCTAGCCTGCAATGAGCGGTCGGGTGAAGTACTGATCGGATTCATGGAATTTTTGCGTGATGTGCTGGTGGTGCATGCTGACGTGCGAGCCGGAATCGCCCGTGATATCGTAGATGTCGTGTATGAAGAGTGTTTGTTCACTTTGCCATCAGAAGACCGACGCCGCTGCCCGCTGTGTGTGTCGCTCGAGACGCGACGTCCTGCGTTCAAGCTGCTAGCTAGTGCGATTTCTTCAGATGCAAGCATTCTGCACGACTTGCATGGGCGCCTTACTAGGCTGTTCACACGAAGTAACGCGTTGCGGTTTAAGTGGGGCCAAGAGAATAACATTGAAACACGCGGCAACGGCGAACATGTCGGGCTTAAAAATCAAGGCTGCTCATGCTACATGAATTCTTTTTTGCAGCAGTTGTTCATGCATCCAACGCTGCGCCGAGGACTGCTAGGCGCTAAGGTAGCACCCCGCCCTACTCCCCAAGAACCGACAAAGGCAGAAGCAGAAACATTCCCGGAGCGCTTGATGGGTTGCCGTGTGGCACTAGAATGTCTCGGGGGACGGGTATATGAAGCAGATGTTGTGGGATACGATGATGCATCTGGTCAGCACACGATGCGTTACGAGAATGGAGGCGAGGCAAGCTTTGTGCTGACCGAGGGGCGACCGGGAAATGAAAATGGCCGCTTTGTGATTTTGCAAGCGGAGCTGATGGGCACTCACGCGACGTTGGAAGTTCTTCGTCAACTTCAGCGCACGTTCTGCTACTTGCGCGACAGTGAGATGCGTTATTTCAATCCGAAGGCGTTTGTCGACTCATGCACGTGCCTAAATCTGGAGTTCTCGGTTTACCAGCAAAACGATGCAACCGAGTTTTGTGATAAACTACTGGATCGGTTGGAGACAGGCCTTAAGACTACACCTCAAGGCACAAGGTGCCTACAGGATGTACTCGGGGGCAAGCTTATATCTCAGAAGCTTCCAAAGGATTGCGGACACCGGTACGAACGTGAAGAGCCGTTCATTCGATTAGAGCTACAGATTCGTGGAAAGGAGAGTATTGAAGAATCCCTCTCAGCTTTCGTTGAAGGGGAACTCATGGATGGTGACAACAAGGTGGAATGTGAGCTCTGTGCTACAAAGAAGGCTGCGGTGCGACGGACGTGCTTCGGGTCGCTACCAAACCTACTAATTCTTCATTTGAAACGTTTCGATTTGGACTACACGACGTTTGAGACAGTAAAGTTGAATAATCGCTGTTCGTTCCCTATGCGCCTGAGCATGAAACCATACACGAAGGCTGGTATAGAAGAGCAGGAGGCCCGCTGTAATCTGCAGCAAGAGAGCGAAGAGACGTCGACAGACGAAGACATGGCCTCCGATGACTCAAGCGACTCGGACGAGTTTATGACTAATGCTAACGACGATACGCCAGCACTTCCTGCTGCAGTGTCACCGACGTCGACAACCAGGCTTGCTGCACCACCACTGGGTGTGAGTGGTGAAGATAGCATTAAGTCCGATCCTGATTACGAATACCGGCTTAAGGGCATTCTGGTGCACTCGGGTGTAGCTCAAGGCGGCCACTATTATTCATTCATTTATGACCACATGTCCGAAAAGTGGTTCAAGTATGATGATGAAGACGTGACGCCGTTCGACCCTGCTAACATTGAGACTGAGTGTTTCGGTGGAGTCCAGCGTCGTTCGTGGCACGGATCGAACAATTCTATGGAGATGGAAGTGTTCAGTAATGCACTCATGCTCTTCTATGAGAAAGTCGTGCCTGTCGAACGGTCTGCAGCATCTGTTTCTGAAGCCGAGACAGAATCTGAGATCGCTGCCGATGTCGTTGCTGCTGCTCCTGATGAAGAGCGTTGCGAATATGAAGTAGAAGTTTGGAAGTCGAACGAAGTATTTTTGCAGAACTCGTACCTCTTTGATATGGAATTTCATGAATTCCTGCGGGAGATGGTGCAGTCACAGTACATGGACGACGCCCAAGTTCCAGCCGTGGAAGGGAACGTGCCGCCGCCGCAGTCAAGTGATACTGGTGCTGTACGAGAAGCAGTAGCTGTCCAGGATAAACGTGCTGATGGCGACATCCAAGTGGCACTAACAGAGATCGGAGTGGAGTTCGTTTTAGGCGTGCTGTTGCATTCGCGTGAAAAGCACGGAATCGCACGATGGATTACGGTGCTTGCATCCAAGTTCACGCTGTCCAAGGCATCATGTGTACGCTTCTTTTCCGCGCTATCGACGTCGAAGCAGATCTCATGGCTGCGTGGGTTACTTTTCGAGTGCCCTGATTCGATTGCACGCCAATCATTCGTACATTTAGTATCTCGAGCACTTACGGCGTACGAGGCTCATATGAAGGAAGAGCAGGCTGTGTTGGACGAAGCGAGTGCTCAAGTAGCGATCGCCGCTGACATAGCAATTATTCGCGCGTTTGTGGAGTCCATCGCTTCGTTCTTGGACCAGACGTCCATTATGCAGCAATCGCACTTGGAGGAGTGTTTCATGCTTTTGCGAAACTGTGCTGAAGTCAGTGCCACGACGCGTACTCAGTTGCAGAAAGTCGAGATGGTTGCACGCTTGATTAATTTCTTCCTGTGCGAGCGGGGCCCCAGTCTGCTAAAAGATGCATTCCCTTCCTCGACATTGCGACCGACAGCTTCAAGATACGCTTCGCCTGATTACCAGTACCTTCTCGAAGCAGTTATTGCTATATTAGGAATACAGAAGCGTTCAACAGAACCCCTGCTTGCCGAGAACAGCACGCTCTACCCACATCGGACTGTTCTATCGGAGAAAGCGGAACACGCGCTGACAGAAGTATTCGAGGACTTCCAGAAACCAGGAGGTGTAAGTAGCAGGCCGGGTATGGGCCTTGCAGAGCTCAAGAAGTACTTCTCCGTGCTGCTGAGCGGTGCTGTAAGTAGTCTAGCAGTTGAGCAACAGGCCCGGAGTATGCTAGCGAAATATGGCACACCCAGCGATGACGTGGCAAAGGATGGATCTGGAGCTAGTGCTTTGCGTGTAGAGCTTGAAGGGTTCATTCTGTACTACACGGACATGGCCGGATCGTCGACAAAGTCAGTGCTACAGGATCTCCGCGCTTTCGGCTTCAGTGAGGATCTTCAGCGTCGCCCCACGTCTGGCAGCGATGGTTTAACAAGATCTCAAGTTCTTGAGGGATTGAGTGCCTTAAGTCGTGGGGCATTGCTAAACGATGTATTCTTCGACTCGGCACTGGAGGAAGAAGCAGAAACAACATCGGAGCTGCTGCTACGGTTAAGTTTGGGTGATCGCGAAACATCTACGCGCCTGTTGCGTGCGCTGTTGCACTGTCTCCAAAGTACCGAGACAGGATGGAAGGGGCAACCCGTGGTTGACGCTTGCGCGCTTGCACTGCAGCGTGTCTTGGGCTATGAATGTGAGTATCAGAAAGAGCTTGTGGAGCTGGCACTAACGCACTGCGACTATGGCTTGCTTAGTTCTGCGCGCAGCCGAGAGAGCCTGCGCTCACGGTACGCAAATAGTACGCATGTTCCGCTTTTCGTGTACCGACAACTGGCAATATTGCTAGAGCTGCGTGCACGAGTGCCTGTCGTGAGCGCATGGCTGGATGAACATCGTGGCGAGTGGGAGTGGCTTTACGAGTGGTTACGCATCGAGTCGCTTCAACCTAGCTTAGGTGGACGCTTGTCGATACTGAAACGTGAGCCCACAAAGGAAGAAATGTTGTGGCGGCTGGGTGAGGCATTGGGAATATTGTATCAGAAGGAGCAGCGGCGGTATGTGGTGGAAGGCGCCGGGTATGCCTCCGTCAATGGTGTGTACGTTAGCTCTTCAATCCACGACAACTGCTTGACGTATTCTTGCGTCAAGAGCAACATCGAGTACACGCTTTTTCGATGCTGCATGCCTAGCAAGGCTCGTCGGTGGTATATTTCCTATTCTCCGAACAAGAACCTACTCGGAACGATGTCAGATGAAGATTTTTACTTTGTACAGTCGAGCGTTGATGACGAGTCTCCGCCAGGGGATGGCTGGAAGATGTGGGTGAAGAACGAGAAAGCCAAGCCTCCCGTACCCACTGTTCGTCTCTATAGCTCCACGGTCGCTGTGCTAGACGGTGAAGGTGATGCTGCAGATGCCTCCGATTCATACGACGGTTACACGGAAGGCGGTGGCTTTCCCGAGCACGAGGAGGGATCACGTGCTCCGATCACGCCTTCAGCCGATGTCGTAGAGACGCTTGGAGTGGATGTGGACGCAGAGACAGTGGAGTATGATGATAGTGAGGACGAGATCCGCGATAGCAACGAGCGTTTTCGAGCGGTGCATTTGGACACACAGGAAAATGGCAGCGGCACGGACGACTTCATGTAAGCAACGGAACCCGAGGAGGGTAACATTATGTAGCTTTGTGTCATCCGTCCCAGCCGCACGGACTTGGTGTTTGCGGGCCGGAGAGATTCTGGCGCGCAGGTACGGAAGAGCAGCCATGAACGTTGATTTAAGGAAGTTGCCATTTTTAATTGAAGCTTCGCAAAAGATAACCGACTGCACGCATCGAGCGCATCCGTCCTTTTGGGGCGGATGATTCCTGTGAAGCATGTTTTGGTACTAAGCCAAGCGTACTAGCTAAGGCTTTCGTTACTCGCTGGAATTGCCTTTGTGATCGTACGTTGTGGGCAGATACGGTGTGGGCGATATAGCTCTACAAGGCTGTGTTTCGAGTCATCGACTACACATGAGTAAGGCAGTTGCAAAAAGCCAAGGTGATACACAAGCACGACCCTTTACACATTTATGGCACGAGAAGAATGCACAAACTGTGTGTTCACGGACTGTTTAAATCTGCAAATAACCGTACCTTGATACGCGAGTCTGGGTGTACGTTATAACACACAACACTACTAATGCCAGTTGAATCGCGCGTTCAAAGTGTTGGTAGCAATCCATGTGTGGTCGTGATATCAATATCACGACCACCTTGCCCACCAATGCAACAAAAACATGACAGCGAAGCGAGCCAGGACTTCTCGCACAGGATCCTCATCACTTTGATGGAAAGTGTGCGTGCTAACATCTTGCCTTCCTTTTTGCGATGTTGACCAGTGCAGATAGAATCACTGGTTTCTTACTGCTCGGCCGCCTTGACACATCAGTGCAGACTGCTTTTACATGTTTCGTGTTCGCATGTCTTCCGCTATGTTTAACTGGCGCAGGGACTACGGATGAATGCACATGAGTTCGAGCTGTGGTCATATGCTAGCCTAGCCAGCTGAACCAAGTGCACAACAATTGCTGGTCGGGGATATCGCTGAAGCCTGCAAGTGTGTCTGAATGGCAGATTTCACGCGCTTACTGGTCATGATCTGAACAGCTCATAACGCGAGCACTCCCATTCAATCGACTCTGCAGGCATCGCTGTTTACAGCGCAGACACCCTCGCCGTCAATACAATCGAGCATATTGTGCGCCATGTCTAGGCCGACAAATGACACACTAGTCTGCGCATAAAGCAGCGAACGGACGAAACGTTGTTGAGTCGTGCTGTCGATCTTCGTAGGCAAAGTCTTGTCTCACGTCGCCGCTCTACTTTTCAGCACCGCATTCGTAATCGATCAATATTTGCCCGCGATCTGTTGAAATATTGGCGGCGACCGCGCGACTTGACAGATTTTGGCGCCTACAGCGTTCGCTTTTGTTCCCAAAGACGCAGTTTTCTCGATCCACTCGAGATAGACACGACACTTCCAAAAGACCGACCAGTATACACATGAGGTATACGTGACGCCTCTACATTATGGTGTCGACACGAACGACGCATTCGAGGAGACGAGCCAGTGAAGTAGGCAGTTAGTTTTCTCTACAGTAGCAGCTTGACGACCACCCTCACGCGCACATCGGACCGACCAGCTGGTTTCCAAGCTCTTGACTCAATAAGTGTCCCCACCGCCTGTTTACTGCTTTGAGCGCGTCGACCAGACAGCAGCTTTTTCGAATCGGTGCACGACTGGGCAGGCCCCATCAGCTGTAGTTCCGACTGGATGCCACGAGGAAACGAAGCTCAAAGGACTCAAGTGTCTTGTAATTGCACTATGACAATTGTCCCGACCGTCGTATACAATCTTACTCAATGATGACAGCTCGGGGTTGTCTAGGTCAAGACAGTATCAACCTGAGCCCCCACCACTATTCCCCCCTCCCTTTCTCTCCGCCCTAGCCCCGCTTCACTGAAGATTTGATTAAGTCGGCGACGATCGGACGATCGTCAGTTACGACTGGACGAGCGCCCAGTCTCTGGCCACAGCGAAATATCGGCTGCGATTCTCGGGTGACGGACGCCAGGGGCTCCGAACCGGCACTGGCCGACCAGCTCAACACCGCACAGTTTTATTTGCCGTCATATACCGAAAGGAGAACCACCGAGCGAGAAATTGCTGAAGAGACGGAAGTTTTTTCTACCGCCGCCTCCATTGACGAGCGATAGCCCGGGCTGATTCCGTGGAGAAAGGCCAGCACAGCGTGTCATTCTTGTGAGCCTTCAGCACTCGAGTGCCCGAGCTTCAGCCTCTTCTGCCCTATTGAAACTCAATCATAGTGACAGAAGCACCGCTCGCCCCTCTCACTTGCTGAATATCGCACCACGTCTTGTCTGTTTGCCCGCGAGGATACCAAGCAGAAGCGCCAGGAGCTTGCAAGACAAACGTGCTGCTTCGACATGACTATTCAAATGGACGAACTCCCACAGGCGCCGTCATCCGGCACTAGTCCACGTTCCAGTACTTCCTGGAGCCGCTGCGACCAAGCTGTGGCCCGCGTCGCTCCGATTGCCACGACCACATGTCAGGTTTGCTCCAAGGGTATTGCGCAAGGCGAGTGGCAACTCGGGCTTATGTTCATTCATGTGGAAGGCTACATGCTCATGGAGTGGTACCACTTGCAGTGCTCCAAGTCGCTACATGGCAATGGTCTGTCTGATGTTCTTCAAACTGTGCAGAGCGAGATGACTGAGGCCCAGAAGAAGGTGTTCCAGTTGGCTTGCCAGGAGGCGGCTTCAGCCTCCTAACTAGAGTTGGTGCATGCACCCCAATCCTCCGTCGCTGGGTCGGTCAGAAGACCTACTACTTGCTGACTTGGGTTTCTGGATGTATTAATGTAATGTACCGTCAAGAGTGCCGTAAAGCAAGTAGTCACAGTTGCACACGTTCGCTAGTATTCCAGTAGCACTGTAAAAAGACGCACTGAAGGAGAGGGCACAAGTGATCGAACATGTTTATTTCTACGCAAGGGCAGACAAGTACCAGAAGGAATCATAGCAACGCACAGCATCAGCCCTTAACACGTAACAAACTCAACATCATGATGCGACTAAGATTGCCATGGCCAAATCACGGAAGGCAGTTACAGCTTATGACGAACAAGTGCATCCATCAAGTTGGTGGTACGCAGGTTACAATATTGGAGCAGGCTGTAAGTTCAGGCGCCATTGTCTCCTTGCAGTTTGTGGCGTCATCAAAAAGACGCTTGAAATCGGTACGTTGAGAAGGTGACGTTATAGTTTGCAGGTGCAGTTAGTGTCAGGGCATGATATTGTCGGGTATTTTGCAGGGCTGCATTCTTGGGTCAATAAACGTTCCGAGTGCTAGCACTTGCGCGTCGGTAAGGCGCTTCATTCTATCGCATCATACAGATGAGTCAAGACGGAACTACACCAATCACGCAATCTGCTACTACGCATCGACACGATGTTTTTGCAGGATCCTGGCGGTGTGGGAGATGGCCACCGGCTAATCACCTGCTATGGCCACTGCAATGGATGCATTTGAGTGTACCATCTCTCTTGTCACCGCTACCAATATACTCATCAGCACTGCTGAAGCCACGCAGCAACTTGATGATCGTTCGTTTACGTCCACGCCAAGGACTATCTACATCTTGAGTAGAATACCGTGCACTGCTCAAGGCCTGCAATACAGTCACCCGTCTAACGCCCTCCAAACTCTGCAGAGCACGATGACTGAAGTGCTGAAGAAGGTTTCAATTGGCGCAGCAGCAGGTGCTGTGCAAACCAGTACATAAGATCCTCGCAATCAGCACGTCGCAGGAATGGAACCCAAGTTCGTACTAGACGGATATGTGGAACAAACCACATGACGTTCAAGACGATATCCACTGGTCGTAGCACATCTTCACCATTTAATCCTCCTTGTCCGCAGTTTTTGCCTTCAGCGACCACTTATCACGCTTTATATCCAAGTGCAACGGCGCCCAGTGTAGCTTCTCAGGGACAACGTTTGGACCCTTTCGAGTCAGCTTCATCAGGTACGCGTCGACAACGTGTGTGGGCACCACGTAGGCATACTGCCCGCCTAGATACTTGATCATATTGAGATGCTGCAGCGTGGCAATAATGTCCTCGTTCTTGATCGATGTGATCTGAGTACCGAAACAACCCACAAGTTAGTGTGTGCTACCACAAACAAAGCAATTACGATTCCACCATACCCTCGTTAGATCCATGATCGACACTTCTTTCTCCGGATATTCCCGCAAAATCCCCAGCAACTCACGCGTCCAGTAGCTTCGATAGCTGACAAGACCCAAATCTGAGAGAGGCTTTTCGGGCGAGCCTACTTTCTCTTCCTTCTTACTCAGCTCGTACGAGAACTGAATGATAAAATGGCCATAGCCTTTGCGTTGGTGGCACGGGAATGTCAGGATACAAGCCAGATTGTATCCCAATTCCGAGTACTTCTCCTTGGAGAAATAGCCCACTGGGTGAAAACCACGCGAGTCGACTTCGCAGATAATGTAGAATAGAAATGGGTCCACATCGTAGTACAGCGTTTTGTGGTCCAGAAACAACCTAAATTGATCGTGATGTACCACAAGTTAGATTGCTAGGTCAGACTCACCATATCATGAAGCACTTCGTACTTGGCAAGGTAGCAGAGATTTTGGCAATAGACCTTGGAAATTGCACCATCGACCTCGAAAACACTCAGGTTCTCGTGACGGTAAATCTCGTTTCCTGGCGGGTGCTATACTTGCATTCGATCAATCAGAGATAGTCAAGATAACAAGGTCACATTGAATACGTCAATGCCACACATCGACCATCACTACCAATAACGCCTACTTACGCGGTCGCACACGTGCCGTTCTTGGTGCACTGTCAGCTCGCGCTTGTAGCGGAAAAATGCCATGCAGAACTCGCAAAAATGCAGCTACCCGACCATCGCACAGAGCAAAAAGTAAAAGTAAGGCATATCATTCTCTGGTGGTGGCAGCCAGGATACACTTACGCAATCAATCGATCCGTCAGGGTAATACTCTTTTGGAAAGGGTGAGAAGTACCACGCCGCCATACGAAAGCGCCCCAACTCGACAAACCGCACATTCTATTTTGCACAACGAAACAAACAACACGAATTAAGAACTTCACTCCTAGTGCCCGTAGCAGCAATATCATTTGAGAAGCAATGGTCGTACCTTGACTTTGGTCACCTCTTCGTGCTCTCGAATACTAGCAGCATCCATGCCTTCGTGTTCATCATGCTCTTCTTCCGGCGGGGCAAACTCCGGACCATCTGGTGTCTTCTGCCTCTGTCCTCGAGTACGGGCTGAAGCATCTGCACTAGCAGTAGCGTCACTGGCGCCTGGTGCCTTGCTGCGGTTCTTGTCCCGTTGTTCCTTTTCCTTCTCTTTGGCATCTCGCTCTTGCAGTTTCAACGTCTCTTCGTCCGTACCCCGCCTCACAATCTCATGCTCGTTGATCCACTCGTCCATGCGACGATTGTACTTCCACAAAGAAGAAATAACATTAACACACGTAAGTCCAGCCACAAGATCAGCAATCACTATAACAACAATCATAAAACTACCGACAACAAAAATGGTAACAACAACGACAGATGCAGCTGTTATACTAGTACAAACCACCAGTACTATCATTAACTAACTACTACTACAATGACCAAACTCACACCGTGCCAGTGCACGTAGTACTTGAACCGATCGTGGCTAAGCGTTGCTATTGAATCGAAATAGTAGCAGGGAGACCAGTCAATCCCCAGCGCCGCTTTCCAGTCACATAGATAGCTCTCTCACACCTCGATCGATAACTATGCACATGCGTTCCATCTTGCCCATCCAGCGTGCCACCAGCGTCGTGCCCACGGAGAACCCATGGCTTGCGCTCGCTCGCTCGTCGAGAGGTGTGCCTTCCACCATATTGTAAGGGTGCTATTCACCTGAAAATCCGAGTGTCGTCGATGCTTTCAGTAAGTACTCGGTGCCATGTAAAGTAACAAGCGACAGTGCTCCAGTATCTGTGCAGCGGATTCAGTCAACGGCTCGCTTTAGTATGTATCCATTCCTTTTTGCATGGAACCGTACCCCCTTCGAATCGGATACGATCGTCTCCTCCCAGCTGCGAATTTGTAATCGAACCGTCGCAGCTACTGATACGACATCACTTGGCTCCCCTCACTATACTGACATTCTTCAATTGAGCTCTTCAGGAAAAGCTAACTATGACCGACGACGGACTGGAGCTGATTGACCCCCGAGCGTCAGCCGAGCAGCCGCTGCTGGAGGGACATGAAGGCTACGACGATGATCAAGAAACAAAAAGGAGATGAAGACGCCGTGGTACCGCAGTCGTCTTTTCGTTGTACCAAGTGCTGTGCTGCTGCTTTTGAGCCTCACGTACGTTCTCGTTTCGAGCCAAATTACGCGCGTGGCTACTCAAGCCATTAACGACACGACTATGCACATGGAGACGATGGATTTGAGTGATCCCAATTCGGACTCAGTGAGGCTAAATCTGAGTCTGAGTCTCGTGGCAACGTCCTCGTTCCCTGCAACGATCGACGCTGCGATGTTTGTGATTTCGTACGAGCACGTCGCAGTCGGAGGCTTTCACGCTCCTTCCATGCGTGTCCGTCATGGTGCAAACAGACAGGCTTTTCCAGATGCGATGCTTGAGATTCGGGACAGGAAACCGTGGGATCGCTTTGCAGGGGACATGATGAGACTCGCTCAGGTTGAGTTTGAGATTGAAAGTACACTGGCCATCCACGTGCAATTGCTGGGGTCACTTGTAACTTGGAGTGTTTCGGACGTTCCGTTACGGAAGAAGATGATGTTTAAAGGGATGAATGGACTACAGGACATGCACATTGCTCAGGTGGACATGAAAAACTCGACACAGAAAGAGGTGGTCGCGACGATCAAGACGTGCGTTCGGAATCCGTCGATCGCGACGATCCGACCAGTAGGAGCGTTGTGTCTCAATGCTCATTACCCAGCATTGGGAGAAAGCACGTTGGTTGCGCAGCTGAAGACGCCAGCAGATACGGCATTGTCGGTGGCTGACGGACAGCCGTCGAACTCGTACTGTGCATCGCTGCAGGGGACGAAAGACATGCGCAAGGGATACAATTTGCTGGTATTGTCAGGCGAAATGATGGGTGTGAACTCGGAGGCAATCAGTGGGCTCATTTCCAAGTACTTGAGCAACGTGTCGGCAGCACTTACGGTCGTGACATGTGACCCTCAAGCGACTTCGGTGGAGCTGTACAACCAAGCAATGAAGAACTTGACGATCAAGAGCTCGTTGCCGCCACAGAAAAACCCACTTGTAGGGAACATGTTTTTCCACGGAATTTCCATGCATGCCCCACCGAAAGACAAGGAGAACGATATGATACGGCTTGATACTGTTGTCTTAGTGGAGGCAACCAGTCCATTGGGGCTTCATTCATCATTGACTATCACGGACGTGCGGATGAACGTGAATCTTACTAGCGCGGACGTGACTCTAGGAACACTGTCAACTGTGTCTGTAAATATTATCGATGGGAAGCTAATTGGCCGAAGTAACATTTCAGCCGACTGTCTGACAGAGCTCTATCTTGCCGATAAGGGAAAGGCCTTCGGCAGTTTTGTTCGGGCGTCGATCATCAAGAAGACTGTTTCATTGACCCTTGCTGGAAGTATGGACGTGGTGTGTCAAGGAGCTTTAGGTACAGTGTTCCCACATTTGGCCATGCCGTACGCAATGTTTAGTTAGTGATGAATACGTGTGATCGTTGTGTTTCTTGTAGGTACGCTCAAGCTGATCGGCTTGCCTCTCCACACCACTGCTTTGTTGAGCGGAATGGATAACTTTCAGGATGTGAAAATTGAGAGCTTCAGCCTGCCAGGGACTGGTGCCGCGGCAGATCACGAAGAACCGATCTTGACACAAGTTGAAATCGTCAACCCGTCCGTTTTCACAGTTTTCATCGGTACACTTACGATGGACCTGAGTTTAAGTACACCGCGAGAGAAATTCGGTGTGCTCTACGGGACGATGAATCTGGCCCCCGGGAGGAACCGACTGGAAATGAACGGTCTTTTGAAGCCGAACAAAGATGAAGATGGAAAAATCAGTGATGCCGTGGCCGAATTTTTCTCTACTTACCTGAACGGAAAGAGCTCGCAAGTGGTTGTTGAGATCACAGACACGGAGTATACGAACTGCGTCTGGATGCGAGAGGCGCTGGTGGGATTGACGATTGCAACCAGCTTTTCAGGAGTCGGGAAAGGCTTTCAGATGATCTCTAACATCAAAATGAACCAACTCGATGTCATTCTGGACGAAGTCTTGCCTGGTGAGAGACGACTAGTGACCAATACGCGCATGCGAGTTCGCACAGACATGACAGCGAAGGTGCAAATGCCAGAAGCCGTCAACATTTCATTGCAGATATCCAACACGTCAGTCGCACTTACTCTCCAAAACGAAGAAGGGCATCGCCTCGGGTCGTTGGTATCCGATCGTGAAAGCTGTGAATACAACCAAACAAATGGTGGAGCATTCCGCTTAAACATGAGCAACTATTATTCCATTGGGTTTAGTAGCCTCGATGACGTCAGTGGAATGTCTGGATTCGTTGAAGACTTGCTTACGAAGAATGGTAGCGTCATGATGCGATTGGCGAGTGACGTCGCTTCGACCCAAGGAGCGTTCCCGGATGTCCAGACAAAAATGGGCATGCTCGCACTTCGCAATATCCCTATTCAGGGCGAGCCACTTCTGCCGGCGATGGATTCTTTTCGCCATCCGCCGGTCAAGGTTCTTTCTGTCGACATCCGTCAGGGCTCGAAAGCGTCGATGGTGATGTCGATGGAATTCTCCCTGTACAATCCTTCAATTGTTCGGACAAAGTTAGGCTCACTGATGCTCGACGTTTTTTTCGATCGAGCGCGAATGGGTTCTGCAAGCATCTCAGATTTTAGTCTAAATTGCTGCGGCAAATTGACGATTCTCCGCGGTACTTTTGTATACAATCCACAGCCAAGCGATTCGACGACTGCGGAGAGGTTCCTATCGAACTTTGTTTGCGGTTACTTCACACACGGAGCTGCCCAGGAGGTATCCCTTTTCTAAGCCGTCTCTTACCTTCTATTACTATGTTCTTACGTTATTTGGATGCTGTTTGTACTCGTAGATTGATATCAGGGGGTCATCGGAAAGCACAACGCTGGATTTGCTTCGACCAGCGATGAACGCTCTTTCGATTCCCTCGAAGCTGCCTACTTTGGCCGAGCTGTTCCCGTCGACGCCAACTCTCGTCACATCGTCGTTGTTGTACATTCCGTCGATTTTGCATCTCACACGGATTCCGACATCTCTTGAGCTCCGGAACCCGTTCAGTGAAAACATTACGTTGACAACACTGGACCTGGAGCTGTATCCTTGCGAAGATCAGATTTTGGGTGCGTAAGAACCTCTTGCACACGTGCGTTTCGAGATACTCACAGTTGCTTTGATCGTAGGCAATGACGGCAAAAGGGTGTGCAAGAAGTACTTCGCCGATTCTCTTGCTCGATTCGCTCCTGCAGTATTCAAGCCCATTTTTATCCCTGCAAATACGGACAGCTGCTTCTCCTGCTGTCAAGGCTCACATTGCGCCGATCATGTCACGTTATGTTCACGTGCATCAGCTGGTACGTGTCTGAGCGCTGACGTGCAGAACTTCTTGAGTCCGGAGGCTATTGCGACGATCGTTCACTCGTTAACTGGCGGACTGCTGATGAGAGTTAACGGCACAGTTGGGGCCTCGATTGGTGACTATGCAACGCGTCTGTTTTATCAACAAGATGGTTTGTTTGTCACGATGGCTGAGTAGCTGACGTGATTGTAACGGAGCGGTAAGTGTAGCGTCATGTATCGACCGAAATATGTTGTTTCTACTCCAGTGTTTCGCACATGATCAATCCAGTCTTGATCATTCTGTTGTAGATGGCAATGTGTTGTCTATCTTGTGACGATGTGCTTTCAATAGATCTTGGCAACAGCGTGACGTTGAAGCTATAGCTCAACTCGACGCTGGTTCAAACGCTCTGAGCGGGACGGAAGGTAGGAAGTGTCGCGCAAGCTGGAAAACGTAGCACTGCTGCCAAGTTACGATACAGATGTACCGGTCAATGGGACACCAGATGACAGCTACCACGCGGTGAAGGTCAAGAAGAATTGATCATCAGCTCGGAAGAAAGCGTGGACTGTCGATGTCATGTCGGAGCGTCCAGGAGGGCGGTTATGAAATGCAATACGGCTATCGACCCCCGCTGTGATGTTGGGCGCGGCTGGGTCGAAAGGTGAACCCGCGTCCACGTACAGCTCCCTGGTCACGCGTCCAAAACCACTTTTGGCGAGGACATCAACAACAAAAGGATCAGCGTTGTCACATTGTCTGGTTGGGGTTCATCGATGTATGCTCCATGCTCGGTCGGGAGTTCATGAGTTCTGAACGCAGCTTCGTCCTCTATCCTGGTCACGGTAATGGCGTTGCTTCTTTTCACCAGTGACCAGCGTGCAGCGTGCGTGCACTCTGTCAGACGGTGTGGATTCTCCCAGCTCGAAGGGCTTGGTGCTACGAGTGTGCATTGCATGAGCAATGTCGTGGTTTCGTCTAGCGAAGCAAGGTTCGCAGGACGACCGCACCTTGTTGTAGCCCAAGCGAAAGGAAGGCAGCCATCACGGCGTGAGGCCCCTGCTAGCATCGTTTGCGAGGGTCTCTACGCCTGTGGTCATCCATTCGCTATGTACTGGATCATCGAGATTGACACGCCACTCGTTGGTGAAATCGGGTGTCGTCCATGCATCGTAAACCAGCAAGCACGGTCTGCGCAGCAGTTGCGAGTGCTATTCGATGTCATTCGCAGGCGTCGAAGTTGTTCGTGACAGTACCAGCGGAGCACGAGGGCGGTCAGCAGTTGATCGACAGCTGCATCATGTTGTTACAGTACGCGCATGTTTGTAGGCAGTACGACTGTGAATTCAACGCAAGGTGCCTCGGTGTTGTAGACTCTTGCACTGCTGAGCACACCAAGCGGCCTCTCCCAGTGGTCATGAAAGTGTGTCGCAACCAACTCCGCGCCGTCATTGCCTACGTTTCGTGAGTGTCGGCCATCGACATTTTTCGGGGCCCCACCCAGCGCACACTGACGTCCGAATAGCTTAAGCTGAAGTGTCCGCAGTTGTGGCGTCTCTTCTCTTCATAGTTGCGTTGAGAGTGCAACGGCGAGTAGGCCAGCACTACGAATCCCGTCGGGTAGTACCGTGATCAAAAACGGCGGCGCACCGCTTCAATTCTTGTTGGAATGTCCAACATAGTCAGCATATCCAGATTCGCAGCTGTAAAAGCTGCTGGTCGGCCTTCCAGCTTCAGCAAACCAACAACTCTCTCTGGTGACGACGTCCTGCTAGCTTTCCAAAGATCGAGCTTGGTGGTCGTTAAAATCTCCGCCATTGGCTTCGTTCGATCGGCCTTCAAGTGTCTTGCGCCATGCCGAAAAGCTACGAGTTTGCCCACGTCACCGTCACCTCCGATCAAGGTCCTCATCCGCTTCTTCTTCATGGGCGGATTGACCAGGTAGGCTGCGATATCGTCGTCCAAGACGGTGATTCCCGACTGAGATCACGCGCGATATCCCTCCTTTGCGACGTCACCAAGTTCCAGTATCTCGAACACGTGCTTACGAGATCGGCGACCCCAGGACTGAACTTGCTCCTTCAACTCCGTCTACATACCCGACTCCCGCCACGTCGTTTACTTCGTACGCACCTTACAAACAAGCAAGAAAACGGTGCAGCACATTACTCCTGGTCCTGGACACCGATCGATACCACTGCATAAATCACGTTGTCACCACACGAGCATCAAGCTTCGTATTCGATACGTTAGCTACACGTATCTAGCTTGAAGACACTACGTTTAGGTCGCTGTCAGACGCTGCAGCACTACCTGGTGCGTGCGCGGAGAGAGCAAGTCTTCGCCACGCATAGAGTAGGAGCTGGGGACGACAAACTTACGGGCATCTGGAGCTTGCAGCTCTATGCGGTCGAAGCGGAATGTTGCTGATACCGAAGGGACTAGCGGGAAGCAAAATTGAACGGGGAACAGCCCGTCAGTGTGCGCCTAGGAGAACGAACACGTCAATGGCATTGCGACTACTTGTTAGCATCAAGTGGCCACTTTGCGAACAAGTAGCTTCCGTACCGCCGAGAAAAACGTCTGCACACTCTCGAAAGCACTCGTAGTTCTCGAGAGCACCTCGATCACCGGCAGAAACTCCGATACCTAGACGCACCAAAGCATTAGAATGTCAGCAGTCCGCCTGCGCATTCCGAAAGGTGATCGAGATGAGCACGCGAACTCACGCTGAGCGGGAACTGATCGCTCATGTAGACAGTGGCCGGAAACGACTTGGTGATCTTGCGGCACGAGGGCTGAGCATACGCCAAGACGCAGCGATGTGGACGCAGAGCACGAAGCGAGTCCGGTAAGCTCTCGATTGCCACCCCGAACCAGTCGGTAAACGAAATTTCCTCTTCTTTCGCTCTGCTTCGCGCGTCCCAGCCCCTGCTCTCTGCGAGCCCTTGGTCCTTTTCCCGTGCTTGGTTCATCGCAAAGCGCAGTCGCTTCGACCTGTATTCCGAAACGAGGTGTTACAACCGGCATCACGACCGAACAAAAGGGAAGAATCATACCGGATCACCGAGTGTGAGTTGTCCCATGTCAAGACAGCCGTGCCGGCACTGGAAGCCGTGAATGAACCGATCACTTCGTTCACATGAGCTCGAGTGCGGTGCAGAGGCACTACTTGTTCCCACTTTTCGCCACTCTCTTGTTCACGGAAACGAACGCCAAAGTCGATGTCGCGCTTCCTGGTCGTGAACTTCCACGTCAGCTCTTCTCCCTTCGCCACCTCCACCGAGACAACATGTTTTGAATTCGGATTGACCACCACGTCAGTGTACTGGTCAACCGTTGACCCCGCTTCTGTTAGCAATGAAACGGCATCGCAAGCTGCAGGCTACGGAGAATTCCACAGCACCACCGATGAGTTATGAGATGGACGCGATATCAACTGAAATACACGTACATGCTTGATGGCAATTGTAGGAGGTGGATGCGATGGGTTGTACGGCTTACGGAATCGGAGAGAAGCCTCAACACCGATCATGTCCACTACACGGGTGTCTTTCCAGCAGCCGATATCCTCCAGCATTGGCTCCGATGAAAACCACGCGCACTTCCTCTCGAACGTGACGTTGGACGCATCGAGGTCAGTCGTGACAATCGACGTAGTCATCAAGAAATGCACCATCTGATCCAACTCCGTCTCCGATAACTTCGTGTCAAGGCCGAGCAGATTGGTACACGTTTTGGCCTGATTGTCCAAGCAGATAAACTTCCCCTGAGAGCCCAGGAGCAGGAACGACAAGTCTCCTCGATCCCACTTGCCGTTTTCAAAGCCCACTAACGTGACGTCAAAGCGAACGTCCTGACCTGCCTTCCAGATCTTTACTGTGTCCGATGGCAGCCAGCGTGAGACGCCGGGGATCCAGGTAGAGACATCAACCAGCATCTCACTATAGAAATCGGGGACGTCAGCAAGACGGGGACAAATGCTGTCAATCTTCTGCTGCAGCAGCGCAGGTGCTTGCTCTTTCTCTTCATTTGCAGCCACACAAGTCAATGTATCGTGAGCATCCAAACTCTGTCAGTGCAACAGCGAAGCTTACCTCGACGAGCCAGGACTCGTAGAATCTCTTCGTTCTCGGTCACCACTGCGTGGTGAATGGCCTTCCAGCCCTCGGAATCTCGAGAACGCACACGTGCACCAGCGTCCTAGCCGAAGAAAACACTAATTGTCATTATTTGCACCGGTTAAGGTGCCCACAACTCAGCAACCCGTACCAGCAGAGCCTTCACAATTGCTGCAGCATCTCGATGGGAAAACTTCAATGCCAGATGCAAAGCTCGGTTGCCACGAGCATCTCGCGTCTCGAGGGCTTCTGGACCATCTTCTTTCAAACACTCCTGGATCTGCTCAAGGTTTCCATTCTAGGAGCCAACAGACTAGTTGTGAGCGATGTCGTTGTATATGTTCTAGCACGTAGGTAACTGCAACGTGGACGATGGACTGACTGACTGACCCAGAGAGCGATTTGCAGCGGCGTGGGCATTGCACTGTTCGCATTCAGACATGCCTCTGTCATGTTTGCGACACAACTCTGTAGTGGCGGGGGTGCAGGGTCCACCTGGGACGAGCCACCGTTAGAGAAGGAATGAACAAGTAACGATACTGTCGAAGTTCTCGCGACACACTTCTTGAAGTAAGTAACTACTCGAGTCTCCGCTTCCGATGCCAGTACATTTTTCCGACACAGTCAAGATGCTCAGCTCGAAGAGTAGAGCTGAGAAGAGGACTACAACAATACAAGAGCGCGGTTGTAAAGTGCGAGCGAAGTCTGGATGAGTACTGATTACTCAAAGTGAAGTTGTAAATGCTATACATGCCCACAAGTTTACGACTCTCAGCACTGTTTGCTTCCTTTTGCATCAAGAATTTGCCTTGCTCTACCTTTTTGTATGCTTCGAGAGTTTCAGAAATACCACAACATCGAGTGGAATCGCCTAAATGCGTTTAGATTCCCAGCAAAATCCTTGCTTCGTGAATTCGGGCTCATGGTACCGGCATCGGAATAGCTGTTTCAACCCTCACAGTTCGCAAGGGGATTTGCTCAACCTCTTTGGTTTGGGTTGTCGAAACAGCGTCATGAGCAAGTCCAATTTGAGATACCAGGCTTTGCTTGGCTAACCTGGCATGCATTGACGAAATATGACCTGCTTCTCTCATGGTTCAGAGACCTCCACTGCGTCACGCTTTGTCCTTCTGTCTTGTTGTCAATGCCCTAGAGAAGTCATGATAATGCTGAACCGGCTTGCACGCTCACAATAGTCTATTCGTGAGCAATAACGCGTCTACTTCACCACAATGTTCAGCAGTCCATGAGCACCTTGCTTCTTGGGAGGTACCAAGATCACCTTACGCACGTCTCGACCCTTTACATGGCGTTGCACAGCAGAAGAAGCCAGTGCCAACGCAAACACCGCGTCCGAGTCCTTCGCCTTCAGCAGAGCAAGATCCACGTCAATCGTGTCCCGCACTTTGCCTTGCACCTGCAGCGCTACTTTCACCTGGGCCCGATCCAGCTGCTCCGGATCATGTACTGGCCACGAGCAAGCATGCACATCGGCAGACTCGTCGCCGTCCTCCAGAGTCTGAAACATCTCAGCAGCAGCGTGGGGAGCCAGTGGTGCCAACATCTGCACCAGCGCACGCACAGCCTCTTCGTAAGCTGCCGAGCCCTCAAGCTGTGAACGACAATTGCCAAGTAAGTTGGAAAGCTTCATCAGCTCTGCGATAGCAACGTTAAACGACTGAAACTCATTCAACGCCTCCGTGACACGCTTGATCGTTCCGTGCAGCTCGTAGCGCAGCTTCTTCTCCTCGTCTCCATCTACATCATTCGTAGCATTGACACTGCGACAGACTAGCGCGCCATCTACGAGTGACCAAATACGTGCCATCCAGCGCGATTGACCTGCGAGGTCCGCTTCATCCCACTCCAGCTCATGAGCAGGTGGTGCCTTAAACAACACAGCAAGGCGCGTGACATCGGCACCGTAACGTGCCCGGATCTGCTCTGGATCGACACCGTTGTGCTTGGATTTGGACATCTTCTCCCACAGAGTCACTGCAGGAAGCCCAGTCTTCTTCTCCACGACGACCATATGACCATCAACTGCTACTTCTTCATATTCACCCGGTGCTAAGGGACGAAGTGAACCTGGCGACTTGTGCGTCCGTCCCAGCACCATACCTTGAGCCAACAGCTGAGCGAAAGGCTCATCGGTGGCTAAAAACCCTTGATCAAACATGAATTTGGTCACAAAACGCGAGTAGAGCAGATGCAATATCGCATGCTCAATGCCACCGATATAGAGATCCACACCGCTGTGCTTCATCCAGGTTTGTGCTTTCGCGGGTTCAAAGGCAGTGGCATCATTGCCGGCGTCACAATAGCGCATGTAGTACCATGAGCTGTCGACAAACGTATCGAGGGTGTCGGTGTCGCGCCGAGCATCGCCGCCGCAGCGTGGACACTTGCAGTCTTGCCAACCAGGAATACGCGCGAGAGGTGAGCCGCTACTATGCTTGCCACGCAGGTCGCCAGCCACATCTTCCCCGACAGGCGGCAGAACAACTGGTAGCTGCTCTGTTGGAACCCCGACCGGTCCACACGAGGGACAATGAATGATCGGCACAGGTGTACCCCAGTAGCGCTGGCGAGAAACCAACCAGTCACGCAAGCGGAATTGGGTAGTGACACCGCCAACACCCTGCTCGCGAAGACGAGCGTTAATGGCCGTCGTTGCTTCCTGTGATGTCATACCGGAGAACTCAGCGCAGTCGTGCAGCACACCATACTGTGTAAACACTTCGTCTCCATTCCGTACAGTGCCATCGGTGTTTCCAACCACAGGGCGCACTTCTAAATCATAGTGACGAGCAAAAGCCAGATCTCGGCTATCATGTGCTGGTACGCCCATGACCACGCCGGTACCGTAATGCGGTAATACGTACTCGGCCAAGTAAATGGGCACATGACGCTTCGTAAGCGGATGACAGGCATACAGTCCTGTAAACACTCCTGCTGTTGTATCACCATTGCCTCGATCAGTTTTACTCATTGCACGTACTTTCATAACGTAGGCATTGACGGCTGCCTGCTGCGCTGCCGGAACGTGTGGGAGAAGAGTATCTACTTCAACACAATCAGGAGCCATTGAAAGAAAGCTCACACCAAAGATCGTGTCAACTCGCGTCGTAAACACCGTCAAGCGCATTGGCGTGGCAGCAGCGACCGCCACCGCTCCTTTATTCAGCGCGACCTGGAACTCTGCCGTTGAACCCTGCGAGCGTCCAATCCATGCTGCTTGCATGCGCTTCACCGAGTCCGGCCACTTGTGTAACTATGCACGCCGTCCGACAGTCTTAACACCACGTCCACAAGTCTTCTGTCAATGCAGTGCGATCCATCGTACCTTGTCGAGGTCCTCCAGCAGTCGGTCGCCATACTCGGTAATGCGCAGGAACCACTGGTTCAACGAGCGCTGCTCGACAATCGCACCCGAGCGCCACGACCTGCCTTCGGCGTCCACCTGTTCATTTGCCAGCACAGTCTGATCCTCTGGATCCCAGTTCACAAGCGCCTCTTTACGGTACGCCAGCCCTTTGTCAAACATTTGCAGAAAGAGCCACTGCGTCCACTTGTAGTAGTCGGGCGCACACGTCGTGACCTCACGGTCCCAGTCAAACGACATGCCAAGCGCCTTGAGCTGCTGCTTCCCCTGTGCAATGTTCGCGACTGTCCAGTCTGCAGGCGACACACCGCGTTCAATCGCCGCGTTCTCAGCGGGCAGTCCAAACGCGTCCCAGCCCATTGGGTGCAGCACGTCGTGGCCCTGCATTCGCTTCAGTCTCGCCATACAGTCACTGATCGTGTACACGCGCACGTGGCCGATATGGAGCTGACCAGATGGGTACGGGAACATGGCGAGGCAATAGTAGGGCTTCTTCGTCGTCTCCATCTCCTGCTTTTCCTTCTCATCCACTGATTTTTCGCACACCTGCAGCTTGTTCTGTGCCCATTGCTTCTGCCACTTGGCTTCAATGGGCGCCCACGCGCGTGGCGGCGCTGCGGCTGACGCCGTCGCGAAGCTGCTGCGCCGCACGCGCCAGCGGAACATGACACAAACTCGTGGCTCGCAGCGAATCCTGTCGAAATCGATAAGCAGGTTGGTCGGGTGTACCCACTAGAAAGTTCAAGAGCATCGTGTTCTTTTTCTGTGACAAAGATATTTGTGCTTTTTAATTCGTACAGAAACGGTCGTGGGAGAGAGAGCGGCTAGGTGTCACGAGAGCAAATGGTCGGCGCTACGGCTGGAGGAATCTCGACGTTTAACATCCAGCATGGGTATGTGGAGGCGCTTGTGCGTGGCTTTCGCTTGGGCTTCTTAGATGACGTGGACTACCATCATCTTACGCAGTGCGAGAGCCTCGAAGGTGCAATGCGAGAGCAGCGGCTGCTGGACTCTTTTGTATTTGCTTTTTATATCTAGTGCTTTATTTGGCAACGACGTTTTTGATGTGGTGGTTTTGCATGTACGCGTGATTGCTTTGTAGATGTAAAGCTGAACTTGCAGGAGACAGACTATGACCAGTTCCTAGCAGACGAGGCACGCGTGTCCACGTCTTGCTTGCTCTTGTAATTGGAGCTACCTGCCACTTGCTTACGATGGCTATCACCTGTTGCCTACCATAGACATTGGGGACTATCTCGCCCAGTTTGATCCAGGGCGGCACGACCAACAAACTTGTGGACGAGTTCAACTTTCTACGTGCACAGGCGATGGAGCCGCTGGGCAAGTTCCTCGACTTTATCACGTGCGTTGCTCATGTGCTCGCTGATAGCTTGGCTGAGTGGGTTGGATGGGGTGTAGACCTAATGGTTCATGACGTGATGGTATATTCTCTTTTGGTTCCGTCTTGTGTGCGATGTCAATGCAATAGGTACGAATACATGATTGACAACGTGATCCTCCTACTCAAAGGTACTCTCAACGGTCGCGACGTGAACGAACTCATTGGACAGGTGAGGCGGATTGGATGTGGCATACAGAAAGCAACTTCTTTTTGTCGTCTGTTGCGGCTAATATCGGCGACACCCGTTACGTTTCTGCTACCTGTCAGCTCCACCCACTTGGGAAGTTTGACGAGTCCATCATGCGCAGCATGTGCTCGTTCGAGCCGAACGCCAAGGGCTACTCGGACTTGTACGAGACCGTATTGATCGATACCCCCATCGGTACACGGTCGTGAGCATGTGCGTATCGTTGTGTTCTGACTAACGACGGCACTGCTGTCTATCTGCAGGATCATACTTTAGCCAGTTCCTGGAAGAAAGTGCCGGTGGCGACCGCATGGACGGCACGTCGGACGTGCGCAACGTCCTGGAGGAGGTGCAGATGGAACTTATCAAGAATAGCATGCTGAAGTTGTGGCTTGAAGATTATTACAATTTCTGCCAGGTACGCTACCTATTGGATACGTCTTTCGGCGGTAGTACGCTCCGTGTGCAGTTCTCACCGATCGAACGACGCCACTTCGTTTGTATTGCAGGAGATTGGTGGTGACACGGCTGTCATCATGGGCGAGATTCTCAAAGCTCGTGCCGACCGCATCGCCATCAATATCACGCTGAACTCATTCGGCACGCCGTTGAACGAGGTGCGTCGTCCACGTTGCTTCTTTTGCTGCCAGAAGTAGGGAAAATCGACTGATTACGGATTGTCGTATATGCCACACCGTGCTGTAGCCTGCGATGCGAATTTCAGACCGCAAGCCGCTGTATCCATCCATCGGCACGCTCTATCCGGACACGACGGCAGTGTTAGCAGAAGCTGGCGATGAATCTGCGCTTGGCTCGGCACTGGACTCGTTTCCAGTGTACCGCAAGATCTGGGAGGTGCATCAGGGCGAAGGCGTCGATAGCAAGTCGATCGACGACGCGTTCTACGAGCGTGACGTCCAGATGGCTGAACTCGCGTTCCAGAGCCAAATGCACTTTGGTACGGATATGTGATTGATCACGTTTGTTGCGTCTGCGTGAAGCTGACCAGTCTTATGCATGGCTCGTGTCTCTGCAGCCTGCTTCTATGCGTACATCAAGCTGAAAGAGCAGGAGGTGCGCAATCTGGTGTGGATCTCCGAGTGCATCGTACAGAACCAGCGCGACGCCATCAACAACTTTATCCCGATTTTCAGCGACACTGCGCCGTGGCGTGGCAAAGGCTCGAGCAAGCATTAAGCAGCAAACGGACAAGGCGTTTGCACCCGTGAACCCATACTGCGGCAGTGGTAGTTACCCATTGCGCTTTTACCACCCGCTCCTTTCCACTGCGTTTCCAGCCACTTACCAGCGCGAGGTCAAACAAAACAGCTTTTTTTATCGTAAATCCCTCAAAATGACCTAAACACGAGTGTCCATGTAATCAGTCGGTTCATTTCTAATCAGTCGCTTCATTTCTAATCATTCGGCTTGAAGCGACTGCAGCTTGTTATCATGGTACAGAGAGCTTCTTCCTGCACGCGATTGGTTACACGCCGCCGCCCTATTCACCGCCACGCTGTGCTCTCACGTCCCGATTGTTTTTAACCCTGTTACTGTGTTCCAGAAGCGTCTGGCTGCTCTATTGCCACTGCATATAGCGAGACGGTCGTTCTCCACTTCGCCGATCTTCAATCGAGGTAAGTCGGAGTACGAACAAGAGCTTCTCGACCAGCACTAGGACAACGAGACTGAAAGTTGCGCTTGCACGGTGCTATTTGTTGTTGGCTGCGACATGTGACAGCGGTCAAGAGGCAGCAACGTAACAACACTGCGCTCTTGGAGAACAGCGACGAGTACGAGTACCTCAAGGACGAGGTCGCACGTCGCCTGCTTGACCGACTGGAGGTGCGCTACTTGTGCGCCACTGCTGGACTCCTTTGTGTGGTGTGGACCGAGAGACTGAATGCGGATTGTGGCAATCGCTTGCTTTCTTGTGACGGATGGTGGTCGCTGCTTGGACCAGGACATTGAGCGCGATTTCCCGTTGGCGCTGGACCTGGGCTGTGGCAGTGGCCATTTGTACAAGCACTTGAGCGTCGATGACAAGCTGGGAGGAATCGAGAAGCTGGTGCAATGTGATGTGGCTGGTACGAGAGTGTCTTGAGCGCCATTGGTGGTGGAAGCTGGCGTCTGAAGTCGTTTTGTTGGTTCACGGGATGCAGAGAGATTACTCCTTCGTGACGACCTAGAGACCAGCACTTCTCGTACGATCGCGTCCATTCAGCGACAAGTACTGAGGATGCTGCTAACGAGACTCGTGGGTTTGCTTGCTGTGAATGCCGCTTTTGATGCAGTGAGTACGACACGCCTAGTGGCGGACGAGGAGTTCCTGCCGTTCCCAGTTCATCACTTCGACTTGGTGATGAGCTCACTAAGTTTGCACTGGGTGAACGACCTCGAAAGCACATTTCGCCAAGTGCTGGACACGCTTAAACCTGACGGTGCTTTTATCGGTGCCGTGCTGGGGGGAGACTCGCTGCAAGAGCTGCGGTATACTGAAGTTGACCAATGCTGCGCGTAAAAGACACTTGCGCTCGCACTCACACCTTGCATCATCCGTGCATGTACAGGAGTGCCTTCATTCTCGGGGACCAAGAGCGTCAGGGTGGTGTCTCGCCCCACATTTCTCCGTTCATGCACGTTGCAAATGCTGGCAACCTCTTGTCAGCTACAGGTTTCAACTTGTGCACAGGTAAGGGTTCCCGACCACGCCAACTGCAACGACTATTGGCTTTAACTTGGTTGCTGTATCGCTCACAGTGGACACGGACTACATTCAAGTGGATTACCCGAACGCCTTTGTGCTGATGGAGCATTTGCGAGGTATGGGCGAGAACCACGCCGTGACCTCACGAGGATCTCCAGCGACGCGCGACTCGCTGCTCGCCGCTGCTTCCATCTACCAGTCCATGTTCGGCCAGCCGGATGGCACGGTGCCCGCCACGTTCCAGGTCATTTATCTCATCGGGTGGTCGCCCCACGCATCGCAACAGAAACCTCTGCGTCGTGGATCGGCGCAACATTCATTGAAGGAACTTGGCCAAGAAAGCTAGAGCGTTATCCGGTCGTCATCCAGGAACGAATTTGAGCTTCGCTGCCACCAGCTACCAGATAGACGATCAACGCCGAGCCTGAAGCTGCACCGAGTGTTGAGCAGCTTTTTGTCGACGATACAAGCAAGTGCTGGAACGATCATTGAACGGATAATTAGACCGCTCATTTTTTTTCCTTAAAGAAGTCCACATCATTGTTAACTAGTTGACTATGTTGAACGAAGTAGTTGTCAAAGGCCGTAGAAATATACTGCAGCGATGACCCTGACATGGATCAGCAGGTTCCATAACGTAAACAGAATAAAGTAGTCGAGCTTCTATCTGGAACGTTCCTAAATCTAAAACAATTTGAGTTGAGACTATTTGCTGTAACCATGAACAGCAGACAGCAGGCACCATGCTGTGACATAACCACTTCTTAATCGACAGCCAGCTGCAGCAATGGACAGAGACGAGACCCTCCGGGGAGCCAGGAGACTAACTGGCCCCCTTGTCTTGGGCGTCAGGAAGTCTCCCATAGTGGGGACAAGGTAAAAAGGGGCGAGGGGTTCTCCTCACTGCGTGCGCTACAAGAGGCAGCGCAGCGTGCGGACACGTCGAAAATGGATCGAATCACCCTGCAAAACATAGAAGTTCCCACTCTTTGCGGTCTGCCTACAACTCGCTGACACGTCCGCTGAGCATGAGCTCGGCCCCACGTCGACTACGAGGTGATGGCCAGGGATTACGTCAAGATGGCTCACTGGGACTACCGCAGTGGCAACAGGACATCTAGTCAAGCGTCTTTTGTCCCCTGAATCCAATGCTTCGAGTGCGAGAGCAGCTTCGCCATCCGGTAGAGTGCACCCAAGAATCTAACCCCGGACTTGGTCAACGAACGGGTCCCACGGGCCCTTTTGGGAGTGCCCCGCCGCGAGAAAGCTACGGGTAGGAAGACCGGGTCGTGGTAGATGATGATGACACGAGGTCGTTCGTTACCACACCACCAAACATCTTAATCGTGAGAAGTAGCTGTAAGAGACCGTCGGAGCCTCTCTCTATTGATGGTGCATAACTTGGCCCTTTTTCATCGTACAACCTTTCGTCGTACAACAATCACTCCTCCCCGCCACCACAACAATCAGAAATCACCCCACCCACGAGCAACCAGCCCACGCTTCAGTTGATAAGCACCTGACCGGGACGGCCACATCACCATGGCGGACCCGGCGTGGGGTGCAGCCTCCTCCTCCTCCTCCTCGTTCTCGTCCTCCTCGTTCTCGTCCTCCTCGTCCTCCTTGCGACCGCTGGACGAACCCACAGCCCAACCGCTGTACCCGCTCCGCTCCAATGAGCCGCTTTCCCAGCTACTCCAGCGCCATCAACCGCTGCTGTGCCAGGACCAACCGCAGCCGCAACAGCAGCAAAGTGCGTCTCTGTACCAGCCGCTGCCTGCTGAGCCGCTGCACGTGATGCCGCCGTTTGGACCGGCAGTTTTTTGGGCTTCAACTGACCTCTCTCGGTATGGAGGACATCCGTCGAGTGACATGTCCCACGTGACGTCGTCTAGGTGCACCCGACGTGAAGAGATACCGCCGAGATCAATGGACACGAACGCGCGCTCTTTGGTGGATAACAGCGAGTGGGTCTTACAGCAGGAGAACAGGCTCCACGTCCAATCGGAGCAGCAGGTGCAGCGGTCGATGCAGGAACAGACTTGGAGACAAGCGGATGGACCACCAGTACAGCCGTCGTGGTACTCTTTGGGAGCTGATGGGTTCAATGCTATTCAATCGTCCGGCAGTGATGCACGCTGTTGCGACGGAGTTTCGTGGCGTGTTCAGGCTGGTGGACGTGAGCACACTGCGCTGCACCGCGATGCGTGGAACTCTGCACCGTTTTGCAATCGCCGAGACGGAAGCAGTGGACAATCGATGAGTGGGACAGGAACTGCGCTCACTGTCGCGCACTTGTGTATGTTGCAATTTGGAGCAAGTGTACAAGGACAAGAGGCTGTGGATACAGTAGACGGAATACGTGTGCAACAACAGATTGCGCAGGCAATGCAAGCGTCCATGCATCATCAAAATTGTCGCCTGTGTGCTATGAGTATCGCGCTTTATCAATGGGCACGAAGCAGTCCAATGTTGTCCGCTGGCGTTGAGACGGACAGAGTAGACAGTTTGCGGTTGCAGGAAACCGAGCCGTTGATCCAGCAGAAGTCCCCGCAAAGAGAATCGTGTTACCGATCTGATAGCTGTCAACCCAGTTGTAGCGAAGAAAATAGTACGTCGACGCAAGCAGGCAGGTCAAGCCACGATGATACTTTCTTGAACAGCGACGCGAGGCATTTTTCCACGAACACAGCACCTGCTGCTGCTGACATACCTGCTGGCTCAGATGCCACACGTGTCGCAGCCCTTGTGAATACAACCACCTGTACCACGAGTCCGGCTCATGATGTTTCTGTTGCCTCTGATGCCACACACGACAACACGCTAGTGAATGCAACCACGTGTACCACAAGCCCGGCCCCTGATGTTTGTGCTAGTCCTGATGCTACTCAAGCTAAAGCTCGTGCGAATACGAGCGCATGCATCACGATCCCGACTGAAGATCGAATAGAGAAGGAGGTAGATCTGGAGACACAGGGACCAAATGATGCACAGTCGAGATCACCTATTCGGCCCTCTCGAGCTGCTGTAGTCCCTGGGGTATCGCTGGCATCACACGCAGCGCGTCTTCTGACTATGCAAGATATACTGAATGGTGAGGATGGTTCTAGCAAGGCGAGTGCTCCAAGACTTCAACTTCTAGATGGCAAGCAAAAGCGGGTGTCGTACAAGCGCAAGATGCCAACGACAAGCACCCCGACAAAACGGCAAAAAACGTCTGACCGACAGAGTGAAGATGACTTCCAGCAACCACCCGCAAATAAGCCTACAGGGGCTCTCCTGCAGCCCCGGGGCGTGTCAGCCTCGGCAATCGCACAGACTGTCAAGCCATGTACTCCCATGTATTTAGCTTTTATGGAGTCCCGAGCTGCTCGAGCATCGAAACAGGTCACTGGCACAAAGCCTTCCGTCGCAGGTATCTCAAGTCTGCGTTCACAATTGAATCTACCCGTTCGTGGTGTAAAGTCGTCGGCAAACAGTGCGAAGCGAAGAAGCGGGCGGCCAAATTTTGTCAATACGGAGACAGTAAATGTGGAGACTGGCATGTGGAAGCCTTTGAAGACGTCGGAGTCAGATCAGCGGACTAAGAGACTACGTCTTGATACAACGAGGTCAGAAGAGGCTTTGTATCGTAGGCAAGTCTCCGACATGCGTGTGAGTGTCTCTGACACCAGCCGAAGATCTGAGGAGCAGTGTACGATTATTAAAGCTGAACCACGTGAGAACGGTGTGCTTGACGGATCGATTGATGAAGTTTACAGGCAACGTCAGTGGCGACAGTCGCCTCCCGAATATTTGGTGCATGATTCGAATGTGGTAAGCAGCATTCGGTCCTCGATCAAGACGGAAATGATCGGAACTGGGAAGGATATCTTAGTGACGAAGAGGAGAAGAGCTAGGTTGCCTTGTGCAAGACCAGCACGACCTGCACTTATTGGTCGGCAACAGCAAGCGCAGAGAAGGCTACCGTCGAATGAAGAACGTCATTCGACATGTGAATCAAGTCTAGCGTATGCAATCGGTTCAGTCGCGGTGTCGCATGGACCTGCTGTGAATCGAACGGTGGTGATATTTTGCAAGCGCGATTTCATGCGCTACCAGGCAGCTAAGATTTGGCGGAAGTATCAAGAACAGCTAACGAAACAAGAAGAGTGGCAGGAAGTCCGCGTAGCCGGTAAGCGCACTCGGTATCTCAAATTTCGCTACGATGATGAAATACAAAGGAAGTATCGAAGAACGTACACCCGGTCTGGCAAAGCGCGACGAAAACCGTTTCCGAAGACAGGGAAGACTTGTAGTCTTCAGGTTACAATCCCCATTCATCAGACAACAAGTATGGCAGGGCCGATGATATCGTCCTCTGTACCAAGCGACAAAGGGGTCGATGAGAGGGGAGATCTAGCGCAGGAATCATCCTGCACAACCTCTGAGTTGTCACTGAATATCAGTGATGACTGTATGTTGAGTGGAAAGTGCAATGTAGCTAAAGGTGATGAACGTTTCCTGACTCGAGATGTATCACAGTCACGTGATATGGAGCTGTCAGGAACCCAAGGCGACAGTAACAGTGCGATGGATTCAAGTGTTAGCATGGAGCCAAGCGATGTCATCTCGGGTACATTTGCCGCGGTGGGGGCGCTCGTAGTGGTCGACAGTGCCGTGTCGGAAGATGGTCCCGAGATGACTGCAGACGCTGGCAGTGTATCCGATACTGCTGTTTCTGACGCATTGTCGAGTGGCACTTTTAAGGTTACCGTCTCAGTTCCCAACGCACCTCTTCATAGCTCTGTCTCGTCCGTCGCGGATGTGTCACGCAGTGGCAACCTCGAGGATATGACTGCAATAGCCGACAGGAGTATCGATACTCCAAGGCCTGACAATGCATTCAACGAGACCGCCGTCCCCTTCATCACTGGCACTTGTAAAACCGAGGTTACATGCTTGGAATGTGCTGGCAAAAGTGGTGTCGTTGTTGTAGCTGATGAATCAGGAGTGGTCGTGGGGTCACCTGCGCTGGACCCAACAGCGCCATCACCGGTTTAGGGCTCGTCGATGCCACTATGACGGCTTTCAAGGGCACTATGGGTACTGGGACGGAGTCTGGAATATCTCTAGGGTATGAGTACCTCCTCTATGAGGGAGAAAATTTTTTCAAACATTGACGTGAGATATCTCGCCTGCACCAGCTTACAGTATGGTCGTCACCGAGGACAAGGCACCTTGCACAAACCATCTCTGGGCAAGTCACTGCTTCGCCATATCAAGTGTCAAGTAATGGCCGTGGTGTTGTACGCACTGAGACAAGATCAAAGTGAACCGTATTGTGGTATTCAAGGAAAACGCATTCTCGACAAGCTAGTGCTCTTGTAGACGGGATATACTCGTGCGGTGCTTCTGGTGAGACCATTCGCACTTGCTCGGATTCAGCAACGAGGATAGTTGGAAGTGGTGCTGTACCGGGAACCAAACGACTTGCGACTTTGACTGACACATGCAAGCTAGCTACAAACCGCATCTGGCGACGCCGCAATAGCGGTGGCCCCTACTGAGATGGCAAGAGGGTGTGCGTTGATGACCGGCGAGGTGGTAAATGATCAGGCAATACGGTCATGTTGAGTTATGCCCCTTCAACATGCACTGCAATACCAGCCATGCCGTCATTTTATTCTCGAGCGAAACGTGGCAGCCACTGCTTGGATCCTGCTCCCAATTGGTGTTTAGTTTGGTCGTCTCAGGGGGGTCGCTACCAAACTGTATCGACATTCCCCCCAATATCTACGTATGCGTCGTTCCGTTAAGGCGGGGCGGGACAAGGCAGGACGAGCTGTCTTTTTGTACAAAGTAAACACTTGTGCCCGTTTGCTTGTAGTGATTGAACTACTTTGTACCGTCACAATCGTGCGCAAAACTGCTTCAGCACCACCTTGTGGGTTCATACACAGTGTGGGAATGCACTTGTCGCTAGAATCGAGCGAAGGAGACGATGCCACCGATGAATTCCGTTTTCCAATCTGCTCTTCCGATATTATGACGAGGTGAACCTTCCGCTGGAGACAGGAAAAACACTACACATGAGCTACGAAGTGTTGCGTGAACCTCGCATTCAAAACATCGTTATATCAGTTGTCGGTACACAACCGCAACAAGAGCTCACATGACCGCTTGAGATATCCTTTGCGTCGTGTGGCTTTCATCACAGAAGGAACAATCCACGCGACAGCATCCTGTCCCCGCATGCAGCAGCCTAAAATCGCTTTGGGGTTGTAAAGTCCTTCGTCCACTGGGTCATGTTGATAGGATGCGACTCCTTTGATGCCGAGCTGTCTTCTTGCCACACCTTGATGGTCTTATCCGCCTCGCACGTGATGAACCGCCTAAACGATAGCAAACAAGTCAGCCCTACGTCGTCAAGTACATACACCGTCGGATGCTAGCACGTACAGGCCTGTCTTGTCAAAAGTCGATGCGAAAATGCCTGTCTCGCTGTCCAAAGAGCCAGGCTGCGCTATGGTTGACTCGGTCTGGAAGCAGTAGCCTGTCTGGTAATCCCAAAAGCGCATGGACCCGTTGTCTCCACATGAAGCCATCACGCCGTCCTGGTTGATCGAAATCGAGTTGATGATAGCATTGTGCGCCGAGAAATTGCGCAGAAAGCAGCCTTCCTTTGCCTCCCACTTTTTCATGTTATCGGCCGCACCCGACATGAAGGTGTGATCCTGAAGTCAATCGAAAGGTGAGATAGCTTCCACTATGGCAAGAGACGCGATATCCCACAAAGTCAGAGAAGCATACCGTTGGAGACTTTGTCACGGCGCGAACAGCCTTCTTGTGGTTCGTCAGCGTTGTCATCACTTTTCCGGCGGCAAGATCCCATAGCTATAGCAAGCATACGCAACCCAAAACGAATCGTGAAGCAGAGCGAAAGACATACGACGCGTCATCAAGCACGGTAGCATACTTTGACCGTGCTATCGCTGGAGCCGGTAATGATCTGCGGATCCGTCGTTTGTGTCTCCAAGCCCCACACCGTGCCCTGGTGACCCGCAAGCGTGTGAATCTGATTCTTCGATCGCATGTCCCAGACCTACCGTATACACAAGTCAGAAAAGGATCCATTACTCTTTTGCTTACATAGTTCTGCAGGAGCGTGGCAGGTACTCACTCGGGCAACGGCATCGCGACCGCCCGTGACAAGGACATCAAGCGTTGGATGCAGTTTCAGCGAAAACACGCCCGACAGGTGGCCATGGTAGCTTCGAATGTTCTTGTTGTACTCGAGGTCCCAGCACAGCACCTTCTTGTCTTCTCCTGCCGAAAAAAGATATGGGTGGCGCGAGCTCACTTCCAACCCGCGAATGGCATTGATGTGCCCAGTGAGCGTGAGTTTCAACTGCCCTGATGCCAAGTCCCAGACCTTGATCGTCCGATCCGCAGAGCCCGTAACGAACCAATCGTTGGTAGGATCGACGGAAATCGAGCGCACCCATCCGAGGTGGCCAGCAATCACACGCTTGAGCTTCCACGGCGCGTGCCACTTTGGTTTTGGTACCTCGGTTGCACGTCTACGAATCGTGCCTAACTGAGTCGACGTCTCTGTTTGGTTCTTATACGCCACAACAGCCTTCGACGCATCTCCGTTACTAGTTGCTGCTGCCGCACTAACAGACCGCACCCAGCACAAGAAAAAACAATACAACGTACAAGTCACGACACACGCTACCGAAAGTAATCGCAAGTACACTGCACTGCTTGACGTACAGCTTCCGTTTTGCAAGTGCCAGCTCCCTTTCAACTTCTTTTGCCACTTGGTCCACAAATGACGACTTTTCTTCGACAGCTTTGGCCGTATCTTCTTCACCTGCCATAGAGATCCCAGGTCCAGAGGGTACTGGATGTCCACCAATGACCACATCTGCCGGTGGCAAAGCAGGACCAGGGACGGCACATCCAGTCGTCTCAAAAAAAGTGTCAATAGCTCCAGCTGAGCCTTCCGACTCCCGTAACGCTCCAGGGATCTCCAGTAAGTACGAATCATGCAACTTTGTCCGCACGCGCACTCGTTTGCTATTGAATAACCAAGTCAAGTGTAAAACAATGACAACATAAGACAGCATAGCGTCGTGCATGAACGATTCCGTCTTCGGTACCTCGGGGCAAAGTCGGAAACCACAGCGTCTCTGCGCTTGGTCAGCGCAAACATCTCCTCAGTCCGAAGCACGGACGTCTCGATCTGCTGCTGCTGCTGCACGTCAAGTGTCGTCGCCATGGCGTCAGGTCTTGGCGTCGGTATGTTCATCACTTTTTCAGCTTTAGTTTGTACCGAAGCAGATGTTATGCCGATAAGTACGTGGTTAGGCGGTCATTTGTGCTTTGTAGGATGTTCAAACGTGCTTTTTCAGGATGATCGTGTGGGGGATGATGGATACGATATGCTGTATATCTAGGCTTCTCTAAAAAGTCGTGCTGTGAGTATGTTTGCGCTCATTTTTAAATGAGCTCGTCGCGATTTAGAAACAAGCTGCAGACGATCGGGCTGAGGCACATGCGTGTCACGCATTGACTTAAAAAGCGTTAAATACGATGACTTTTTGTAGACCAAATTCGTGACATACTAGCACGACTTTTGTGTGTGACCGACTACAGCACTCGTCGCTGTCAACTCAGGCGCTACAATATTTAAACCTCATTCCGTGTTACAGCGCGTACGGTGTCGACAAGGATCAACAGTACAAACCTATGATCGATAATTATCCTCTGCATGCGAACCGCGACTAGCGCTGGATGGTACCGCTTCTGCCTCTCATCGCGTTGATCTGCCAATGTTGTGGTCGTCCAAAGAAGCCTGGACATCATAACGCATCGGAAAAGAGCTCGTCTGCAAACGAGTTGTCCGTCGTTTCCGCCTCGTCGTCTTTGGCCCAGATGAGGTCAGACAACAAGTTGCTCAACTTCTTGTACGCTTCTTGGAACTTGAGGCACTCGCCGTTTGCACGCCGGAATTCCACCATATGTTGTCCAGCAGCCTACATCACAACGAGTTGACCATAACATACGTCAGCGTACGCCCATCACCATAAAGTCACCGGCTGCTAAACACAGGCACAGCAAGCAAGCACCAGGGACGAGACGACCGCAACAGTCTTGTGCTGCTGCTACGACAACCCTTTCACTCGCCCGCAACAATGACGCGTTCAAACTGCCAGCGACTGTCGTTGCAGAAAATCCTTACATTATCGAGAGAGAAGATGCGCACCGCGAAGCCCACGTCGCCTGCGTCTGTAGGCATCGTGACCTTAGTTTTGAACCGGTCTTTGTGTACCACAAATCGTGCCGACTGCTCTCGCAACGCATTTTCCACCCGCATCTGCAGCTCGGTTGCTGTTCGACTCGAACGGAAACTTGTGTAAAGCGCTACACTGGAGGCTGGATAGGATGGTGCTTTCCGTGTACCCTCCCCTAGACTCATAAATATTGTAGCAGTCGGAAGTATCATCGATCGCTCAACGTTTACGTCAAAAGGATCAAACTTTTCGTCTTGCTGCTGCAGCCGTTTCGTTGCAGCAGCACGCATCTTCTCCTCGCGCTCTTTGTGCTTTTCCTTCTCTACCTGCCGTTTGCGGCTCAGCAGCTCCGTACGTAGATCCTCTGGTGCAACAACCCTTTCCTTGAACCAAGCATGAGCCTTAATCTCCGCTATAGTAATGCGTTCTTGTGGGTTCACGTTAAATATCCGCGTCATAAGCGACATCGCACCAGGCGAAAACGTGCCTGATCGAGCATGTGCCGCCCAAAAGGCGTCGTACTGCTTGGTCGCGCACGCTCGAAACCACCAGTCCTGTTCGGTCGCAATTTGGAAGGGCGGAAAACCGGCCAGCATAATAAATAGCACGACTCCAGCTGCCCACACGTCAACCGGTTCTCCTTCGTACGACAAACACGCCAGCACTTCCGGACTCATGTATCCTCTAGTGCCACACTGCGTGTACAGCTCCACCACAGCTCCATCTGCCCTTTCTTTGAGTCCTGAAAGTCCAAAATCTGCAATTTTTAGCACAAAGCTGGCATCCAGTAGCAGGTTCTCGGGCTTAATGTCCCGATGGTACACCCCTTGAGCATGACAAGCCTCCAGTCCAGCTATGAGCTGCTGAAAGTAGGCCCGTGCGATGCTCTCAGAGAAGCAGCCCGTGTACATCATAAAATCAAAGAGCTCGCCACCGGCCGCCAGTTCGAGAACAATGACAATCACCTGCTTGCTGCTGCTACCGTCTCGTTTTGGGTACACCAGGCTGTCGTGCACTGACAGGAGACGCAGCACGTTCGCATGCAGCACACGCGACATGGCTTCCACTTCACGATAGACATTGATCATGGCTTTACGGTGCATCTTGGCCACGTCAAGGAGCTTCAGCGCCACGCGCTGCTTCGTGCGGGTATCCACGCCAAGCTTGACTTTGCCTTGCAGGCCAGACCCGAGCGTCTGGAGCACCTGGTACTGCGCCAGCATGCGCACCCGCTGCTGAGTCTGCTGCGGCAATGGAGAGACAGCAGCAGCTCGTGGTGGGGACTGCACCGCGGCGTTCATCTTGGCGACTGACGCCATGGGCCCGGCCGGCGACGAAGTTTCTTCCGCTTGTCCACGATGTGAAGCGGTGGCGTGTCATTGGTCGAAAAGATGGGACTGCAAAGGGGAGAAAAGAGACAAATAAAAATGCTGCGAATTGCTCACGGATTGGGATGTGAATCGACCGGTTGCATTGTTAAACTGACGGTCACTGTCACATTGACCGATGAAGTGACCTTAAACGACCTTAAGTAACCAAAACTGACCAGAAAAGCAAATTTTATGAACTGCGGAACTACTATACCTTCTGACAACACCGTGGAGTGTTTTTGACTACCTATTGTAGACGTGTGGCTGCTGCGCCGCCGACAGCGCTATGGGAGTTGCGGATGTCCAACCAAATCGCAGCAGAATAGACACAGCAATTGATGTTGGGTACATGTACAACGGCCTTTGAAGATTTGTGGGCTCGTGGTAACAATTTCGAGGTAATTCATAGCTGAAAAACGCACTTGCTACTGCAATCAGGACCCGAGACTAATTTTGCAGTATTACAAAAAACATGACAGATACTTGGATTGCAAGTGGAAATTGCTAGCGCTGCAAGGTAATAAAAAATGGAGAAGAGTCTGGAGGTGCTCCGAAAGTGGTTGGTGCTGTTTACAAAAAACGGTATCGAGCTGTGGCGAGGTTGCGCGACCATAGAGCGGATTATAATGAGACGAGAGCAGAGTTGATGTCGTCGTGTTTGACTTAATTTAGTAAACAGCAAATGCGCGTCAGAACTCGAGGACGTTAGAGTTGATGGTGTGGCAGAGTTGACAACGTTCGCATTTATAGGACAAAGCAATGACGCGTCGGGGACGAGATTGGCTTATCCTAGTACCACTCGGTGCTGTTGAACACAGCTTACAATTTTACTTTCTTCAGTATCAATGTTTCTTTCGTGTCGATTACATTGCTTTCTTTTTTCTTTCAATTCTCTCTGTTTAGCCCATAAGCTCACACGAACAAATCGATGACCACCATCAGTCACATTTGTGGCAGAAGATGTTGCCTGGTCAGCTTTGTATTTATACCGTCGCATGGTGATCATTCTCATGTTTATCGACATCATCAACCATCTAGCACAAGATTGAAAGTACGATCTCGTATGGCTATTTGATTCGTTCATGCTGATGCTTTTACTAAATCACCTGTGCTGCTCCCACTGTTGTAGTCATGAAAAATGCAAATGTCAATATCAGTATATTTTCAATTTAAATAGGTGCACTACAAACTACAAAGCGTAATTCGTCTGCCGCGACGGCCACAACAGAGTCACGAGTTGCAACGATGTGGTCGACTTCGCCTTCATTGTACATATTATAGCCCATCCGATAATATAATCGACAGCACCATTTTTGACAGACGTGTCCGTGAACACTGTAATTTCAATGGTCTCGTTACTTTATTCATCACCAACTTTAATGTCTATCTACCGGCCTCATGCGACTTAATTTCAGCATGTTTGTATGCATTACCCGATTACTTTGCTTTAGAGGTTTATGCCGCGCGGTCCTTCGGATCACCCTGGGGTAAACTGCGAGTACTCTTACTTAGTTTGAACTCCTTACAGGACCCGCACCCCTCATTACACTATGGGGCTTTTCGGCCAGTAGGGCCTCCAGCCTCCTCAACTATCACACGCCTTGCGCGGGTTGGCAGGGCGGCCACTTCTGCGTGGTTGCTCGTCTACTACATCGGCCTATCTACGGCGCCCTATAATCGAACCCCCACCGGGTATCGATCCAGGTACCTCCCAGTCCCAGTTCCAGCGGTCTACCACTCAGCCACTGGGGTCGGTTTTACTTTGCTTTAGAATGATTGTGGTTTCGTTCAAAGTCTTTTTACGCATTTAATTAGTAAAGTGTATGTGGAGCACATTCATTTTATGTTAGTATCAATATTGGCGTCACTTTTGGTTACTTAAGATAGACGAGAAGGTAAGCTGACCGGTCGATTGAACCTTCACTCCTTATCAGTCAGTCACTAACATCCCTGATGACGTGTCGCCCATCAGCAAGCTCGGCAATATAGGATTCCAATAATAAGCTGTTGACCTTTGTGTTGTAAAGCTAGGACAGGGTTAATTGCTGTAAATAAACTAAAAAAAAGGATAGTTCACGTTAAGCGGAAGAGTTGTAGTCCGTACAGACTCGTTAATCTTAAACAAATTGTGCTGTATCTCCCTCACAAATTCTAGCTTTAGCTTATTGACGTGGTATTCTATCCTGGGTCCTTAGAACTGGTGGATCCTTCGACAATTGTACTAAGTTTTGTAGAACTCAGTCTTTTAGGCAAAAAAATCTTTACCTGAATGTAGAGCTATGTAGCTCCTCTATACACTAGGTAAAAATCTTCACCTGAGCGTAGAGCTATGTAATTCCGCCATACACGTGGTAGCACTTTAAGTCAATCCTACATAAAAGTGGTGAAGTGGTCAAAGGAAATCCTGACCAATCGCCAGTGTGGTGAAATGGTCAAAAAAAATCCTGACCAATCGCCTTGATCAACTCGTAAGTGCATGTGGGGCCAGTCATGCCGGTCTTGGGACTGACCGCTACAGAAATCCCCAACGTTAAGCTGGACGGTTTGCATGTCATCAGTGGCGGTCACAGATCATGACTACCGGTTATGGCCACGACTAATGACTGACCGGTCATGGTCACTATGGGCGACCAGTGGTCATAGTCATGATGGGTGACCAGTGGTCATGGTCACTATGGATGACCAGTCGTCACGGTCACGATGAGTGAACAGTGGTCACGGTCGCGATGAGTGACCAGTGGTCACGGTCACGATGGGTGACCAGTGGTCATGGTCATGATGGGTGACCAGTGGTCACTGCAAGATGACCAGCGGTCATGTTGGCAGTTAAGGTGGTATACTTCAAGCACAGGGAATGGGTGGTGGGTGGTGGCAGGCGAAAAACGTAGCAGAAATATGAGATAAGAGAAGTGTAAACGTAGTTCAAGCCCCTAATAGATTAATAACGAACAATATTGATTTTCCTGCAAAAGACACGCGTCAGCATTCCTCCGGGCTGGAATACTAGTGGCCACCCGACGTACAAGGTTTACTGTCTACGTGTTTGCTCAAGGTTTGTCCCTAGATTTCTTGGCTAGGGACAAGTATACTCATTCAAGTTAGCCCGCGATCGGACGCGGCAAGCATACAAGGCAAGGTCTTCAGACGGCTCAAGTGATCAGAAGGACAAGGTGATCGAGTGGTCAGAAGAACAAGGGGGATCAAGTATCCACATTTGGGCAAGGCAACCTCAAGGAAGGTCAGGCAACTATAGGGGAGCGCCACCAGTAACCGTTGGTCGTGTGAAGAATTACCACGCGACCTCACCCCACCTATTCTCAACTCGGTCAAGACAAATCGACCTCAAGACACCTAGAAGAGTGCAACCGCCCGCCGACGGGTACACAAGGTGAGAAGGAACAAGACAAGACAGGAAACACGGTCCGGAGTACCCCCTCCGTCAGTCGGTCTTCCGGGCGCAAGTGGGGAGTCAGGATCGCTACGTAAATGAGCGTATCTCACTCCACCACATAAGAGTCTCTATGGATTGACCCTTTAAGAGGGTGCAGATTCTCGTTCACCTTTCTGAGGCTCAATGACTGGCCGTCGATAAAATTACGGCGCCAGTTCGATTCGAACAGATCGACCAAATTGTCGCTTGAGCGAGGCACAGGAGTGCCTAATACCTTGTAGGCTTCTGTGTAATTTAATGCCACGATAATTCGTTGGTTTTATATACATGTAGCATCGGCTGTACCAACTAGATGGTCCTGCGCTTAATTAGAGCGTTAATACTTTCGAGAGGACGAGAGTCTCCTTCTTTGGATCAGATAGGTCCAAATCGGTGATAACCGCTGCTATGGTGTTTAAATAGAAACGATTTGGCATGAACGACTCCAAGCTTAGAGGCAGGACCGTCGAACGGCCACTGACGTGCGATGAGTTTATAGATGCTGCGTTTCCCACATGGAGGAACCTCAAGAGACATTTTATTGCGTGCTTGGACCTCGTAACTGTGATATTGTGTGCACTCACGCTTTGTATCTTCTCGATAGGGAAAGGAAGAAACATCGAACGATTTTCAAACACTACAACTCGTTTACTGGTATGCAGTAAGAGCCTCCCTCAGAGATAGTAAGCCCTCTTCGTGAAGAGCGCTCTCTCCGGGGTCGACAGAACTTTATTATTCGTGTTTACCCTTGAACATTATTAACAGAAGTGGTGGACGTCGCATATTTCTCCAGTTCAACTTCGCAATGGCTTGCTTTGGAAACGACAATTGGAGCTATTCAGAGACCCGAACCGATGAACCTCAGCTATTCTAGATGTACAGAAGCTGATGTGTTAGCTACATGTTAGTTAGCAAAAGCCACTTCCGCTCAATCTGAACACTGAACACGCCGCATCCGAATCGACTAAGGCATAATCCTGCCACAAACTGAAATAGGCACGGTGCAAAAAGATATAGACTCCCCGTAGGCGCGGGCACCCTACTGGGGTAGACAATGATACATAGAGTCTAAAATAGGTCAAAGCGAACTTGGATTTGTTTCTAATTGACTTTGTGTAAATGGTACGAAGTTTGGATACAAGAAATGCTTGTTGGTGATACCATTAATCGTTAAAGGATCCGAGAATCCATTTTGAATTCCCATTAATTTGGAGGCATCAAGCAAGTACGCTTGATACCGTTTCCATGAAGGAAGTCAGCGGTATTTGAGGCTCCAAAGATTTCAAAGGCTCAAGAAGGCGAATGATTTACGGTCATTCTAGCTACTGCGTCACATGTCGCCGCTTCTAAAGATCTGTTGAGCTTAGTTGTAAAGTGCTATGACTTCAACAGCACATAAATCTGTATCGAAGTCTATTCGGATCGGTACATGATCCCATTCTTGGCAATATAGGCCTAAACACCACTATACCATGGTTTGATCGGTGTTACCAGACCTTAGGCGCAACGTGAAACATTT